ATTTTCTACTACCATGGAATAATTTTTTCCATACCTTCACTTTTAGCTTAATTGTCTTTAAACCTTAAGCAAATCTATAAGACACCAGGGTGGCTCAGTTGGTTAAGTGTATGATTCTTGATCTCAACATCATGAGTTCAAGGCTCCAGTTCACAAAATAAAACAAAACATAAATGAATCTCTTGTAGGCAGCATATAGGCATATAGTTGGGCTATTTTCTTATTCTCCCACTTTTTGTATTTTAAATGGCAAATTTAAATCATTTAACTTAAAGTAATTCTTGATAGATAAGAACTTATTGATAGTAAGGACTATCATCATTTTTTAATTGCTTTCTGGTTGTTCTGTACATGCTTCTTTATTCTTATCTTCCTTTCTTGCTGTCTTTGTGAATTGATTTTTTTTTTTTGTAGTGGTGTGCTTTGACTTTTTTCTCTTTACCATGTGTACGTCTCTTTAAGATTTGTGCTTTGGATTGCCATAGGGCTTTCAAAATAGTTAGGATGGTCTATTTTAAGCTGATAATTTCAATTGCATAAAAATGTCCTACACATTTACTCCCCATCTCCACATATGTTTTATGTAGTTGGTATCCAAATTTAGTTCTTTTTATGTTTTATATTTCCTTCTTTTCTGTTAACTTTTCAATCTATTCCAATTTGGCTTGCCTCTCAGCAGTCCACTAAAATTCTTACTAAAGTCAGTTTCCTTCTTGACTCTGAATGCAACTGACTTTTTAAAATTTAACGAATTTTTTAATAGAAGTTTGAGTTTCACAGCAAAATTGAGCAAAATGTAGAGTTCCCATATAGCCTTTGACCCTACATGTACAACCTCCCTTATTTAACATAATGTACCACAGTGCTACATTTATTAAGATAGTTAAACCTATACTGACATGTTATTTTCCTTCTCCATGAAAAACTTCCTTTAATATTTTTAAAGGCAAGCCTACTGGCAACAAATCATAATTTTTGTTCACATTAGAAAGTCATTAATTCTACTTCACAATTTCATGGGTATAGAATTCTTCGTTGGTGGGTTCTTCTCTCAGGACTTTAAATATTTCTCTTCACTCTTCTTGCATGATGGTTTCTATGGAGAGATCTGTAATTTTTACCTCTGCTCTATTTCTATAAACAAGGTGTTTTTTTCCCTCTGGCTTCTTTCAAGATTTTTTTCTTTATGTTTGAATATGATAAATCTAGGTATAGTTTTGAAAGCAATTATCCTGCTCGGTGTTCTCTGAATTTCCTGAATCCATTGTTTGGTATCTGACATTAATTTTAGGAAATTCTCAGTCATTATTGCTTCAAACATTGTTTCTGTTCCTTTCTCTGATTCTTCTGTTTCTGGAATTTCAATTATGTGTATGTCATACTTTTTGTAGTTGTTCCACATTTTTTTAATATTCTGTTCTTTTTTTTTCCAGTCTTTTTTCTCTTTGCTTTTCAGATTTGGAAGCTTCTAGTGTCATATCCTCAAACTCAGGTATTCTTTCTTCAGCTATGTCCAGTCTACTAATAAATCCATCAAAGGCATTCTTCATTCTTGCTATATTATTTTTTATCTCTAGCATTTCTTTTTTTATCTTTCTAAGAATTTTCAATTATCTGTCTATATTATCTACTTGTTCTTGCATGTTGTCTACTTTTTCCTATAATGCATTTAGCATATTAATAATAGTTATTTAAGGGCACCTGGGTGGCTCAGTTGGTTGAGCATCTGCCTTTGGCTCAGGTCATCATCTCAGGGTCCTGGGATAGATCCCTGCATTGGGCTTCCTGGTCAGCAGGGAGTCTGCTTCTCCCTCTCTCCCTATGCCCCTCCCCCTGCTCATGTTCTCTCTCTCTCAAATAAATAATTAAGATCTTTATAAAAAATAATAGTTATTTAAAATTCTGGTTTGATCATTCTAATACTACCACCACATTTGACTCTGGTTCCGATATCTATTCAGTCTCCTCAAACTGTGTTTCTTGCCTTTTAATAAGCTTTGTAATTTCTTACTAAAAGGTAGACAAGATGTACTGGGTAATGGGAACTGTGCTGAACTGGCCATTAGTAATATATTGGCAAGGTGTAAGTCATAGTGCTATGATTAGGTCTTTTTTGTTGAGCCTGTGCCATTGGAAGGTAAAATTCAGCAGTATTTCCTAGTCCACACACCTCCTTAGGTGGGACAGGACAACTAGACAGAGCTGTATATGGGTATTTCCATTCCCCCATGTGGAAGGCTAGAGGGAGCTGGAATCAGAGTATTTTCCTTTCCTCACTTGAAAAAACAGAGGTGGCTGAAGTTGAATATTTCCCTTCCCCAAGGTAGGTTAGACTCTACTAAAACCCCAACAAGTTAGACTCTAGTGAAACATTTTCTTCTGAGGGAAGACTTTGTTAAGAACAGAATATTCTAGTATATTTCAGAACAGTTCTTTTCCCCTTCCCACTACCAAAAGCAAAAGGGGATTTTTCTCAGACATGACTGTGAGATCTGGTAAAGGTCCTTCCTAAAGATAAAAAACTCACAAAAGTGTCAAGGCCCCCTGATGACTGTGTCTGTCTTGTTTTTAACCCTGAGTGGTGTCCTCACCGAGCCTCCAGCAACTCATCAAACACACCAGCACTGGCTTTCCCATCCCAGCGCTGGTTCTCTGGGAGGTTTTTGTTCAAGTGTTTTGGCTCTGATAAGTAATGATTCTCTATATCCACCTGTCTGTTTTTCCAAGTATTAGTTCAGCACTTTGACCTATGACCTTTTTTATCTGACATATCTAGAAAGTCTTGTTGGTTTTTAACTTTGTTCAGGTTTTTTTTTTTAAGATGTATTCATTTATTTTAGAGAGAGAGTATGCAAACAGAGGGTGGGAGCAGAGGGAGAGAGAATATCAAGCACGGATCCCAGAGCCCAAATCAGGGCTGATCCACGATCCCAAGATCACTACCCAAGCTGAAACCAAAAGTCAGACACTCAACCAAGTGTACCACCCAGGTGCCCCTATGTTCAGATTTTTACTTGTTAGGCCAGAGTGGTGACTTCTAAGTTCCTTACATGCTAGACCAGAAACTGGATGCCCTCCAAGTTTGCAAAGTTCTTTATAACACTGGGATTCCAAGCAACATTCAGGATTGTTAACCACTCCCCCTTTTAGAAGTAAATGTTCTTGTCTCTTGGCTCTATGATACTACATTCTGTTTATTTTCCTCCTTTTCTCTGTCCACTCTTTTCTACCTGCATATAGAGTATTCCAAGGAATGATCCTGGACCCTTTTCTCTTCCTCACTCTGTAGATACTCATTCTTTCTCTGGCGCTTTCATGTATTTCTATAAACTTAAAAGTATCTGTTAACACTGTATACTCCTCTTCTGCTTTCCTAATTTGCAGATTTTTATTTTAGATTTTATTTATTTATTCACGAGAGACAGAGAGAGAGTGGCAGAGACATAGGCAGAGGGAGAAGCAGGCTCTCTGCAGAAGCCCAATACGGGACTCGATCCCAGACCTAGGGATCACGCCCTAAGTCAAAAGCAGACGCTCAACCACTGAGCTACCCAGGTGTCCTTAATTTGCAGATTTATAGCCAATAGTTCTTCCAACATTTTCATTTTTGTATACCCTCAGACCTCCTGCCTCTCCTATCACTCTAAATAGCACTTTTACCCACCAAAGCTGCTTAAGACAGAAACTCAGAAGTCTTTTTTGACATCTCACTCCTACATCTTTTATCTCTAATTGATGGACTCTACAGGCAAAATTACTTTGAATTCATGCATATTTACCATCTCTCCTACAAAAAATCTTCGTCAAAGCCACCACAATCTTGCACCTAAAATATCTGAAACTTCTTACTGGATTCTAGACCTTTTCAATTTTTTTTTACCCAATGTATATAGTGACAGTAAAGTGTAGTGGAAAGAATACAGGCATTTGATCCAGAAACACTGGCCACAAACTCCTCAAATATACTAATTAATATCTAAATCTCATTTTTTTCAGCTCTAAAGTAGGTGAAAACAAAGCAAAACAAACCAAAAATTCAGCTGGTAGGAATGCTATAAGGAAAAGATATGATTTATAAAAAGTGCTTAGAATAATGGTTAGCATTGACTAGTCACTCAAAGAGTAGCTCCTGGTACATACAAAATAAAGCTCAAATTTTTCCCCAAAGACCTCTAGATTCTAGGTCTAATTCTAGGTCTAAAGTATTAAATCACAAATTCTCCTCAGTATAAAACACTGCTCTGGTTACATAGCAAGTGTCTTATTTTTACCTTAAATTAATGTTTAACAGACATCCAATTATCCAAAAGGAATTTGGAAAAACTGTAAACTTTAATTCTCTTTCATTAAACTTATATAGAGTATATATTCATGCAACAGTAATATAATATAATTACTAAATCTAAAAACTGTTTGACTGTGGAAGGAGCCTCGGTGCCCATCGAAAGATGAATGGATAAAGAAGATGTGGTTTATGTATACAATGGAATATTACTCAGCCATTAGAAACGACAAATACCCACCATTTGCTTCAACGTGGATGGAACTGGAGGGAATTATAATGAGTGAAGTAAGTCAATCGGAGAAGGACAAACAGTGTATGTTCTCATTCATTTGGGGAATATGAATAATAGTGAAAGGGAATATAAGGGAAGGGAGAAGAAATGTGTGGGAAATATCAGAAAGGGAGACAGAGCATAAAGACTTCTAACTCTGGGAAATGAACTAGGGGTGGTGGAGGGGGAGGAGGGTGGGGGGTGGGGGTGAATGGGTGACGGGCACCGAGGGGGACACTTGACGGGATGAGCACTGGGTGTTATTCTGTATGTTGGTAAACTGAACACCAATAAAAATTAATTTATTAAAAAAATAAAAATAAAAACTGTTTGAAATTATTGACTCAAATAGCTGGAAAATAATTCCTATAAAATTGTTGGTTAAAATATGTCCTGTATTAATGAAATTTATGATTTATGTAGTTATTCCACTTCAACACTTGCTTTTTTCTTCGTTTTTTCAGGGGCTGAAAGATAAGTTTTCTCAGCAAGTAAAACTTCACAAGCTGCATTATCTGTAAAGAAAAAAGATGTTTCAATATTTTAATTATCTAACCTCCATTAACTACAAGTACAGAAAACAGAACTCAAATTTGGGAAAAAAAAAACTCACCCTGATTTTAATGACTGTGTCTTTGAAATAGTTTTAGAAGAAAAACTTATATATGTCTTGAATAACCTGTTGCTATAGACAGAGCTTTACAAGAGCTCTAGGTTTCACAGAAGTAAATAAGCTCTATGTCAAATATTTACTTTTTAATTAGCACAGATAGTTGCATGTGATTAAAATTCTTCATTAATTATCCTTCCATTTCCACTCTCCTATATTTTCAGGCTCTCCCTTTATACTGCAAAATTTCGATCAGTATATACTATATAGTCAGAACTCCTTTATCTTATCAAAAACTTTATCTGCATCCCATACTCCTTCCTGTTACATCCTCTCTCTCCCTCTTCTCCATAGGCATGTTTCTTCAAAGAGCTGTCCACATATACTAACATAACTTCCTCTCCTCCTGTTTATTCCCAGACCCATAGCAATCTAGTTTCAGGTCCCACCATTATGAACAAAACCTTTTGTCCTAACTTACTGGACACCAGTACAACAAACATGAACATTTTCCCCTCTGGTCCCTTCTATGGCTCCTCTTCAGTCCTGACTCTTTTTTTTTTTTTCACTCTCCAGGCTCTATCCAAGCAACTAATATCTAGTCTGCTATGTGCCAATGTTACTAAATACCGCAAATTTGGCTTTTCTTTATTTTTAACACTGGTACCTTGCTTTAAGTCAACATGAGAATTCCCTTTGAATTATTTCAATAGCTTTTCAATTCAGCTATTAATGTTGAAACCAAATTCTCTTAATCATTCTCCCAACTTGCTCTGTACTCCAGTGCTCCTATTGCAAGAAATACCAACATTCATCCACTTGCTTAAACCAATTATTTTAGACTCATCTTTGACTTCTATTTTTCTCTTTTATCCAATATCCAGCATCATCAGAAAATCCTGGCACATCTGCTTTAAGTTGTATTCCAAATCAGACAACTGCTACCACTTTAGTCTCATATACTATTTTCTGACCACCACAATAGTTTAACAGGGTCTCTGCTTTCACTTGCCTTCTTCGTCTATTCTCCATATGGTAGCTACAGTGATAATTCTAAAATATGTATCTAATTAAGTCATCCCTTTGCTCTGAGATGTATTTCTTGTCACACTTAGAATAAAATCCCTACTTCTTATGATAGCATAGGAGACTACATTATACCACTTGATTACCCCCCTAAACACAAATGTAGTCTGTTTTTTTTTTTTACTAATTTTGCTCCAGTCATAATAATCTCTTTTCTATTCTTCAAACATGCAGAGCTCTTTCCCATCTCCTGGCCTTTTCTCTTGTTGTTCCCTTTGCCCAGCATGGTCTGTCACAGATTTTCACATGACCTACTCTCTCACTTCATTCAAGCTCTATACAAATGTAATCTCAGAAAGGCCTATCCTATTACCTTGTCTAAAATAGCATCCATAGTCACACTCTGTTTTTACCCACTTTACCTTCCTTCAATACTCATATTTCTGATGTTGTTGTATATGTATTTGTTTAACTGTTTAGTGTCTTTCTTTCTCTACTATAACATAACTCTGTTAGGGCAAGGACTCTGTCATTTTCCCCAGCAACTAAAATACTTTATGTCACACTATAGGTGATTAATAAATACTTGTTGAATGAATGGAATTAATGAATGGTGTGATGAGGTGTCTCTGAAACAACCAAGAGGAGATGTTGAGACAGCAGCTGCATATAAGGGTTGTAGTCTCAGAGAAGAGTCTGCATTGAGAGAAAACTTGGAAACTTTGCTTTTTGTAGGACACTATACATATCAGGGAGTAAATTTTTTTTAAGATTTTATCTATTTATTCATGAAAGACACACACACAGAGAGAGAGAGGCAGAGACACAGGCAGAGAGAGAAGCAGGCTCTATGCAGGGGGCCTGATGTGGGACTCGATCCCAGGACTCCAGGATCACGTCCTGGGCCGAAGGCAGGCGCTAAACCGCTGAGCCACCCAAAGATTCCTGGGAGTAAATTTTAAAAAGATTTAAATTTAGGAACCAGCCTTGAAGAACTCCCCTATGTAATTGCTAATAGTGGTAGATAAGATTGAAAAGGAGCAGGAGGTACCTGAAAAGTAATTTCTTATTTATTTGTTTGTATGATTAGCTATTTTTTAACATTTAGTAAAGAACATGACACACAACTGGAATAAAGAGGGATTTGTTGAATTAAGGAGGTAAAAAATACCTCCTGAGCAAGATGTGATTTAATTTTAAATTTCAAGTCAATCAACCACATAAAAGTAATACAAAAGCATACATAATTCCAGAATCACTATTCTCCCTTACTATCAGGCCTTATAAATAATATTTTCTACAGCCAAAGCAACTTTTTATTGGGCAAGACCTAAGTAAAATCATGATTGTTTTTAGTAGCCTTACCACTTTTCTTTTCATAACCTCTCCTTTTGTTCACAAATGCCCTTTACTCTTGCTATAAAACAAATCTCCCTTCTAATGTTCACCCTCCAGAGTAGTAGATGCTAGGCACTCCTTAAAAAGATGTGTGCTTTTACAAGTTTGGTTTTTATCACTTATTTAATTTACCTCAGAATAGCAATTATTTTAATCATTTTTACTTAGAATTCCTAACATAAGACCTGGTATGTAGGGAAATACTCATTAAGATAATTTCTTAAAGTGAAGATTATGCAAAAAAAAAACTTCCTAAAGTTTATATTAAAATACCTATTAAGAGTAAAACCAGTCATTCTTCCAGTTTACCCATAAACAGATGCTATAAAACTTGATTTGGGAAATAAAAATAGCAATCTGAGATATAACATGGATTAATAAGGTTGGAAATGTTTGGCTAAGTTATCCTAATAATAAACTAAATTATTGAGTGTCTATAATGCAAGGCATTGTGTTGACCTTTTTATTTTTAATCATTACACAACAGAAACTTGGGAGGCAAGGAATTTATATTACTTCTCACCAGTATATATAACAATGCCTAATACAGAGTGTATACTTAGTAAATGTTTATGAAATGAATTAATGATGGGTATTGTAGGGATAGCTAAGACCCGCATTCTAACTTCACATATTTTCAATTCTTAAAATACAACCAAGCTAAAAAGCGCTCAATTTCCCGGGCTACCAATTTTCTCAAAATATACTGCACTGTCACAAAAATAAAGAAATACAGAATTATGAAAATGATTAGTTTCACTATTTATTACCTGATTCTGAATGTGAAGTATTCTTTGGTTTTGGAGAAATATTTTGGCCTGCTAATGTCATCACTCTATAACAAGAACAAATTAATGGTTATTCTCTTAATCTTCCAGTAACTTTTGAGAATCCTCAAATAATACTTATAAAAGCATTTATAAGCTATCAAATATCCTGCAGGAAAAATATAACTCATTAAAAAAAGTTTCCATACGTATATGAAAAAATAGTTTAATAATAAAAGGCAATATATTTATACATTTTTCAGTGTGAAACAATACATATAGAGGACAAGGTATATGTTTACAATCAGACCGACCTGGGTTTAAAGTCCAGTTTTGCTACTCATACTTAAGTGGCCTTGGAAGAGTCACTCAACCTGACCTGATTCTTGGTTGCCTCATTCATGTAAAAAGAATGGCAATCTTGTTTCCTAGGGTTGTGGTCATGATTTCAAGTAACATGAGAGATAATACTTTTTAAAAACTAATATCCTTTTCTCTCTTTTTTAAAGATTTTATTTATTTATTTGAGAGAGTGTGAGCATGAGTAGGGGGAGGGGCAGGAAGAGAGAGAGAGGGGAAGAAGCAGACTCCCTGCTCAGCAGGGAGCCCGACACAGGGCTCAGTCTCAGGACACTGGGATCATGAGCTGAGCTGAAGGCAGACCCTTAACCCCTTAACTGACTGAGCCACCCAGACAGCCCTATCCTTTTCTCTTTTAGGAATGACACCACCCCAATTCTACTGAAATGTGTATTAGAGAATTACAAGAAGAATACAAAAGGGTCAAAGCTCAGCCTTTGACAACTAAAATGAGATTTCTGAGCCCCTACCAAGACAATGGCGTTGAAAGTCAAATGTGAGAAGATTTTCTAAATTCCTTTGCTGATTTATTGAACAATCAATTGAATTCAGTAAGCAAAAACCAATTTTATTCTTTCCTAATTCCTCTCTAAATTCGCCCTGCCAAAAATAGTACTTTCTTACCCCTGAATGAACTTTTCGGTGTATTCCATCATTTCTGTTAACAGTCATTTTGGGGTAATAAAGAGTCCAGCGTAATACCACAACACCAAACTCTTATTACCTGATTTAAATTTCTTCCTTTTCTCAACTTAGGACAGAGTTAGACTCAAAAGCTGCAGTGAGGAAATCAGCCATGATTGGTTTCTTCTTCATTTCTTGTTCTTTTTCCTCCCCAGTTTTAGAACTACTCTTTGGGATCTTCTGCCATTGGAATAGGGGAAAGGAATTATAAAAAGGGACAGAAAGAATCTTTCTTTATCTTGACTGATACTATTATAAGATGCCATTGGTTACTTTCTGGGTGTGACAGATAACCAAATGTTGACTTTCAAATCTGAAGTATTTTGAAGGATTCAGTGATAAGGTTTACCTACGCTTGGTACTCTCTCACTTGCTGCTATTTATGATCTCAGTTTTTGAATTTGATGATAGAACTTTCAGCCTCTTTCAATTGAGTTTACCTTGTCCTTTGCAAGAAGTCATACTGGGCATGATCCTTTCCAATATGATCCATAACTGACCCTCTTGTGTGGGATCTATACCTGACCTATAGGTATTATGCACAAATTTTGTTGTCCCAAACTCCGAAAGTATATCTAGCTTCCTCTTTATTCTCCCATTCCAAAGCATCTAACAGACTGCTAACAGAGCTTGCCTTTAGACTTTTCAGAGTTAGAAACCAAGTTCTAGGAAACATATGTCAAACTTCTCAAATGGTTCTCTTGGAGCTTCCTCTCTTATGGTGAGGTGAAGGAATAAGCCAGCCCCTCTCCTTGCATATAATACCAATAATTCTTATCAAAGAAATATATGTTTGGTCATTTCATCCCTTCAGCACATTCTTAGCTATTTCCTAAATAGTTTGGAGCTTGGTGATGAGCAAAACCATGAGGAATTGATTTTTGATCCCACCTTTTACAAACTGCACATAGATAAATCTACCCTGATGGGGATGGGAGTAATTGTCATTTTATTTTGTTTTCATCTATTTTCATCACAGTTCAAACTCTAAGGCTACCTGAAAGGCACATTTAGCATCCTACTACATTCCTAGAGTTCCTCTTAACATGTAGATGAAAAACACAGAGTTTTACTATTAGCTACAGAATGTAGAAAAAATTCAGGATGTGACCAAACATAGATTCCTGCTCCATGCCTTCCATACTAGAGGATTATTACTAAGAAAAAAGGGGACAGAGCCTTGGGAAATAAGCAGTTTGACAGAGGGAAGTGACTTCTCTCCATCAAGTCCTAAATCTGGAGGTGGTAGGAAAATGACATTAGAAGAAGTGCAGAGAAAGCCAAAAGCAGAGGGGGCATGTGCCAAACTCACTCTAGGTAGAAATATCCACACAGGGTGGAAATGCAATATCAAAATAAGAGTCTGGACTACTTAGAGAGGAGACCTCAGTTAGCCCTCCTTGAGAGTCCCTTAATTCCTGTAGATTGTGAATGAGTTCTCAAGGTTCCAAATACCAAGGGCAATGCAGAAGGTGCTCAAACTAGAACCAAAATACCTGGCATAGGGCTGCTCTGCTGGTGACTCTACCACAAAGGTTGCAGAAAGGTAATCAAGTCAGTCTGCATGGAGGACTTCAATGACACTCAAGGAGTTTTGGGTAGCAACAAAAGCTAAGGTGAGAAAAAATCAGCAATGGAGGATCTCGGGCCCTAAATAAGGCTATAAGTTCACCAAAGGCTTTATTAGCAGAGTCCAGCCTAGGTATAGAACCAGTCTCTAAACCTGCAGCATAAATTAGTACAAGTCCAAAGACAACTTTTAGATCCCAGACAAACTCAAAGCCCCAACTTCACCCCTCCCCCAGTTCTAGCTTACTCCTATTACTATACACCTATATTTAGGGTGACCATTTATCCATATAGGCACCTTTCCAAGAATAAAAGGGAGTTCTACTAAAATTAATATCAGAACAATAGACACATACCAGGACTGTCCCAGGCAAATCAAGAGGTATGATAATCTACTTATATGCCATCCTCAGGAATATGAAATGGAGAGAAAAACTGTAAAATCTATCATTCACCCAAAAGAGACTCTGAACTGGAAGTAAATAGATGGCATTAATAAGTTTAACTCATCATTTCCCAGCTAAATAGGAGAGAACAGAGAGGAGACCCTATAAGAAGCTGAGGTCAGTTATTTTAAAAAAATAAATAAATTACACACAAAAGTAATATTACACTCTATGTTCACTAACTGGAATTAATTTTATTTTTTTAAAAGATTTTATTTATTTATTCATGAGAGAGAGAGAGAGAGATACAGGCAGAGGCAGAAGCAGGCCCCATGTAGGGAGCCTGATGTGGGACTTGAACCCGGGACTCCAGGATCACACCCTGGACCGAAGGCAGGTGCTAAACCGCTGAGCCACCCAGGGATTCCCCACTAACTGGAATTTAAATAAAACCTGTAAGGGGCACCTGGGTGGCTCAGTCTGTTAAGTGTCCTACCCTTGATTTCAGCCCAGGTCATGATCTTAGGGTCCTGGGATTGAGCGCCATGTCAGACTCCCCACTCAGTGGAGAATCTGTTTGTTTGCCCCTCCCTCTGCTCTTCCCCCTGTTTGTGCTCTCTCTCTTAAATAAATATATCTAAATCAATAAATAAATACTTTAAAAATGAAAGAAAGAAAGAAAGAAAGAAAGAAAGAAAGAAAGAAGAAAGAAAGAAAGAAAGAAAGAAAGAAAGAAAGAAAGAAAGAAAGAAAGAAAGAGAGAGAGAAAGAAAAAGATGAACTATATTTTCTTTGCATATCCAACTGGTACATTTTATTTTTTAGAGATAGGGAAACATTTAAGGGAGACAGGAAATAAGATTAGATACACGTAATCAAGTACTGTATTACATTTACTCCATGCAATATATAGGTAATACTCATTGAACAGCGTTTCCATGTATCTTTCAACAATATAAACAAAACTCCCTTTCTTTATTAGATACTATGTCAAAGTTATAGGATTTTAATTTTGTGAATGTGCTAATTAAAGAGAATGTCAAAAAAGCTAATAGTTAACAGCTGTTCAAAAATGGTGTCATTATTATCCAAACATTTCTCCTTCCTTCTTAAGAATATATTGCATTGCAGATTGTTAAAGGGATTTAAAAATCATCAATCATCATTTCTCTCTACTGACATTAATGATTTACCTTCAGCATTTTCACTGTTACCTTCAATTTGTAAAAAAACAAACAAAACAAAACTTAAAATCAGTGAAGCACAATAAAGTACAAATAAAACGAGGTATGCCTATAAGAGATTTCCTTTGCTTCAGAAATTTTTTTACCTCTTAGACACAAGCATATTTATAAGGAGGCTTTCACACTAATGCTATTCTTTTCTCACTCTACACATTTCCTAGGGTGACAACTATCCCTTCAGTCCAGGATCTTTCCCTTGCTATCTAGGCTGGAATATCCAACTACCCACCTGATATATCCTCTTCAAAGTGCTGTAGGTATTTCATTGTTTTCTAAACTAAAATTATCTATCATCCCAACTCACTCCTGCTTTTCTATTTGTACCTTCATCCAACAAATTAGTCATCATTCATCCAGTTTCTCAAATCAGAAGGCTGGGGGCTGAGTTAGACTCTACCTCCCTTAACAAATAAACATGAAAAATTACTGATTATCCCTTCTGAATTGTTCTGAAGTTTTTCCTTTTTGCTGTCCTTGCTGATAAAGTTCAGGTCCTAATTATGCCTCACTTGAAATGCTACAATAGACATTCCTTCAACCTAATCACTTCTTCCAATCCATCTTTTTCTTTGTTGCAAAAGTGATTATTCTAAGAAATATTATCATGTATATGTCTGTGAAGAGGTGGGTAACAGGCAAGAATTTTAGTTGGACAATGTATAAGTTCTACAGAAATCTACATTCAAAAGTATAGCAATCCTTACCCCCACAAACTCATCAGCACAGAATACCTAAACCATTAATCCCCACCAAGGAAGATAACATATTGTACCATCTACTATTTAACGCTGGTGAGAAAAATCAATTTATAAGAGAGTAAGACTTGCAGATAATTATTTGACAGACAAAAAAATCTATCCTTCTATCTCAAAAAGCTGAGAGCAAAATATTCTTTTACCCTCATGGCTTATTTATTTTTGGTCTATTATCTTTCCTGCCTATATTTTCTATTAAAAATTATATTTCTTTGGTTTCCTTAGTCATAACTTTCTTAAGTTTTATTGATATAATTCACATATCACAAATTAACCCATATAAAGTGTACATTCAGTGGCTTTTAATATATTCAGAGAGTTGTGTAACTGTCATCACAATTAATTTTAGAACAATTTCATCACCTCAAAAAGAAACCCTGTACCCATCAAGCAGTCAGTTCTTATTTCTCCCCAACCACCCTAGTCTTAAGCAATCACTAACTTGCTGTCTGTTCAGATTTATCTATTCCGGATACCTCATACAGACACAACCATAAAATATGTGATCTTATGTGACCAGCTTCTTTCATTTAGAATATGTCCAGGGTTCATCCACACTGTAGCATATATCAGAATTTAATTTTTTATTATAGAATAATATTCCATATAGCATATAGATATACCACATTTTATTTGTCCATTCATTAGTAGATGGACATTTGGACTGTTACTACTTTTTTGGCTATCATGAGTAAAGTTTCAGTCAACATTCATGCACAAGTTTTTGTGTGGACATGCATTTCTATTTTTCTCAGGTATGCATATCCAGGAGTTGATTGCTGGGTCACATGAAACATTATGTGGGACTGCCAAACTATTTTTCAAAGTGCCTTCATTTTAAATTTCCACCAGCAATGTACTGGAGTCTCAATTTTTCCATGCCTCACACGACAATTATTACCAGTATTTTTAATTATAGCCATCCTAGTGGGTGTAAAGTGATTCTCATTCAAGTTGACTTGCATTTCCCTAATGGATAATGATATGAGCATCTTTTCATGTGTTCATTGGTCACTTATATATCTTCTATGGAGAAATGCCTGTTTGGATCCTTTGCTCATTTTTAAATTGAATTATTTTTCCTTTTATTATGGGTTGTTAAGAATTCTTTACATATTCTGGATACAAGTCCCTGTCAGATATATAATCTGCAAATATTTTATCCCATTCTATGGATTGTCTTTTCATTTTCTTGATGGTGTCTCCTGACTTTGCTCTTAAACTTGTACGAATTTTTTGCAAATTTCTTTCAAATTTTGAATATTAAAATGTTTTAAATTTTTGTTATATTTTATAGTCCTACTGAAAATCTTTCAGACTCTCATCACATTCAAGAAAATAAAAATGCCAGCCCTTAAGACCATTCATGATCCAGACTGTGACCATCTCCTTCAATTAAGAAACTCTCTCTCACACATATGCCTCAACCTTCAGTCTACATGCCCCAATCCAAATTCTTGATCTTTGCCCCATAATATTTCTCAATTTCTCTCATCTTAATATATGGCAACACCATCCTTCTAGTTGCTCAAGCCAAAACTGTGGAATCAGTCTTGACTACTTTCATGCTCATTCAGTCCATCAGTGAATAAGAATCCATCCTTAGTCCTGCTTTCAAAATATATCCAAAATCTGATCTCTCTACCTTTACTCTTACCACTCTGGTCCAATATTAGGACAATAGTCTCCTACAATTTCCCTAACGCCTTGTCTCTTCATAATCTATTCTCAACACAGTAGCCAGGGTGATTCTTTTAAAACCTAAGTTATTTTTGAAATAAAAAAATTCTCTAAAACCTAAGTTATATCGTCACCCTTCTAAATCTTTAAAGGCTTTCCAATCCACTCATATTCACCTGGAATATCTTCTGTGATATGTCCTCTGGTTCTTCTGTCACTTCTCCTTTCTCCTCTTCCCACGCTCCACTCCTAGAATCTAGGCCTTCAGGGCCTTGCTCCAGCCATTCCCTCTACCTGGAATACTTTTTTTTTTTCTCCTGTGAGTCACATATCTTGCTCTGTCTCCTTCTTTAAGTCTCTGCTCAAATTTCAATTATGACCTCACTGACCACACTACTTAAAATAGTGAACCTCCATTCCAATACTCTCTTGCCCCCATCTTGCTTTTTTCCATAACATTCATTACCATACAGAATACTATAAATTTACTCACTTATTTATTGTCCACCCTTCCAAATGGAATGTGGACTTGATGAAGGCAGAGATTTTGTTTTATTTATTGTCCACCCCTTCCAATTAGAATGTGGACTTGATGAAGGCAGAGATTTTGTTTTTAATCAATTTCGTTCATTACAATATATCACTAGCAATTAGAATATGTTGGGCACAAAATGATTCCTCAACCAACAATGAATAAATGAACACATGAATTTGTGGACTAACAATCATTCTAGCTACATAACTATTAGAACACGGGGTTTTGAAAAGCAGAACTTTAAAATGTTAGTTCTTACATTTCTCTATGGCATTTTTGAGAGTCTCCTGAAGAGGTACCTAGGAAAGAAAAAAACAATCTATTAGAAATACAATTCAAACACAGACCAGAGGCCAAAATTAGGAAAAAAGAAGTATTTTTCTCTAAAATATGTGGTGATAATGCAGTTTATTTTCTATAATTTTATTGTTTTATATTGCTTTTATGCGCCACTTAAATTAGGTAGAAGTATTCTCAAAGTTACCAAAATAAAACAAAATTATTAGGAAATTTTAAGAGATGCAGGAATCTATCAGCCTATATTTATAGTTAGTTATAATTTTTGAAATGCTTTCCAATCTTTTACTTGATTCTTAAAACAGGCATGTGAGGTGAATATAACAATTTACTATTCATATGCTACATAGCTACATATGTGAAAAAAACAACTGGTTGAATTATAAAACTAACAGCTGCATACTTGGAACCTAAACTCAGATCTCATGATTCTTAAGTATATACTAAGTATATAGATATGCATATTAGTAGACTGCTTAGCCAAGAAAATGCCTACTAGTTAACATTTGCTGTCTAGGTTCACTAGGTTCACAATAAAAGTATTACTTAAGAACCATGAGAATAGTTTTCCGAAGAAGTTATGACTAATCCCCACAGTACTCTGCTTGTGTTTAATTAGAATTTTACAGTTAAAAAGAAGTGAAGTGAATGGTATCTACTAATCATGGAGAAGCATTTCCCTGAAAAGGAGGTTCCCAAAATATAAAGGAGTGAACAACTTCTACTCTCTGCTTTTGCTGATAATAGTCTCTTGCTTTTTCTTCTGATGTAAATTTTTTTTGGATTGAGTATAGGTAACACACATTAAATTAGTTTTATGTGTACAACATAATGACTTCAGTTCTCTATACATTATATTATGCTCACCACAAGCCTAGCTACCATTTGTCACCACACAATGCTATTACAATACCATTGATTATTATTTCCTATGCTGTGATTTTTATTCCCTTTACTTATTCATTCCATAACTGGAAGCTTGTGTTTCCTACTCCTCTTCACCCATTTTCCCACACCCCTATCCCCTTTCCCTCTGGGAACCATTAGTTTGTTCTCTGTATTTACAGGTTTGATTCTGTTTTTTTGTTTTAAAATTTAAGTTTCAGGGATCCCTGGGTGGCGCAGCGGTTTGGCGCCTGCCTTTGGCCTGGGGCACGATCCTGGAGACCCGGGATCGAATCCCACGTCGGGCTCCCGGTGCATGGAGCCTGCTTCTCTCTCTGCCTGTGTCTCTGCCTCTCTCTCTCTCTCTCTCTCTCTCTCTCTCTCTCTCTCTCTGTGTGTGTGTGTGACTATCATAAATAAATAAAAATTAAAAAAAAATAAAAATAAAAAAAATAAAATTTAAGTTTCATTTATTTAAGTAATCTCTATACCCAACATGGTGCGCAAGCTCATGACTCTCTGAGATCAAGAGTTGCATGCCATTCCAACTGAGTCAGCCAGGTGCCCCTGTATTTTGTTTTTTTTTATTTGCTTTTTTTTTTTTAGATTCCACACATGTTAAATCATATTGTTTTTGTCTTTCTCAATCTCACCTATTCCCTCAGCATATGACCTGCTATGTCCATTCATGTTATCGCAAATGGCAAGATCTCAACCTTTCACATGGCTGCATAATATTCGTGTGTGTGTGTGTGTACACCATATCTTCCTTATCCATTCATCCATCAGTGTATACTTAGATTGCTTCCATATCTTGGCTATTGTAAATATGCTGCAATACATAGGGCTACATATATCTTTTCAAATCAGTGTTTTTATTATCTGTGGGTAAATACCCACTAGGAGAATTATTGGATCATATGGTATTTCTATTTTTAATTTTTTGAGGCATATCCACACTATTTTCCACAGTGGCAATACCAATTCACATTCCCATCAAAAGTGGATAAGAGGGAAGCCTGGGTGGCTCAGTGGTTGAGCATCTGCTTTCGGCTCAGGGCATGATCCTGGGGTTCTGAGATCAAGTCCTGTATCAGGCTCCCTAGAGGGAGCCTGCTTCTCCCTCTGCCTATGTCTCTGCCTCTTTCTCTCTGTGTCACTCATGAATAAATAAGTAAAATCTTTTTTAAAAAATGGATAAGAGGGATCCCTGGGTGGCGCAGCGGTTTGGCGCCTGCCTTTGGCCCAGGGCGCGATCCTGGAGACCCGGGATTGAATCCCACGTCGGGCTCCCGGTGCATGGAGCCTGCTTCTCCCTCTGCCTGTGTCTCTGCCTCTCTCTCTCTCTGTGACTATCATAAATTAAAAAAAAATGGATAAGAGTCATTTTTTAAAAAACAATTTTGTATTTAAGGGGCACCTGAGTGGCTTAGTCAGTTAGCATCTGCCTTCAGCTCCAGTCATAATCCTAGGGTCCTGGGATTGAGTCCTATTTTGGGTTCCCTGCTCAGTGGAGATCTTGCTACTCCTTCTGCCCCTTGCCCTTGCTTGTACCTTCTCTCTCTCTCTGTCAAATAAAATCTTTAAAAATTTTTGTATTTAAATTCAATTTAACATATACTGTATTACTAGTTTCAGAGATAGAATTTAGTGATTTGGGCAGCCCAGGTGGCTCAGTGGTTTAGCGCCACCTTTGGCCCAGGGCATGACCCTGGAGACCGAGGATCGATCCCACATCGGGCTCTCTGCGAGGAGCCTGCTTCTCCTTCTGCCTGTGTCTCTGCCTCTCTTTCTCTCTGTCTCTCTCATGAATAAATAAATAAAATCGTAAAAAAAAAAAGAATTTAGTGATTCATCAGTTCCATACAATACCCACCCATCCTCCAGCAACCCTCAGTTTTTTTCCTAAACTTTAGATTTTTCCTTCCCTTCTACGTTTACCTGTTTTGTTTCTTAAATTCCACATATAAGTGAAATCATGTGGTATTTATCTTTCTCTGACTTATTTTGCTTAGCATTATACTCTCTAGTTCTTTCCACATTGTGGCAAATGGCAAGATTTCATTATTTTCAATGGCTGAATAATATTCCTGTGTGTGTGTGTGTGTGTGTGTGAGAGAGAGAGAGAGAGAGAGAGAGAGAGAGAGAAAGAAAGAGAGAGAGACACACACACACACACACACAGAGATACCACCTCTCCTTATCCATTCATCTGTCCTTGGACATCTGGGCTCATTCCATAGTTTGGCTATTATGGACATGGCTGCTATAAATATTGTGATTCATGTGCCCCTTTCAATCACGATGTTTGTATCCTTTGGATAAATACCTCGTAGTACAATTTTTGGGTTGTAGGGTAGCTCTATTTTTAACTTTTTGAAGAACCTCCATACTTCCAGAGTAGCTACACTAGTTTGCATTCCTACCAACAATGTGAGAGGGTTCCCCTTTCTCCACATACTTCCCAACCTCCATTGTTTCCGGAGTTGTTAATTTTGGCCATTCTTTCCAGTGTGAGGTGGTATCACATTGTGGTTTTGATTTGTATTTATGACTGTTCCTTTTCCCCCATATCCTTGGCAACAACTGTTCTTTCTTGTCTTTTTATTTTAGTCATTCTGACAAGTATGTGTGCTATTGATTTCCATTTCCCTGATGATTAGTGATGTGGAGCATCTTTTCATTTGTCTGTGGGCCATCTGAATGTCTTCTTTGGAAACATGTCTATTCAGCTACTCTGTCCATTTTTAAAATTGGATTGTTTGGATTTTTAGTGTTGAGTTGTATAAATTCTTTATATATTTTGGATATTAACCCCTTATTAGATATATCATTTGCAAATAGCTTCTTCCATTCAATAGGTTGCCTTTTTGTTTTATTTATGGTTCCCTTCACTGTACAAAAGCTTTTTAATGTAGTTCAAATAGTTTAATTTTGCTTTTGTTTCCCTTTTCTCAGGGGGCATATCTAGAAAAATGCTGCTATGGCTGAAGTAAGAGAAAGTACTGCCTGTATTCTCTCCTAGGATTTTTATGGTTTCAGGTCTCACATTAGGTCCACAATCCATTTTTTAAATATTTTATTTATTTATTCATTCATGAAAGACGGGGGGGGGGCAGAGACACAGGCAGAGGGAGAAGCAGGCTCCATGCAGGAAGCTTGATGTGGGACTCCATCCCAGGACTCCAGGATCACGCCCTGGGCCGAAGGCAGGCACTAAACCGCTGAGCCAACCAGGGATCCCTGGTCCATAATCCATTTTGAGTTTATATTGTGTATGATATAAGAAAGTGGTTCAGTTTCATTCTTCTGCATGTAGCTGTCCAGTTTTCCCAGCATTATTTATTGAAGAGGTGGTCTTTTCTCTATTGTATATTCTTGCCTCCTCTGTCACAGATTAAGTGACTATATAAGCATGGGTTTATCTCTGGGCTCTTTATTCTGTTCCACTGATCTATGTATCTGTTTTTGTGCCAGAACCATGCCATTTTGACTATAGTTTTGTAGTATATCTTGAAGTCTGGAAGTATAACACCTCCAGCTTTGCTCTTTCTCAATATTGTTTTGGCTATTTGGGGTCTTTTGTGCTTCCACACAAATTTTAGGATTATTTGTTCTAATTCTGTGAAAAATGCTATTGGTATTTTGATAGGGACTGCATTGAATATTTAGATTGTATTTGCAAGTATGGGAAATATTAATTCTTCCAAACCATGAGCATGGAATATCTTCCCATTTGTTTGTGTCATCTTTAATTTTTTTTCATCAATGTTTTACAGTTTTCAGAATACATGTCTTTCATCTCCTTGGTTAAGTTTATTCCTGGGTATTTTATTCTTTTTAGTGTAATTATAGAGTTTTTTTTTCTTATTTTCTCTTTCAGCTACTTCATTATCAGTGTATAGAAATGTTATTGGAAAAAAAAAGAAATGTTATTGGTTTCTGGGTATTAATTTGTATCCTTAAACTTTATTGTATTTATTTATTACTTCTAATAGTTTTTTGGTAAGGTCTTTAGGGTCTTCTATGTACAGTATCATGTCATCTGCAAATAATGACAGTTTAATTTCTTTCTTACTGATATTGATGCCTCATTTATTTTTCTTGTTTGATTGCTGTGGCTAGGATGTCTATCTAGAACTATGCTGTAGTACTAGAAAAGTATTAAGAAAGGACATCCTTGTCTTGTTCCTGGTCTCAGAGGAAAAGCTCTCAGTTTTTCACCATTGAATATGATATTGACTTTTTTTTTCATAGATGGCCTTTATTATGTTGAGGTATGTTCTTTTTAACATGAATTGCTGTTGAATTTTGTTAATGCTTTTTCTGCATGTACTGAGGTAATAATATGATTTTTATCTTATATTTTGTTGGTATGGTTTATCATGTTGATTGATTTGCAAATACTGAACCATCCTGCATCCCCAGAATAAATCCCATTTGGAAACAGTGAGTGATCCTTTCAATGTATTGTTGAACGTGGTTTGCTAATATTTTATTGGTGATTTTTGCAACTATGTTCATCCAGGATTTTGACCTATAGTTTCCATCCTTCTTTTCTTTTCCCTTCTTCCTTTCTTCTTTCCTTCCCTCCTCCCTTCCTTTCTTTTTTGTGTATTTGTCTGGTTTTGGTATCATGGTAATACTGGCCTTGTGGAATGAATTTGGGAGCTTTTCTTCCTCTATTTTTTTGGAATAGTTTGGGAAGAATAAGTATTAACTCTTCTTAAAATGTTGGGTAGAAGTTACCTGTGAATCCATCCAGTCCTACACTTCTATTTTTTGGTAGTTTAAAGTAATGATTCAATTTTGTTACTAGAAATTGGTCTGTTAAGATTTTCTATTTCTTTCTGATTCACTTTGGAAGATTATATGTTTCTGGAAATTCACCCATTTCTTCTAGGATGTCCAATATTTTGGCATGATTTTTCACATTGTTCTCTTATAATCTTTAAATTTCTGGTGTCAGTTGTTCTCTTTCATTTCTGGTTTTATTTATGAGTCATTTCTCTTTTTTTCTTGATGAATCTGGCTAAGGGCTTATCAATTTTGTTTCTTTTCAAAGAACCAGCTCCTGCTTTTATTGATCTGTTCTATTGGTTTTATGTTTTTGTTTTCATCTGTATAACATTTATTTCTGCTCTGAACTCCATTTTTTCCTTCTTTCTACTCTCCTTGGGCTTTGTTTATTCTTTTGTTAATTATTTTAGGTTTAAGGTAAGCTAATTTATTGGAGCTTTTTCTTGCTTCTTGAGGTAGATCTGTATCACTATATATTTCCCTCTTAGAACTGCTTGTCTTAAAGGTTTTGGACTTTTGTTTTCATTTTCTCGTATCTCCATGTAATTTTTGATTTCCCCTTTGACTTCTCTTTGACTCATTGGTTGTTTTGTATTATGCTGTTTAGTCTCCATATGTTTGTCTTTTTCCAGTTTATTTTTCTTGTGATTCATTTCTAGTTTTATATTGTGGTCAGGAAAGACACATGGTATAATTTCAATCTTCTTAAATTTACTAAGACTTGCTTTCTGATCTACCATGCAATCTATCCCAAAGAATATTCCATGTATACTTCAAAAGAATGCATATTTTGCTGTTTGGATGAAATGTTTTTGTATATATCTGTTATGTCCATCTGGTATAATGTGTCATTCAAAGATACTGTTTCCTTATTGATTTTCTGCCTGGATGATTTATCCATTGATGTAAGTGGGGTGTTAAAATCCCATACTACTATTGTGTTACCATCAGTTTCTCTCTTTATGTCCATTAATATTTGCTTTATGTATTTAGATGTTCCAATACTGGGTGCATGGATATTTACAACTGTCATATTCTCTCATTGGATTGATCCCTTTATCATTATGTAATACCTTTCTTTGTCTCTTATTACAGTCTTTGTTTTATATTTATTTTGTCTGATATAAGCATAGCTACCTCGGCCTTTTTTTTTTCACTTCTATGTGCATTTAAGTGTTTCTCCATCCTTTCATTTTCAGTCTGTTTGTGTCTTTAGATATGAGATGAGTCTCTTATAGGCAGCATATGGATAGGTCTTTTTTTAAATTCCATCCTGTCACCCTGTGTCTTTTGATTAGGGCATTTAGGGAAAGGCTAAAATTCTTAATATCTAATGAATCTAGAAATGGAGGGTAAAGATAAACAGATAAAATTGGGGGAAAAGTATGAAAAGAAAATTCACACACACACACATACACACACAAAGAAAATAAAAAATACATGAGGAAGATCTCTATAAAACCAGCCAGAGTTATTTCTAGTATATACTATTATATTAGGTGGAGAAAAACAAAAAGAGTATCTATAAGCAAGAAAGAAGAGGATATAAGAAAATATATCATAGAATATAGAAGAAAAAAACCATAATCTAAAGAGACTAGTTACTTATAAGAGTTGAGTGGGAAAGGGGTAGACAAAAGAGGGGAATAAGATCAGGGTACTAGGAAAGAGGAAGTGATTTTTTTAAAAAACAATGTATTTCTTATAGCTTTGATTCTCAGAACCATAACAATGTTTCACACACCTTCACATAGCACCTTCTCCCTGAATAAAGAAACAAACAAACAAAAATCCAAACAGGTTAGGGAAACAAATACTGAATCCAACACTAACAGATGAATCTGAGTATATTCCAAGTGAATACTAACTGCACTATAAGGGAAGGGGAAGAAAAGAACTAACCTATATAACTATGAAAAACAGCATTTTGATTGATAATAATAATAACAATAGTAATAGTAATAAGCAGAACTGTACATAAATGTAATTTATTTGCTAAATGTATTTCTCAAAGGGATCTGAGTTAATAATTCTGCAACTTCTTTTTGTGTATACTAAAGTTATATAAGTAAATAAAAAAATGAAAGTATTGGATTTTAACACATAAAATAGATATTCATGACTTCATACTGATATAAACAACTGAAAAAAATAAGTGGCAGAAACAGGACAGTTCTTTTACAGCAGCATTCCAATTAGTAAATGTAGCAGCAAAGTATGAAATAGAAAATCACCATTAGGGAAACACCAGAGTAACAAATGTCAAAGTCAAATCCCTCTGATGACTACCAGTGAATGAAAGTTGAGGAGAAACAGGATTTACAGGGTCTCAAACTATCATTCCATATATTTATTAAGACAAGGGGAAACTAGTAACTTAACCATGCAAAAAACCACAGATACCATGTTAATCAAATGGCAAAGTTTAATATCACCAATAATAAGATATACTGACATCAAGAACTTCATACAATGTACTAAAAAGGGCATAACATCATTTCTGCAGCATTCTCAAAAAAATTGAATAAATTCATTCCAATGAAAAAACATGAGACAAATTCAAATTGAGGGACATTGTACAAAATAACTGATCAGTAATCTTCAAAAGTATCAAGACTATGAAAGACAAAGAAAGACTGAGAAACTGTTACAGATTATAGTAGATTAAAGGAGAAATAACAATCAAATGCAATGTTGGATCCTGAAATGCAAGATAAGAGACTGGCAGAAAAGCTGGTAAAATGTAAATAAGGTCTGCAATTTAATTAGTAGTTTTATACCATTGTTCATTTTCTGATTCTGATCATTGTACTAATAATGTTATATAAGACAAGCATTAGGGAAGGCTGGGTGAGAGACACATAGGAACTCTCCATACTATTTTTGCATCTTTTATGCAAGTCTAAAATTAGTTCAAAATAAAAGTTTTAAGAAAGGAGAACCAGGGATCCCTGGGTGGCGCAGCGGTTTGGCGCCTGCCTTTGGCCCAGGGCACGATCCTGGAGACCCGGGATCGAATCCCACGTCAGGCTCCCGGTGCATGGAGCCTGCTTCTCCCTCTGCCTGTGTCTCTGCCTCTCTCTCTCTCTCTCTCTCTCTCTCTCTCTCACTGTGTGCCTATCATAAATAAATAAAAAATAAAAATTAAAAAAAAAAAAGAAAGGAGAACCATATGTGCTTGAGCTGCTACTAATCAAATATTATTCATAGCCAATGTAATCCTAATTGATGAACTTAGCTTATAAATCATTTTAAAAATTACTTTGTTTTTTCCAACATAGATGAGGCGTTTCCCCTGTGACATGAGAAAAAAAAAAAAGACTGTGAAAACTCACCTAAAATTGCAGAGAGGTTTGAAAACTGTGGTACCTTCTCTATTGTTACTGCTTTACTGGTATCCAGAAGAGTGGAATTCTTGCATCGCATGTGTTCTTCCAACTTGGGACATTCCCAATCTAAAATAGCAGGGAGGAATGGCACACAACTTTTAATAGCACATAAGTAGGAGGTTACATCCCCCAGGCCCAACTTAAGTCCCCATAACAGCTTAGGTCCTCATACCAAGCTGTAGTAATTAAGGAATTTGGGTAAAACAGATAAAAAAGACAAGACTTGGGATCCCTGGGTGGCGCAGCGGTTTAGCGCCTGCCTTTGGCTCAGGGCGCGATCCTGGAGACCCGGGATCGAATCCCACGTCGGGCTCCCGGTGCATGGAGCCTGCTTCTCCCTCTGCCTGTGTCTCTGCCTCTCTCTCTCACTGTGTGCCTATCATAAATAAATAAAATTAAAAAAAAAAAGACAAGACTTGATGGCATTTAGGACAGTAAAAAATCTTTGACCTATTTCAGGGCTCTAACCTACTTTCTTTCCCAGATTCTTGCCCCATAAAAATTATTGACCTAAGGGTCAGATAGAATACACAGGAGGTTCCTCTTAATATTTTATGTATAAGTTTTACCTAGATCACATTAATATCATATCACTAAAAAACATACTAGTATTACCTCATGTCGTTTTAAGGTTTCCATTGACTTACCACTATGGAAGAATGAGGTTATTCTCTTTTTTTTTAATAATAAATTTATTTTTTATTGGTGTTCAATTTGCCAACATACAGAATAACATCCAGTGCTCATCCCGTCAAGTGCCCCCCTCAGTGCCCATCACCCATTCACCCCCACTCCCCGCCCTCCTCCCATTCCACCACCCCTAGTTCATTTCCCAGAGTTAGGAGTCTCTTATGTTCTGTCTCCCTTTCTGATATTTCCTACCCATTTCTTCTTCCTTCCCTTCTATTCCCTTTCACTATTATTTATATTCCCCAAATGAATGAGACCATATAATGTTTGTCCTCCGATTGACTTATTTCACTCAGCATAATACCCTCCAGTTCCATCCACATTGAAGCAAATGGTGGGTATTTGTCATTTCTAATGGCTAATATTCCATTGTATACATAAACCACATCTTCTTTATCCATTCATCTTTCGATGGACACCGAGGCTCCTTCCACAGTTTGGCTATTGTGGACATGGCTGCTAGAAACATCGGGGTCCCGGCGTTTCATTGCATCTGTATCTTCGGGGTAAATCCCCAGCAGTGCAATTGCTGGGTCGTAGGGCAGGTCTATTTTTAACTCTTTGAGGAACCTCCACACAGTTTTCCACAGTGGCTGCACCAGTTCACATTCCCACCAACAGTGCAAGAGGGTTCCCTTTTCTCCGCATCCTCTCCAACATTTGTGGTTTCCTGCCTTGTTCATTTTCCCCATTCTCACTGGTGTGAGGTGGTATCTCATTGTGGTTTGGATTTGTATTTCCCTGCTGGCAAGTGATGCAGAGCATTTTCTCATGTGCTTGTTGGCCACGTCTATGTCTTCCTCTGTGAGATTTCTCTTCATGTCTTTTGCCCATTTCATGATTGGATTGTTTGTTTCTTTGGTCTTGAGTTTAATAAGTTCTTTATAGATCTTGGAAACTAGCCCTTTATCTGATACGTCATTTGCAAATATCTTCTCCCATTCTGTAGGTTGTCTTTGAGTCTTGTTGACTGTATCCTTTGCTGTGCAAAAGCTTGTTATCTTGATGAAGTCCCAATAGTTCATTTTTGCTTTTGTTTCTTTTGCCTTCATGGATGTATCTTGCAAGAAGTTACTGTGGCTGAGTTCAAAAAGGGTGTTGCCTGTGTTCTCCTCTAGGATTTTGATGGAATCTTGTCTCACATTTAGATCTTTCATCCATTTTGAGTTTATCTTTGTGTATGGTGAAAGAGAATGGTCTAGTTTCATTCTTCTGCATGTGAATGTCCAATTTTCCCAGCACCATTTATTGACGAGACTGTCTTTCTTCCAGTGGATAGTCTTTCTTCCTTTATCGAATATTAGTTGACCATAAAGTTGAGGGTCCACTTCTGGGTTCTCTATTCTGTTCCATTGATCTATGTGTCTGTTTTTGTGCTAGTACCACACTGTCTTGATGATCACAGCTTTGTAGTACAACCTGAAATCTGGCATTGTGATGCCCCCAGCTACGGTTTTCTTTTTTAAAATTCCCCTGGCTATTCGGGGTCTTTTCTGATTCCACACAAATCTTAAAATAATTTGTTCTAACTCTCTGAAGAAAGTCCATGGTATTTTGATAGGGATTGCATTAAACGTGTAAATTGCCCTGGGTAACATTGACATTTTCACAATATTAAGTCTCCTAATCCATGAGCATGGAATATTTTTCCATCTCTTTATGTCTTCCTCAATTTCTTTCAGAAGTGTTCTATAGTTTTTAGGGTATAGATCCTTTACAATGAGGTTATTCTAACATCTCCATCCCCCTTTCCACAATTCCCATTGGTATGATATTATTATATTGCATATCTAGTTAAATCAATATTCAGTATAGACATTATGGTAATAAGCTTCTATAAAAATGCTTTTTACTCTTGTGGTATACCATGACAACCATTTATCCCCCACGAAGTCAGTAAGTCTTTTCTGTTTTAGTTTTCTCTGTATTTTTCACCTATTTAATCCCAAACTCTACCAAGTTCTATAAATCCATTCTCTTTTTTTTCTTAATTTTATTTATTTATGATAGTCACACAGAGAGAGAGAGAGAGAGAGAGGCAGAGACACAGGCAGAGGGAGAAGCAGCAGGCTCCATGCACCGGGAGCCCGACGTGGGATTCCATCCCGGGTCTCCAGGATTGTGCCCTGGGCCAAAGGCAGGCGCCAAACCACTGCGCCACCCAGGGATCCCTAAATCAATTCTTTTAATTCCATTCTCCGGTCTTCTAAAGTTGCATAATGCTCTATTTTGGTGTTTTTCATCTACTATGCTAGGCACACTGTGGCCCTTTTAATGCAGAAATCATACTCTTTAGCTCTAGGAAATATTTTTGAATTATAACATTGATAATTTTCTTCCCTTTGTTTCTTTCATTATCTTTATCTAAAACTCCTTTTATTTAATATTGGATTTCATATACTCCTCCTCTGATTTTTCCCTCAAATTGAAACCGATTTTCTTCATTTTCCTTCTGACTTTTTTCTTCTAAACCCTAACTTCTAATCCTTCTACTGAGTTTTTCACTGCTATTGCATTTGCTATCTGAATATCCCCTTTTTATAGCATTCTATTTTTTAACAGATACAATATATATTTTACGTCAATTAACTATTTTTTCAATATTTTTTCCTCTTTGTGTTTCTATTTCTGCTTGCTTCCTTTTCTTATTTTTTAATTTTTAATTTTATTATGGTAGGAACACTCAACAGGAATCTACCCTCTCAAATTTGTAAGTTTATAATTGAATATTGTTAACTATATAACAGTGTGTGTATAGGAAGTTTCTAGAATCTATTCACCTAACAAAACTGACACCTGATACCTGTTGAATAGCAACTTCCCGTATCCATCTCACCCCAGGTCCTGACAACCAACAGTCTACACTCTACTACGAATTTGACTATTTTAGACATCTCATGCAAGTGGAATGGTACAGTGTTTATCTTTCTGTGACTGGCTTATTTCACTTAGCATAACATTCTCAAGATTCGTCCATGTTGCGGCATATGGCAGGATTTCACTTTTTCTGAAGGTTGAATACTATTCCATCATATGTATATACTATATTTACTTTATCCATTCATCACACACTGAACACATTATTTCCACATTTGGCTACTGTGAATAATGCTGCAATAGACATAGGAGTGCAAACACCTAAGACCCTGATGGCAACTTCTTGGGATAAATAACCAGAAGTGGGATTGGTGTATCATATTGTAGCTCTATTTTTTAAATTTTTTGAGGAACCACCAAACTGTTTTTCATAATAGCTACACTATTTACAATCCCAACAACGGTGTACAAGGTTTCTAATTTCTCCACTCTTGTCAATACTTACCTTTTTTTATTATCATCCTAACAATTGTGAGATCTCATTGTGGTTTTAATTTGCATACTCCAGAAAATTAGTGATGATGAGCATCTTTCCATGTATCTGTTGGCCATTTGTATGTCTCCTTTGGGGGAAATGTCTATTCAAGTCCTTCAGTCCATTATGAAATTGGGCTATTCGTGGTTTTTTCCTACTAAGTTGCAGGAGTTTCTTTTACATTTTAAATATCAATCTCTTATCAGATATGTGGTTTGCAAATATTTTTCCCTTTTTGTACTTTGCCTTTTTGCACTTTTTTTTTCTGTGCAACGTCTTAGTTTTATGTACTGTACTCCCACTTAATTAACTATTTTAGGTTTTGCTGACTGCTTTTGGTGTCATATCCAAGAAATGACTGTCAAGACCACTATCATCAAGATTTCCCCCTGTGTTTTCTTCCAGGGGTTTTAAGGTTTCTGGTCTTATGTTTAAGTCTTTAATCCGTTTAGGTTAGTTTTTCTGTATAATGTAACATAATGGTTTGATTTCATCCTTTCATATGTGGAAGTCTAGTTTTCCCACTTTAATTTATTGAAGAGACTACTCCTTCCCCATTGTTTATCCTTGCCACTCTTATCTAAAATCAAGTGACCACATAAGCATGGATTCATTTCTGGGCTCTTCATTCTATTCATCTATAGGTCTATCTTAATGTCAGTACCATATTGTTATAATTACTGTAGCTTTGCAATGTATTTTGAAATAAAAAATTGTTGATTTTTTGTGTGGATGTTCTATTCATTATTGAAAGTGGGAGTAATGAATCCTCCATTACCATATGGATGCCTATTTCTGACTTTAGGTCTATCAGTGTTGATATGTCAGGTACTCTGATGTCAAGTGCATGCTTATTTATTATCATTATATGTTCCAGATTAATTGACCCTTTCATCATTATACGTGTTTGTCTATTATGATAGTTTTTGACTTAAAGTCTGTTTTATCTGATATAAATAGAACAATTCTGCTCTCTTTTGGTTACCATTTGCACATATCTTTTCCCATTGCTCCATTTTCAGACTACATTTGTCCTGCAATGTAAAAGGAGTCTTTTATAGACAGCATATAGTTGGACCTTGTTTTTTTTTAATCCACTCAGCCATTCATTGTCTTTGGGGAATTTAAACCATTCACATTTAAATTAATTGCTGATAGGGAAAGACTATTACTATTTTGTTAATTATTTCCTATCTTTTAGTTCTATTGCCCCTTTTCCTCTCGTCATCTTCCTTTGTGTTTCATTGATTTCTTTTGATACGGATAGGCTTTTATTCCTATTTCTCTTTTGTGTTTTTTTTTAAATTAATTTATTTTTTAGAGACAGCAGGGGAGAAAGGGCACAGAAAACAGACCCCGTGCTCAGTACAAAGCCCAATGTGGGGCTTGATCTCAGGACCCCGAGATCATGACCTAAGCTGAAATCAAGAGTCAGATGCTTAACCAACTAACTGCACCACCCAGGCACCCCAATCTTTTGTATATCTTCTATAATTATTTTCTATATAGTTACCATGGTGCTTATATAAAATTTTAACAATGTATTTTAAGCTCATAGAAACTTCAATCATATACAAAAACTCTATACTTTTACTTCTCCCTTTACACACTTTGTTACTGTTATAATTTACATCTTTTTATATTGTGTATCCATTAACATATTTCTATTATAGTGTTTTAATACTTTAGTCTTTTAACTTTTATTCTGGAATTAAGTGATTTAAATACCACTGTTGCAGTATTAGGTATTTTGTACTTGTCTATAAACTTATTGGTAAGTTTTATACTTTCATATGTTTTTGTGTTGCTATTTAGTCCTTTGTTTCAACTTGAAGAACTCCCTTTACCATTTTTTTTTGTAAGGTGGGTCTAGTGATTAAATTCTTCACCTTTTGTTTGTCTAGGAAACTCTATCCATTTATTTTTTTCTTCAAGCTTTTAATTCAAATACCTGGCACTCATCGCTCATTGGGACAAGTGCACTCCTTAATCCCCATCACCTATTTAACCCATCCACCATCCACCTTCCCTCTGGTAACCATCAGTTTATTCTCTATAGTTAAGAGTTTGTTTCTGGTTTCTCTCTCTCTCTCTATATATATATATATATAGATAGATAGATAGATAGATAGATAGATAGATATAGATATATATAGACTAGATATAGATATATATATCTATATAGATATATAGATATATGTCTTTGCTCATTTTTGTTGTTGTTGTTTCTTAAATTCTACATATGAGTGAAATCATATGGTATTTGTCTTTCTCAGACTTATTTTACTTACCATTATATTTTCTAGCTCCATTCATGTCTTTGCAAATGGCAAGGTTTTATTATTTTTTATGGCTGAATAATATTCAATTGTTCTTTTTTTTTAAATTGTTCTTTTTTTAATGATAGTTTTTCTGGTTATAGTATTCTTGGTTGACAGTTTTTCTTTCATCACTTCGACTGGATCATTCTGCTCCCTTTTGGTCTGCAATGTTTCTGCTGAGAAATCCACTGATAGTCTAATGGGAGTTCCCTTGTACACATCAAGTTGCTTTTCTATTGCTTTCAAAATTATTAGACTTTTGCTAATTTGTGGGGGGGGGGTTGACTTTCTTGGGGGGGGGTGATTTCATTATGACTCCTTGTGTGGATTTCTTTGGTTCATCTTATCTAAGATTCATTGGGCCTCCTAGGTCTGGACATGAATTTCCCTCCCCAGATTTGGGAAGTTTGCAACCATTATTTCTATGAATAAACTTTCTGGCAGGCTCTTTCTCTTTCTCCCTCTCTATCTTTACCCCCTTTTACTTTCCCTTTCCCCCTTCCTTTTCTTTCCTTTATTCCTCCCTTTCTCTCTCTCCCTTCATCTTTTCTCCCTCTGAGACTCCTATAAAGTATATATTGTTCTGTTTTATTGTCTTCCATGAGTCTCTTAAGCTTTCCCACACCATATTTTTGTTAGTGGCCAACAGTCATCTAGAATATACCAGGTCCCGGGTGAGGGGTGGGGGTGAATGGGTGACGGACACTGAGGGGGGCACTTGATGGGATGAGCACTGGGTGTTATTCTATATGTTGGCAAATTGAACACCAATAAAAAATAAATTTATTAAATATATATATATATATACCAGGTCCCATTAGCACTCTGAGACAGATGAGACAGAAGCCATTTCCCTGGGCAGCACTATGAGACAGGCAAGAGAGTAGCCAATCCTTTGGGAAACTCTCAGAAAATTTACATTTCAGACACAGTTCAGTTCTTTTCTTCCCTCCCCAGGGAGAAGCTCAGACCTGGGGGTTTCCTGCCAATTATGTAGCAATGAGTTATGGGTAGGGATTATGGTGAGAGAGTGTCTTGAATTTTCCTACTGGCTTTGACGTCACTAATCTCATACATGCCTGGGTGCAGGAGTTCCTCAAATAGTTTCCAGACTTAGTGGACTATATCACTATTTACTTTATCACTAAAGTAATAAGTCCATGTAGTACTGTTGAATCTGTGTGTCCATGGGGAAGGAGGGAACAGGGCTTCTTATTCCAACATTTTGCTGATGTCACTTCCAGATCTTCATTTGTTCTGATCTCTGTTTTACATTAGAAGCTTTCCTGAGAGGTCCGGTGATTCTTGGCTCTCTATTCGTATTTAAGAGGGTGCTCTGAAAGGCTACCTGGGATCTCTGTGGCCTAGTTGGGGTCTGTCACAGAGTTGGCTTCATGGTAAGGTGTTACTGTTAGTTTCATTGAAGCACTATTGAGGCCAGTATCATTAGATATTTTCTTTAGGGTTGCTCAAATTTGTTAGGAAAGAATCTTGCATTCTTCTGTGTGGAAAGTTCAAGTCTGGGTGCTAGCATTCTAGAAGCTGAGCAGAAAAACAGAATTTTGGGCTGGGATGGTACAGGCATTAGGTGAGAAGATACCACAATTCAGAATGTACACTTTAATTCCCTCTCTTCTTCATTCAGCACAGTATCTGAAACAGTTGACTTTTTCTATTTGATAAATAATCCCAAAATCTCATTGGCAAAAATGAAAGCATTTATTTCTTATTCCCATGTCTGATGGTTGGCTCAGGCAGGTCTGCTTCAACTTACAGATCTGCTGATTAGCTGGCACAGCTCTCTGCAATCTGCAGGTTGCCTGGGGCTGTTCTGTTCCATACCTCTCATTCTGGGGTCCCCATGGGAGAGGTAGACTCTAATTAGGATATATTCTTCTCACAATGTTAAAAGTATAAGAGTACAAGCTCAATAATTTAAGCATATTTCAAAGATCTGCTTATGTTTCACTCACCAATAGCCTATTGCTCAAAGCAACTTACATTTCCATTGCTTTTCCAAAGCACTGGACCTACACTGTACCTACTATGAGGATATGGCAAATGTATGGATGTATAATACTACCACAGAGGAATGAGTAATTGGACCAACATTTCAAAATATCACATATCTTTGCTATTAACAGTGCCTAGTATCCTACAGTCCAGAGTTCCTGTGTTTTAAAACATCCCAAAGAATAAATCTCCATGTTTCATTTGAGTAAAAAAGTAGTCACTACATCTTCCACATTTCAGACATATCTTTTTACAAGTATCAGTACAGCCAAATTGTGAGCATCTCTGGGATACTATCATGCAAACTGGCTTGTTTCTGGGGCATTCTCCTAATATCTTCATCCTTTTCTTATCTGGTAGCTTTTATTTATTTTTATTTTTTATTTATTCATGATAGACATAGAGAGAGGGGGGGGGGATCCCTGGGTGGCTCAGCAGTTTAGCGCCTGCCTTGGCCCAGGGTGCGATCCTGGAGACCCGGGATCGAGTCCCACATCGGGCTCCCGGTGCATGTAGCCTGCTTCTCCCTCTGCCTGCGTCTCTCTCTCTCTCTCTCTCTTTTTAATTTTTATTTATTTATGATAGTCACACAGAAAGAGAGAGAGGCAGAGACACAGGCAGAGGGAGAAGCAGGCTCCATGCTGGGAGCCCGACGCGGGACTTGATCCCGGGACTCCAGGATCGCACCCTGGGCCAAGGCAGGCACTAAACTCCTGAGCCACCCAGGGATCTCTCTGGTAGCTTTTGATGTATAGTCCTATGTGATTAAGCACAGAGTACAGTAGTGGGCAGGGGAAGGAGGTTTTGGTGAGGAAAACAAGCACACCTTCTCAAAGGGAACATTACTCATTGGAGGATTTGTGGAAAAAGGAACAATTTCTATATGAGTCAGCTTTAGGTTGAAATTATTTTCTTACCTAAATAATCTGATCCTCTGAAGAGTTCAGGTGATGGAAAGCTACTTAAACTCTCTTCAAAACTCTTGTATTCTGTGTAAGAGTCTGTCAATGAATAGCTTGGAAAAGAACTAGAAATATGCTGGGAAGTTAGTCCTATAGAATAAACAAAAAGTAAAATGTTTCAATAGTAAACAGATTCAAAATCCTAGAAATTCCTATTTGTAGTAACATACATGCAGTTATATAGAGAGAATGTAAAATTATTTATACAAACAACTGAAAACACATACTACTGTATACCACTGTAACTTCAACCTTAGAAAATAATTCTGATTTTGATGTAAAGGAAGCATTATAATCTTTTTCCATTGCTTTCCTAAGTTTGTAATTTATTCCTTCCCTTCTTTGGTTCAATTGTGATTTTTTACCCCCAAACTCAAGTTTTATATATAAGTAACCCACTAATAGTAAACTAACTAGCTAAGAAGAAAACGTATTCTAGTTATTCCATTTAAAAAACAATGAGTTTAAACATAGACAAATAGATCAAAGGAATTCAAGAGAAAGCCCAGAAATAGCCCTCAAACTTATATGAGCAACTGATCTTTTTATCAAGATGCAAAGGCAATTCAGTGGAGAAAGGACACTGTTTTAAACAAATTATCTTGAAGCAACTACATATCTATTATGCAAACGCAAAACAAAAAATTTGCACTCATATCTTCCATCACATAAAAAATTAACTCTAAATGAGTCATTGACATAAATGTAAATCGTAAAACTACAAAGGTCCTAGGAAAAAAAAGGAGAAAATCTTCATAACACTGAGGCAGGCAAAGATTTCTTATAATACTAAGAGGATAATTCATAATATAATAGTAGTGATAATTAGACTTGATCAAATTTTAAAACTTCATTTTGAAAGACACTGTTAAGATGAAAGGATAAGCCACAGATTAAGAGAAAACATTTGCAAATGGATTGGCATCTAGAATATAAATAACCCTGAAAACTCATTAATAATAATAATAAAAAAAAAAACCTCTCAATAAGAAAAGAGGCAAAATATTTGAACAGAGAATCTCTCAGACGGGTCCGAAAGTTATCCCTCTGAGAATGAACTACAGTGAAGAACTTTCAAATAAATGACAGGGATAGAAATTAATACCAAAAGTTAAGAAACAGGTTTAATAAGAAAAGGGAAAACATAGCCTGCTCCAGTTTATTAAACACTTCCAACTGAAAAAATATATGTTAACACTAAATAAAAATTGACAGGGTGGGGGTTAAGGGATAAAAGGGGAGCATGACTCTGATAAATTTATTTTTCCTGCCCAGGGGCTGACTTACAGCCTATCTCTCCTCATCCATTACCTACCTGAGGCACAACTCTGTCCTTCTCACTCTGACCTCACCACGTCTTTCTCTTCCACTCCAATCCTATCCTTAAAGTTGACAATGATTTCCTATCTGGCCTCATCTTCTAGCCACCACTCAGCACTTAAATTGATTGACCCAATCTAACCTCCTCTTCACCACATCAGATGTCAGAGGTAGGTTATCCCTCTGAGCTCTTTTCCTTCCCCTACTCCAAGCACCCTACAGTGTCTTGGCCTTGTCCTTACTACTTTTTAGTCTTCTCACTGTTTTCATCCTCCCACCACCATGTGTGGTTACATCTCTCTTGCCTTCTAGCTTTCAAAATTCCACGAATACCACACACTACTGTAGAGCCATCCCTTACACCAAATCCCAGAATTCAAGTCAGGCTCAGAAATTAGGAAAATTGGGCAGTCCGGGTGGCTCAGTGGTTTAGCGCCGCCTTCAGCCCAGGGCCTGATCCTGGGGATCCAGGATCGAGTCCCACGTCAAGCTCCCTGCATGGAGCCTGCTTCTCCCTCTGCCTGTGTCTCTGCCTCTCTCTCTCTCTCTCTCATGACTAAATAAATAAAAAAACTTTTTTAAAAAAAGGAAATTAGGAAAATCCCATACTCACCATCTGGATAGTAGGGTAGATAAAAGAATAAATAAATATTCATGATTATAGCAGTGGAAGGTTGTTCCTAGAGCCACAAGTTAGAAATGTAAATGCATTTAAAGTTATATTTATATCACATTATATGGTCTCATTCATTCAGGGCATATAAAAAGTAGTGAAAGAGATTAAAGGGGAAAGGAGAGAAAATGAGTGGGAAATATCAGAGAGGGTGACAGAACATGACAGATTCCTAACTCTGGGAAAGAAGCAAGGTGTAGTGGAAGGGGAGGTGGGCGAGGGGGTTAGGGTGACTGGGTGATGCGCACTGAGGGGGGCAATTGACGGGTTGAGCACTGGGTGTTATGCTATATGTTGGCAAATCAAACTCCAATAAAAAATATACAAAAAATAAAGTTATATTTATATCAAATTATACTATATACTTTTATAAAATCAAATTATTCTACAAGGCTGGTAATAAAAACAGCAACCTCTTGTCTAATACCACCCCAATATACAGAAACAACTACTTTCAACTTTATTGTTTCTTCTAATACCCCCTTTATATTTCTAAATTAAAATTTATTCAACAATTCTATTATTATGAATGCTCAAATAATTTATACCTAAGCTATGTACTATGAGCTATATTCAGACCTTTTTGCTACATGTTGGTTTATTTCAGTTATTGATTATCCAATTTTAAAATTAGTTTTCCAAGTACCTATCAGAATTTTATCCCAAATACTTGCAAAAGTATAAATCTCTTCTCAATAAAAATTCCAAGTTATCAGTTCCTTTTTTTTCTTCTTTCTTCAAATTCTCATTCCCTCTTTCTCTTCTTTCCTTCTTTTTTTTCTAAAGAAGTATTGCTATTGGAGATCTCAATATGCTTGCTCAAATTCAGACTTCTCCTCTAGATGAGCTGCACAAGTGTCTTCTTGGAATTAGCCTAAGAAATTCTTTCACATATTCCCTGTATTAGAGCCTCTGATTTCAAGATACCCTAATTTCTTCTTTATTTATTTCTTCTCTAGTTTTGTTGGAGTATCTCCTTTGTTTCCTGGGAAAAGGTAGAAGACCTGTCTAAAAATGTCTTTATAGTATCTTCACACTCGAGTGTTTTGGCAGAGTATTCTAGATTAATATATTAAAACAAATTATCCCATTTTATAATATTTAACAAATTTAAACCTCACTGCTGTCTCTTCCCCTTCTGTCCCACATCTGGGCAAGCTGATAAAGTCCTGATGTTCCATCTTTTGGCAATGGCTACAAGGTAAAAACCACGTCTAAGAAACCTCATTCTGGTTCCACTTAACCACCGCCGCCGCCCCCCCCCCCCCCCCCCCGCCCACCCGGTTTCTTCTCCCTGCTCTCTCAAGCCATTTTCAGTCCTATTCAAGAGATGCTCTTCTCTTTAGAAAGCTTCATTATATGAGCAACAAACCTTTCCCTACCCTCTTGCTTATATGGGTGACATCACCAATCTTGAAATCTGAACCAAATTTTGGCTGCAGATCCATTCTATCTGAAATCAGTTTCCTTCAGAGTTTTAAATGCATTTTCCTACCATGTTCTAGCTTCTGGAGTTGCTTTTAGAAACTCAATGTTATTCATATTGTTCATTGTTTATTTGTAATCAACAATTTTTTTTCTGGAAGACTAAAGGATTTCTCTCTTTATCCTGAGGATTTTAAGTCACATTGTGTTGTGCCTTGGTATGGGTCTTTTTTCATTCGTTGTAATGGGCAGTTGATAGGTTCTTTTGTTATATATACACATGATCATTTTTTATTCTAGAAAAATTTCTAGCTTTATGTGTTTAATAATTTCCTTTCTGTTTATATAATGTCTAGAACTACAATTTCTCAGATGTTAGAATGTCTGAATTCATTTTTCTTTTTAAAACAGCATATAATACATTGCATACAATACAATTCATATTCCATAAAACTCCACCTTTTAAAGCATACAATTTAGCTATTTTTAGTATACTCACAGAATTATGTCACCACTGCCATTATTTTTATCTTTTAATGTTTATTCAATTTTTGGAATATTTCCTTAAATTCATCATTCAATCCTAAACATCCTAAACATCCTAGAATGTTTTATTTCTGACTTCGTATTTTTATTTTTTAAGAATACGTTCTGTTCTCTAAGTGCTCTTTTTCATAGTACCTTGTACTCATATCATGGATACATAGTTTCATTATGTTCAGAATTATTATTATTTCATTATCCCGAGGATAATGAAAACATGGTTTTTAAAATTTTTCGTTTCCTTGCAATGTCTATGTCCTTCAAGCTTCTTTTGTTTAGGTATCATTTATTTAATGATCATTTAAAAGCTTTCATTAAATGCCTTGTAATTCTTGAATGTTCAAGAATGAGGCACTAAAACAGCAATTGGAAACTCTAAATTCATGAGTGGGGTTTAGGAAGTAGTGGGCTTCACTGATGGATATTTAGATAGGGAGCAGGGCATTACTGCTAGAATATAGGTCTCCTTCTAGGGAGGGAAGACTACAAAAGAGAATCCTCCACTCTCCTAGTTGGGGAGTATTTTCCTGAGTGGGGTAAGGTAGGATAAGGGGCCTGAAAGTTACCCAGGTATACAAACTTAATTCCCTTCCCTCACCTCTGCACCCTTCTACTTATCAATACAGCAGTGCTGAGTCCAGATCCTCTGCTTCAATGTATCTGGACTGCCAGCGTGGGAAAAAGAGTCGTTGCTTGACAACACAGTGTTGGGGAAGGGATCAGAGCATCTAATCATTAATTTTAAAGATTTCCAAAAATCCTATTTTCAACACTATCTGTACTCATTTCTTCAGGAATGTATGATGACTCTAATTCCTGAAACTATAGCCTCAATCAGTTTATTTCTTTGCTGGTCCTTACTCTAGTCATCTAGCTTTCAGTTATTTTTTTCTTTTCTTTTCTTCCTTTCTCTTTCTCTCTCTTCTTTCTTTCTTTCTTTCTTTTCTTTCTTTTTTCTGTTAGGCCAAATATAACTTACTCCTCTACCTTCCATATTCTAAATTTTGTTGATTACTTCTTGTCAGCCAAGGTGTCTTCTCTTTTTCTCTACCTTGTGGCTTCATGCTCTTTTTATCCTTTAATTGATAGTTTAGTGAGGTTTCAAAAGGGAGAAGTAAATGTCTATGTTCAATCTTCCATCCTAAATATAAAGTCCTGAATTAATTTTCATCATGTTGCAAAATTATTACATTCCAAGGCAGAATTAAAACAGTTACTTACATATTAAATGGAATTCTGTAGGCTTTTAAAAACCTAATCATCTACATTTTATTATGGGAAAAAAGTATTCCAGGTTTCAAATATCAATCAACAAATGACACCTTAGAATACAACCAGTTTGCAAATTGGACACAGTCCATTTTCTATTTCCTTCTATCTTTTACACATCAACTTGATAAATCTAGTAACCAAGGACATATATTGTGTACTTAAACTATAATTTAAGAAGATAATAATTATGGTTAAATAGGTTATTTTCTCTAAACAGCGTATAAAACTCATTCAACAAGCATTTGAAATTATATCATGTCCCAAACATGGGCATAAAGGTAAGGCTTATTCTCAATGGCTGTATAGCCAAGAGTAACAAAAGCAATAATACTGTTGTTTTGAGTCCTAATAGAAGTATACAAAGAGTACCACAGAATTCCCAGGAAAGAACAAATTCATGTAGGAAGAGAAAACTCTGGTTAGGAGAACTTCCCAGTAGAGACAGCATCTGATTTTTTTTTCTTAAAGAACAAGTAGAAGTTAAACAGGTAAAGAGGGGAGAGGGCAGGAGACACATTTGTTTTTTGTTTTTTGTTTTTTTTTATAAATTAATTTTTATTGGTGTTCAATTTACCAACATACAGAATAACACCCAGTGCTCATCCCGTCAAGTGTACCCCTCAGTGCCCGTCACCCATTCACCCCCACCCCCCACCCTCCTCCCCCTCCACCACCCCTAGTTCATTTCCCAGAGTTAGAAGACTTTATGTTCTAGGAGACACATTTGTTGAGCACATCTCTTATTCTTTTGTACTATATTCTAGGAAATGTTCCTATATTCTATTTTCTAGCTATTTAATTTGATTTTGACCTGAACCCATTTCAACATTCAGATCATTTAATGAGGTTTTAAATTTGATGATATTTTTAGTTTCTGGAGACTATAATTTTTGTTAAAGCAGACAGTTATATTATAGATCCAATGGCCTCTTGTCTTTAAAGAGATATTTAAAGTTTTTCACTATTTCTCCATTTGTTATTGTTTGCTCCATTTGCTGCCTCTCTTCCATGCCACTGCTTTTATTCAAAGGTTTGGCTGCTCCTGGTTGTTCTCTACTTAAGAATCTTTACTTGTATAGCAGTGCATATAAATTCTGAAACAGCAGCCTACTTCTGGAGATTTTTAGAAGAGTGATGAGACATTCTGAGAACCTATGTTCTGCATGATGATATCTTCTTGTATTTTCTGAGTATTGTAGGTTACTTGGGGCACTGTCCTAATTGGCTAATGTATATACTACAAGATTCCATTATCAGAAATCCCACTCAGAGAGCCATACTATATCTCTATCCTGGGGTTAACAAGCATAAGCATAATCTATCTCTTTTACCTTTTTCTCCCTCTGCTACCCTTGTGGCAATCTGTATCTACTTCAGAGTCTCTTCTGCTTCTCACTCCAGCCCCAAAATCGACACTTATGAGCCAAACCCTTAGTTCACTTTGTTTAGGAGTAGTTCCCAGGGTTTATCCTGGCAGCAAGTATTGTAGCTGTCAACATTTCCAATGTAAGAAAGGGATGAGGAGGAACCAGGCCACGTAGTGGCAGAATGTAGTGTTTAATTCATCACCTTGACCATTCCTTCAGGGTCCTTTTATTATAGTAGTTTGTGTGTGCATGTGTGTGGGGTGTGTGTGTGTGTGTATTTACTGAACAACTGTTTCAAATGTCTCTAGCGCTATTCTTAACTCAGCAGTGGTTTTTCTCTGCTCTTCAAATATTAAGCAATCTGATCTCATCTGGTTTTGTTTTTTTTTAAGATTTTATTTATTTATTCATGAGAGACAGAGAGAGACAGAGATACAGGCAGAGGGAGAAGCAGGCTCCCGGCAGGGAGCCTGATGAGGGACTTGATCCCAAGTCCCCAGGATCACGCCCTGGACCAAAGGCAGCACTAAACCGCCAAGCTACCCAGGGATCCCTGATTTCATCTGGTTTTAAGAATCCCTCAGTATTTCTGGTGTGCTGATGGAATCCTTTCTTGTTTTTAAATATAACTTCAGGGCAGCCCCGGTGGTGCAGCGGTTTAGCGCCGCCTGCAGCCCAGGGTGTGATCCTGGAGACCCAGGATCGGGTCCCACATCCAGCTCCTTGCATGGAGCCTGCTTCTCCCTCTGCCTGTGTCTCTGCTTCTCTCTCTGTGTGTCTTTCATGAATAAATAAATAAAATCTTAAAAATAAAATAAAATAAAATAAAAATAAATATAACTTCAATTACACTAATATGTAAATGGCTCATAAATTTCTATCAGCAGCCCTCCATATCCAACTGCCTATTTGGCATTCTACTTAGTCATCTTAAAAGTACTCATACTATATTAAAAACATAACTTATGATCCTTCCCTCAAGCAATATTTTTTTCAATAAATGATACCACCTTACATCCAGTTACACAAGCCTGAAACAGATCTCTTTGATTTTGATCCCTCCATCTCCTTCATTCTTCATTTGCCATATTCTGGCAGTTTCAGTTCCTAAAATAGTCATGAGCTATGCCCACTTCTTTCCATATATATCCTATGTCATATTTTAGTACAAAGTGCCATCAATTCTCCCCTAAACTACTGTAATAACCTCCCATCTGATCTATTTGCATCCATTCATGCTTCTTTCCACACCACAGCCAAGGTGATCATATATTTTCCTAAGTAAAAGACTTCAGTGGCTTCTTGCTGCTCCAAATACAAACACCAATATCTTTGGCATGGCCTACAAGGCTATGCAAGGCCCCTGTCTGTTCAACCTTGTCTTATTATTGCATTTCCCCTTCCTCTCTGTACCACAGCCACACTGGCTTTCTTTCAGTTCACTGAACACATAAGTCTTAGTCCCATATTAGGGTCTTTGCACATGCCATTCCCTCTGCCTGGATGGTTCTTAACTCAGTTAATTTCCAAGGTATTTTCTCCTTTTCTTCCTATCTCAATTCATTTGCTGTTCTCTCATGGAAGCCTTCTCTAAATTCTCCAATTAAACTCAATTAGTTATACTCAACTCAATCTCTTTTGTAGTATTTATCTCAATTTTGATTTACTGGTGTGTTCTTGAAGGCTTTGAGGATGAGGTCCATTGTAAAGGCAGAAGGATTCACCTTGAACTAGAAGAAAGACACCTCTTCCACTGAGATGGGAAGATGAGGCAAAAATCTAGATGGATGCTTATATTTGTAAGAAACAAAGCTGAGGGAGTTCACATCTGACAGTCTTACCTGATACTAGCTCACTATTGGATGAACTACTGTCAACCTGGAGGTCATTAGGCACTGACTCCTAAGGGAAATAAGAATTAAAAATATAACACAAATTATGGGACTGAATATTTTCATATTATACTATTTTATCATGTTGATTTGGTTATTTTAATAGAGAAAAACTAATATCAACTTTGTGTGTCAGTTTCATATGCAATAGATTCTTTCAGCCTACTGATCACAGACATGATCTGATATTTAATATTAAATTAAAAAGTAGGGATCAAAAAAAAAAAAAAGTAGGGATCCCTGGGTGGCGCAGCGGTTTAGCGCCTGCCTTTGGCCCAGGGTGCGATCCTGGAGACCCGGGATCGAATCCCACGTCGGGCTCCCGGTGCATGGAGCCTGCTTCTCCCTCTGCCTATGTCTCTGTCTCTCTCTCTCTCTCTCTCTCTCTCTCTCTCTCTGTGTGTGTGTGTGTGTGACTATCATAAATAAATAAAAATTAAAAAATAAAAAAATTTAAAAAAATAAATTAATTAAAAAGTAAATACTAAAAATATAATAATGTGGACATATCTACAGAGTCAGCAATATGCTATCGACTACCTACTGTGGGATAAACCAGCAACCAGAAGTTAAAAGTGAATATTCTTCTGATCTCCTAGGTAAAAAGGGCTTTTCTTTCTCTAAATATGAAAGCAAAAGAAATCACAAGACTGATAAGTCTAAAATACCAGAAATATGATCAAAGGCAAACACAAAAATATAAAAATATTTGTTATACATGTGTGTAAAAGAGTAATTATCTTCAACATATAATGAATAAGCAGTTCACAGAAAAAGAAACACAAATGGCTAATAAAATGAGGGAAGGAAGTGTTTACTAACATTCAGAGAAATGAAATATCAAATAATAGGCTACTTTTCATCTTTCAAATATATGTATTTTTTAAGTATCAGGTAAAATGGTGCCAAGTGGCCAACACAAATCAGAAACTTTAAACATGATCCAACCCCTGATTCACTACAAAGTTATTTGCCTTAGGATAACAATTTTAAGGTACACAAAAACTTCTGTGGTACAATGTCCACTGATATCTAAAATGGCAAAACCTGGGAAACAATCTCAATCCTCCAACCCCAGGAAAATAGTTATATAAATTACCGTATATCTATCTTTAAGACAAAAAGCACTATGCAGACATTAAAAATCATATTTTTGAAGACCATTTAATGTTAGAGGAATATACAATAAAGATAAAATTTTCTAAATTGAAAAAAAGGCACAGAAAAAAGCAATGTAAAGAAATACATAAAAATTAGAAGAAACTTTTTAAACTTTTTTTTTTTTTTTTGCATATTCTGAATCATCTACAAGGAACACTTAACACTGTTAAAAATCTGGGGTAAAATCCTTTTGAATAAATGCCTTTTGTTGGAACTGCCCACCCCCAAAACACATGTTTTAGAGAGATATGTAAGCTAAAGCACTGGAACACGACTATTTAATGCTAATGATAGATGAGTCACAAGCAATTTTTAAAATCTGAGTTTCTCCAAACTACTGCTATATATCTTTAAAATATTATATGGAATCCATATTACATACAGTAGACCAGGAAGTTCTATAGTATTCTGATGATAATAAACAGTTTCTAGCTGTTAATGGAAAGTCAAATGAGAATGAAAATGGTTTTAAAATGGTTTAAGTGCTATTAAACATTAGGGAGTTACCAAGAACACTTAAATATACCTGTTTCATAGAAAACTAGCCACTAATGGGCATTTCTCAAATTTTTGTCGAGGGAAACTAAAAAAGAAATATATATATATATATATATATATATATATATATATATATAGCTATGAATCCACAGAATCAGAAATTCAAGGCCCTATCTAAAGAGAAAACACCAACGTTTATAAAAACGCTAGGAAGCTATGTAGTCTTTACCGAACAAAAACCTTATTGTACTTTAATCTGAAGGCACATTGGTTACCGGTTGGTCTCTGCTTTAAGTATATCAAAGGTCCTTACAAGGAACATACATACACTCAATGGTGCAGCCTTCTCATCCGCGGGCTCTTCATTAGTGACATTTTCTTGCAGGCTTTTCTGTCCTGTAACTCTTAGCTGAGTGCTAGGCAAACAAACAACACAATTAATTTTCCATGGTGTGGACTTGGCTCTCCGCGTCTCTGTTCACAGTTCACACTGGAACCTTAAAGGCTATTTAGGGACATTATTAAGAAATAGTAAAGACCCCAGTGGACTAACTGTACCCAGTACTTGCGGATGGTATGAATGCTTTCCTGAAGGTTTTATCTCACTTGCTTTTAAAAGTAACTTGGCAAAACTGCTCTTAAGAAAAATTAATAAGTCTTTCCAAGGGCACCTGGGTGGCTCAGTCAGTTGAGCTCCCACTAGAGATTTCGGCTGAGGTCGTGATCTCATGGGTCCTGAGATCAAGCCGCATGCCCCAGGGCGTCGGCTTGGGATTCGCTCTCCCTGGGCCTCTCTTGCTCGCCTTCTCTCTCAAATAATTTCTGGGTCTATGTTCTGAGAGGAGCCAATTTGTCAAGAGCATTCCACCTATTTTCTTCCTTGACTCTTAGAATGAGAGGCTCCAGGCAGAAAATGAGGACGTAAGTTTCGAGGAGGCAGAAGGCCTGGGCCAGGCACTAGTGGCTACGCACCTCCGCGGCCGAGGGCCGCCACCTCCCCGCCCACTGCACTCGGCCTTCTCCGAGATCTTCTGCAGACGGTGCATTTTCCCTTTCAGGCCTAAGAAAAGACGACATATTTCAGGGCAAAGCCTGGGAGGCGCGCTTGCCGCCCTTGAGTGTGTGTGGGCCAAGACCTCGTCACCGGCCTCCCAGCTGGGGCTTACGGTGCGCGGAGTGCCTTCTGCCTGGAACCAGGGGAGGCTCTGCCTTCGCAGTGGGGCCTTGGTCCGGTGTTGGGGTTAGGTTGAGCCTCTGGCCGGCCCGCTTCTTGCGGGTATAGACCTGCAGCGACCACATTGCCACCTCACCCGCAAGGCCTCGGGGACCTCTTGGCCCCCCACAGCCTGTCCCTTCGCCTTCCTGAGCAAACGAGCTACAGTCAGAGTGCGCCACCGTCCAGGCAGTGTCGCTGCCTGCGGAGCAATAGGAGAGGAACGGGGCAAAGAGAAGCAGAAAGCCCACAGCGCCAGGGCCCGACTGACTGAAGCCGCTAGGCGGACTCCCGCCCTTTTTTTAATCGCTACCAAACCGCGCGATGGCTTCTGGGAAACGGCGTAACGAGGAGGAGACTCCGCCCCCCTGGAGGCCGCCCCGCCCCCTTGGGGACGCGGCGTTCGGGGGTTTGAGGGTGGGCTCGAGCGGTTGCAGGACCAGTGGCGCAGGCTCCGTCCTCTCTGTGAGGAAGGGAAGCGTATGCGGAAAAGCCATTTAATTCTCCAGAAGGTTGCTCCTTTCTCATTCTTTCCTTAGTGTGATGGGCCCGTCACGCGTACGCTAGTGGTGGCCCGGCCCCTCGTAACAGGGCAGTGACCCTTGGTAAGGGAGTTCAGGTGTTCAAACGTAGGGCACCGAGCGGAGGGAGCGGGAACTGGGGAGAAGGATGGAGGCTGTCGCCGGACTCAGTGCCCAAAGGTCAGCCGGGAACGAAAGCACATTAGTCCAATGGGGAGTATCCTCCTGAGCAATCAGCTTCAGTCGCAGGGACACCAATATACGAGGGGAGGGGGGCGCTGAGCATTCAAAGATCTTGGGTCCACGATATTTCTTTTTAAGGAAAGCAGAATCCCTTAGCCCCTGCCCAGGAGCTATCTCCTGGACATCGGGGCAGCCTTATGACCAAGGGAGAGAATTTCTTACCTCTTGGGGCTCAGCTAGTTTGCTCTGCCTCATTGCAGGGAAGTAGGAATGACCTCGCTCTCTCCATACACCCTGGATGAACCATCTGGCTGCATCTGATAAACATATTGTGCACATAATAACCATTTTCCTATTTTTAAAAATGACATTTCACAACATTAAAAAATGCATTTGTAGAAATAAAATTACAAAAACTTAAAGGACTTTTTTGTGATATTCCAATATTGTATGTGTGACTATAGCACACATGCAGCCACAATATTTTCATAATGAAATCACTCTGAATTTTTTTTTAATTTAAAATATGCTCATAGAAAGTCATGACAGTTGATTCAATATGTAATTAATCATTAAAACTTAGCTTTGTAAAGAGCAGAAGGTGATTATCCTTACCTAATTAGATATAATGCTTTGAATCCCTGAATCAATACTTACCCAGCACCTTACTCTGTATTAGAGGTTGTGGTAGGTCCTGGGGATACAGAGGTGTGTTAGAAACAGTCCTTCGGCCTAGGATCTCATAGTGGTGTTGCAGTGCAAAGCAATTATCATATTTCAACCTCCTTTTCTTGAGTCATATCCATAATATGCTCACCGGCAGTCTCTAGTTTACAAGTCGGGTCTCCAGGCTCTCCTTTTTCCCTTTGGGGGGCTGTTGTGAAAAAAACTTGGAGTTCTTAAATGACCTGTGGGAGGTCTGGGTCCTTCCATGCCCTACACCTAGAAATGGAAGAAACAATGAAAAAGGAAAGCAGCTTAAAGCAAAAGCTGATTTGTGCTTTGGTGACCCTATGCCCTACAGGTCTGTCTCACTCTACTGATCTGCATTTACTGAAATGCCATCAAGTAAAGATTTATGGGAGTTGATGCATAGGGTTTCAAAACTGGAAATAACCTTTGGAATGATTTCTTGAACCAAAAGAGGTCCTTGGAGATAATCTAGTTGCCTCTTCATTTTGCAGCTGAGGGAACCACAGCCTAGGGAGGAGGCTCCTTATGACAGATGATTGGCATAGGTGGTATGAGTCTCTCCTGGCTTTTGGCTAGTGTGTTTGTCATGACCCTGTTCCTCCTAACACATAGCTGGGGAGGGGGTAGGGAGGAGAAGGAAAGGAGTTTGAACCCCTTAGTAGCAAGGGAATGAAAGAGACTACAGACAGACTTGGTCTGTTTAAAGCTTCACCCAGAACCAGCCTATAAAAGGGAAGGAGATGTGTCCCTTACAAAAGGACGAGGTAGGGCAGACACATCTCAATTCAGTTATCTCTTTGTCTCCCCACATTCTGTCCCCAAATCCACAAATGCCAGTGCAAGTATCCAGGAGTGTTAAATTGAACCTCTCCCACTTCCCTTGGCACTCCTTCTATATCTACACTCAGAATTCTGTTATCACTGTTTCAGTTCAGTCATGTGATTGGTTTGACTAGGTTTGGAACAGTTAACGCAGTTACTAACTTCCATGGGAAAACAAATTCCAAATTTTGAAGAGATTTCTCAAGAAAGTTTTTTTTTTGAAAACAGCCAGCTTGTGGCTTTAGGATTCCTTGGAGCCCAGAAGAAATCTTTCCGTAGGCTTTCTTATGGAGTGATCCAACCCACTGATCAGTTTTATTTGTGGTACTGTACACAGGTTTCAAGGTGCAATTGAAAAACCAGTTTAGTTTTGCTTATTTGACAAGAATGAAACAAACAACCACAATGATAGATGAAATGTATTTACAGGAAGTGCAATCATAATGGACATGAACATTATGCATGAATACATGAAAAAGAGCCAAGTGGAATTTTCATTAAATGGATATTTCTTGAGCATCCACTTATAGACCAGACCTTCTGCGCTGAGGCTACAATCTCAAGCTACTCAGTTGAGTGGGGGTGTGGCAGAGGGAATCTTCTAAGATAAAAGGATAGTTGAGCTGTTACAAGACCGGCATGATAGAAGTTAGCAGGGAGTTAAAAGGCTATGGCATTCTATGAAAAGGGGACCATATGTGCCATGTGGAGGCACAGAAAAGCATGATGCTTTTAGGGGACTGCATAAAGTAGATGGTATGACTGGAGCCAAGGCTCCATGGGGGAAGGGCAGGAGAAGATGCGAGGCCTTGTGCGCTGAACCAGGGAGTTTGAACTTCATCCTGAGAACTATGGGGAAGTCATTGAAGGAATACTAATCAGGAAAGTGGCATGACCCAATTTTCAATTTAGAAAGATCACACTGACTAAAATGTGGATGGTGAAATTTAAGAAAGCTGCGGTGGAAACGAGAAGACTAATTAAGAAAGAATGGTAATATTCCAGACCAGAGATGAGAGTCGCCCCAACTCTACTAACAGCTGTAAGAACGAAGGCGTGGGTGACAGCAAATATACAAAGAAAGAACCTGCGTCAGTTAGCATGGCAGAATGGACCATTTTAAGAAAGTCTGACCATTAGCTTGGATATGGGTAGAAGACATTATTGAAATACTATTTCAGGGGCATCACAATGGAAAATTTGAATACGGTTATTTGTTCTTTCAAAAGTATAAAAATGACTTAAATCCAGGACACGTGATAAAAGCAAATGTGCAAAGCAAAGGAGAGCGTCTCTGGGTGGGGACTGTAAATCTTTGGAGTTTGGGGATCCCTACAAAGGATGCAGAGTATGCTGACTAGTGTGAGAAAGCTGGACATAATATTTACCATCGGCACTATGATCAATGATGACTAATATACTAACATCAGGGGATTATGCTATATAAATATATAAATAGTAATTATAAGCAACTTTGAGAAATGAAAAATCTTTATTTTTTACAAAAGTTTTCATAAATGCATTTTATATTTGATAGGCATGCTATTATAACAAAGCAACTAAAAATATAATTACAGTTAAGATACTTTAATGCGTATTTAAAAGGTAATATTTTAATCTCCTCAGTTTTTAGAAATTGAAAGTAGGATAAGCAATTCTTCAAAAAATATCAATTTCCTTCTCCAACCCCCACCCCATGCAATTGTTGCAATGACTTAATAAGGAAAATTAGTCAAATGAATGTCTAGAAGCCACTGTCAACCTCATCAAAACCTTTTCAGTTTGGGACAAGGTTTAGAAATGCTTATATTCCAGGTATTTATCTATTGCCTCTAGGTTATAACCATTCATTGTTCTAAATCAAGAGTTTCTCATTTAGGGCTTTGTCCTCGCTTGAATGTTAATCCCATTCTTCCTGCAGTTAATTGTAGAATCACAGAAAGGACTGTGCGCATACTTAAAAAATTCAGACTATCAGGATTGTTTTCCTTTTCATGTTTATGCTTCCTTAAAATAAAAACAGGCAAGAAAATATAGCAACTTAGTTCAACATATAATTTATCAATTTATCAATATATCAATCTTATATATGGTTATTCATTCTTTTTTTTCCTGAGATATTAAGCAAGTTTGTAAGCAATCTGTTTTCATGCAAAAAATAATTTTTCCATTGTTTACATTCATTTCATAGTATTTTGTATTCTAAATAACTATATCACCTTTGTGCTTTATACATTTGGAAAATAAAGAATAATTCATTTTCCTTACTGCAGAAAAAATAAAAGATGATCAGTTCATTGATGGGTAATACAACCAAATTAAGAGCTACCTTCAAGTTGCTGAAACATTACCTGACTATAAAAATTGCAATGGGAAGTTCTATTTTTCCTCATGCATCCAGTTTTACTTAAATTTAGAATGAAAGTTTGACTAGCATATATGAGGGAGACATGGTATGTTTATTCCTCGGACTTGTGAGTTTGTGAGTTCCTAAAATGTGGAACTAGACCTCCACACCATACCTCATTTTCTCTCACTGGAGGGGAATCACAATATAAAGATGTCTTTTATGGAAAAGGAAAAAAATTGGCATATATTCTATTTTAAAAAATACACAGGATTAGTTTGTAAAATGTGAAAATTCCTAATTTATCTTACTAATTATATTATCAATTTACATTTGAATGAAAAACAGATAAAAGGCCAAAGAACATGTTTTCTATAATTGATCTCTGTTATACCTCTAGATTTATATCCAATCTGATGTCTACTGTATATGTGAACATGTTAAGGACATAACCTTTTCCCATATTCATTGAAGAGAAATACAAAAATTTCCCCCCAAAATGAAGTTGAGAAATCTGAAGCAAAAAGGATTTTTCCATTAACATATATTGTTTTATTTCTCCTTTATTAAAAAATTCAGCAAAGTTAAACAGAGGAATAGATAAATGTACCTGCAGTATATTTAGCGCCCACTGTCTACTTTTTTCAGCACATCTGCTGTAACCTATTTATTGGCCTAAGTGTGATGCTTTTCACACAGATCAAGAAGGCCAGAAGACACATGAAGATCTTTAAAGTGAGAAAAAGAAGAAATGCTTAAGCTGTCTATAATCAATCATATCTAACTACAGACAATGAGGTATAAATAGAATCAATGTAAGTTTTAAATTATTTGCTTATGTTACATTGTCCAAAATCCTTTTGGAAATGAACGACAATTATGAAATTTTGGTTGAGTAGAAAGAAAATGGGAAGCAGCTTCATTTTTTTCAGATGTGAAGCTATTTGCCTTATTTAAAATAGTATGAGTAATTCAGGTAATGATTTTCTCTTTTAATTAGTCAGACACTAAACATAAAAAATTAGTGCCGTATAGACATGGCCTTGGACATTTTTTTAACTTGTTCTTTTCAGAACTGCCTTTAAAAGTTAATATGCAAAGACTAGCACATATACTCAAAGTCAGATTTATAAGTGTAAGTAGAAGGTCTGCAGAAAGAATATGCCGAAGGAATATATAAAAATTGGGTAAGTGCATCAAATGAAGGTGTGATCCATTTTTGCCAAGACTGAAATATAAGTGTATAATCACTTATTCAAATTCACCATCGGCCTGTGTGATAATGCTTTTTATTTTTTTTTTTTTAACCAATAGCATTTATTTACAGCTTGGATTTGCTCCAGCAGAGAGGAACTTCTGGACTGTGAACACTACTCCCACGTCTGCTTGCAGAGTCCTGTCTCTATAGAAGAAAACACTTGTCTAGGGATAGTTCCTTCTGCAGATGCACAGTCTATAGCTTGGAACCTAACTGCTGTCCATGCTGGGCTTTAGTTATATGAAACTGTTGGCACTCAGGTGCAAGAAATATCGAAATACATAATGCAAGAAAGGAGGTTTCCATGGTTAAGCTTAGAAGCATTTAAAGATTTTATGAATGGAATTATGCACTATGAGATATTTATCTATCTATGATGAACTTAAGTTTTCTAAGGGTATTTTGAAGAGGTTCTTCAAAATTAAGTTGTTGAAAAACTATTTTCTTTGGAAATAACATCGCCTCTTCCCATTGTTCAGGACTATAGCCATATTGGGTTTTCCAGGCCTGGCATGGACATATTGAGAATGGAAGGCCTGAAGAACCCAGCAAGGAACATAGGTACATTAATTGCTGCCTATCCTGAGAAATACTTCTGGGTTTCTTTTCCCAAGTCTTCCCCAAAGGTCTATTCATTGTACAGTCGACAGACATCTTTTAGAATTCATGTGTAAGAAGTCCATGGATATACACATAGTATCCTTGAAGTCATACTTTTTTTTTTCTGGGTAGTTCCTGAATATTTTAATGAGCTTAATAAATGAAAAAATGTATTGAAAGATCACTGTTAAATGTTATTGTAAATAAAACATTTGTTTCAAGAATATCTGACTTTGCATTTTTCATGAATAAAAGTATAAATAAGAGGGAAAACTTGTTTACACCAGTAAGAATTGTCATGTATAAGGAATTTGAAGTTATGTAGAATGTGCATTCATTATGTCTCGTTTTAGCATGATTGTGTACACATGGTTTTAATTTTTTAAGTCTGATTTAACTGTGATTCTGACAGTTATTGAATGAGGTAGTCCACATTGCCTAGATAGTTGCTGTATCTGGTTACTACTCCACAAATAATTAAGTACAATATATCAGTTATATTTTTCCTTTATGTTTAATAGGAGTTCTGTGAACATTGAGAATATATTACTTTTAGTGGTACACAGTCCTTGAGAAAAGTCTTGATTTTTACATTGCCATTTGTGATATTTTTAGCAGCTTGTTACAATATCATTTTAATAAAAATAAAGTGTACTCAGTGATGATAGAGAAAATATTGTTAAAGACCTCTTGGGACAGGAAAAGGCTCAATCATAAGGTCACGTGCTTATTCATTTCGGCTGCATCATTCTGATTCATTACTTTCAAAAGTAACTATAATATTGCTACACAGTCCATTATACTGAGAAGAACTTTCCTTGAACTTCACATGGAGATTGAGTAAAGCTCTTCTATTTGTTTTTTGAAGTACTCTCTCAGCTCAGGTCTCTTAGCCTTTAGTGTTGGTGTCAGCAAGCCATTCTGAACTGAGAACATGTCAGAGTGGATGTGAATGGCTTTAACCTAAAAACCAAATGCAGAATATGTCTTTATCAGGAATATAACATAGCATTTATAGCATACATGATAAAAGTAAACAGGCATACAAGAATAGATATATTGATACAAAAACACTATGCTCATTTAAAAAGTCAAAATTATGTTAATAACATTTCAACCTATTTAACACATCTGCAAGCCACCTCTTTCCCTTCCTATTTCTTCATTTAGCCAGTCAAGAGAAATGAACTGGCTGCTTATTCTGTGCCAGGCTGAGGACACAAAGAAGAATCATGAGTGTCCTTGTCCTTAATGGGTGCACACTGGCATCCAGCAGGGCAGGCACAGAGTGACAGGTGCCAAACGCACCAGTGGGGGTGAAGGAGGAGCGGTCAGGGAAGCCTTCCCAAAGTAGATGAATGTTAAAGAATGAGTGAGAGTTAACCAGCAAAGGAGGCAAGGTGGGTGGTGGAGGGCATTCTAGGCAGAAGCAACCCCAACAACAAAGCTATGGGAGTGAGAAAGGAAATCTAAGTGGTTTCTGGTTGTAGCTATATGAAGTAGGAGGAAAAGGGGGTAAGAGATACAGCTGAAGTGGGTAATATGACCGTTTATAGAGGAGCTCCAACTTCGTGCTAGAGTCAGTAGGAAGGCACTAAAGGTTTTTAGAGACGGCACTGATATGGCTGAATATACATTTTAGAAAGACCTCTCCAAGAGGAATGTGAAAATGGTTTTTGAGAACATGAAGGTAAGAAACAGGGAAACCAATTTGAGGGATCTAGTCAATCCATGGGAGACAAGATAAGGACCTAACTATGCTTAGAGCAGTGACAGAGACAGACACAAGCAAGCAGCTCGAAGAACCATTCAGTGGGCAAGAGGTAGTAAAGAGGAAAGCAGCCTCCAGGACTCCCAGATTTCTGATCTGGATGGATACATGAGGGGTGATGCAATTCACAGGACGAATATAAAGTCTTGGGGGGACATGATGAGTCTACACTTAAAAAAAAAAAAAGTCCTGCCATGGCATTTTATCATATCTACTGGGAGGAGGCATGCATGGAGGGATTAGGTTTAGAGTTGCATACTTTCTATTCCTATGAGACAGATCCTAGGCCTCCTTGTGCGAAGTCCCTTTGCAATGCTGAATTAGGGCCAGAGACAGGTGAACTAAGTAGGAGGGCCTGGGTAGACTTGTACCACGTAAGGTTCCATCAAGGGTCACTGACAGTTCCATGATAATTTTATGATCTGGGCTTGAGCTTAATCCTTGAATGATACTGCTTCCAAGAAATTGTGTCCTGACTGATAGCTGGGTCTAAATTAAGAGATTCTTATTAAGATAATAGACCCAAATCATTAGATAGCAAATAGGGTTATGAATTGCTGCGGTAGACTTTCTAATAAGAATTTTTTATCACAGTTCTAAAAAATAAAATTGTCATGGACCTGAAGCACAGACACACAATGTGACTACAAATACCATTTGCTAAACATTCATGTCATTTGTCCTTACATGCATGTTATTCAAAGTCCAAAATGAAATTTTGAAACTGAAACAACAAACCTCTCAGAATCTTGTGGAAGAGAAGCCCAGCAAGAAGTGTACCAAATCCTAAGTGCTCCCTAGGTATGTACCACTGACCCTTGAACAACAATGGGGTTAGGGTAGCTGACCCCCTGCACAAATGAAAATTCATGTTTAACTTTTGACCCCCCCCAAAACCTAACTATTAATAGCCTATACTGATTGGAAACTTTATCGATGACATAAATGGTTGATTAACACATATTTTATATGTTACACATATTATATACCATATTCTTACAATGAGGTAAGCTAAAGAAAAGAAAATGTTAGAAAGAAAATCATAAGAAAAAAAAAAAAACATAAGGAAGAGAAAACACATTTACAGTAGTATACTATATTTATTGGAAGAAAAAAAAGCCACATCTAAGTGGACCCCTCCAGTTCAAACTTGTGTTGTTCAATGGTTGACTGTCATAGACATTTAGAAAATTAATTCAAAACATATATGTTAAATACACATATACGTTCATTTGTTGTTTTCTGTAATTGACATTTATTGAGCAACTCCTTTGTAATAGGTATGTGTCAGGCATTAGGGATAAAAGAATAATAAGACACAGTTACTAACCACATGAATTTATAATCTAATGATAGATACTTCTATATGACATTGTGGTGACAGTATGATATTGCTACTATAGGGACAAGCACAGAGAAGGCCACCTTTCTCAGGCAGAATCGGTTGCTCTGCCAATACCCAATCTTGACTTTTTCCATGCTAATGAAACTCTAATTTTGTTTAGGGCCAAAAGCATCTAAGTCAACCATGACAATCACCTTCCCTAATTTCCCAGCCACCCTGGCATCTAGGGGACAGCCATGAGATCTATTTTTGGATAGTGAGAAAGGAAACTTTTTGCTTTCCTAATAAAAGGTTCAGCCATAGCCATCTCCACCACTCTTTTTTCCTTCCTTAAATATGGACAATGTCTAAAGCTGTAGAAGCCACCCTGTGATAAGTCAACATATCAAGAAAGGAGAGTGGAAAGACAGGTAGAGCTTAGGTCTCTGAGGACCTGCACCTTCCTTGGACCACCTATCATCACACTTATGTGAGAAAAAATACAAAAACACACCCAAGTGTTTAAGACATTGTGGCTTTTCTGTTAGAGCTGAATGCATTTCTGATATAGCACCCAACCCAGACTTGGGGAGGATTCATTGAAAAGAGATGCCTGAGTTGACTCTGAAGGATAAGTCAGCTTTAGCCCAGTGAAGATAGCAAGGGGAAAAAGGAGTGGTTGCTATGTAGCCCAAGGAAAGTAGGGTGCTCTAGGTAGAAGCTACAGGTGCCAAAGCACATTTGGGGCATTCCATGTGTAGGCTGAAGCATATGATACAGGTTAAGAAGAAAACAATCGGGCTGGAGAGATACACTGGGGCCAAGTTATAAATGTTAATACACCGAAGAAGGGAGTATGGACATGATTCTTGCAACAGTTTTAAGGAGTGAGAGAAAGAACGGCTCTTTAGAAAAACTATTGTGCTAATGGTGGACTGAAGTGAGGTAAAAGTGGAAACTGTAAGACCAGCCAAAAGGCAAGAATAAGAGTGACTTGGGCTATAAAAGTTGGCTGTGGAGATAAAAACAGATTTTGAGGAGAGAAAGGACAGGACTTGCAATTTGCTTAGGTAAGTGGTAAAGAAAGAGAAATAATAAGAATGACTCTAGGTTTCTGCTTGAGAAGAAAAACTGGAGGAACGAGATAATTCTTTGGAGGAGGGAAGATCAAGTATTTGTGTTAAAGTCTGGAATGCTTCTGAGACAACCAAGTGGTTTTTGGATACTGGATATCAGTTATCAGTATGTAGGACAGAGCAGCAGCCTGGGCTTGAGACAGAGGAGCGACATGATGAGTAGAAAGGAATTGGAGTGTGGGTTACAAAAGCCAGGAGAACAAAAAATGAGAGGTCACTCTGTTAGATGCTACTGTCATATAAGAACTGTTCCTAAGGGATGCCTGGGTGGCTCAGGGGTTGAGCTTCTGCCTGCAGCTCAGGGCATGATCCCAGGTCCAGGGATTGAGTCCCGCATCAGGCTCCTAGCGAGGAGCCTGCTTCTCCCTCTATGTCTCTGCCTGTCTCTCTATCTCTCATGAATAAATAAATTAAATCTTAAAAAAAGAGAACTGTTCATAAAATCAGTGGGCACAATCAGGAAATGACTTATTTCAAAAATCAATTTATGTACCACCTCAATACCCTTAGGATAGCTATTATCCAAAAAAACAGAAAGTAACAGATGTGGAGAAATTTGAACACTTGCACACCGTTGATGGGAATATAAAATGGTGTGGTCACTGTGGAAAACAATATGGAAGTTGCTCAAAAAATAGAAAATAGAATTACAACATGACCCAGCAATTCCACTCCTGGGTATATACCCAAAAGAACTGAAAGCAAGATATGGAAAAGATACTGGTACATCCACATCCATAGCAGCATTATTCATAGTAGCTAAAACATGGAAGCAATCCAAATGTCCCCTGACAGATAGATAAGCAAAATGTGGTTATAGGCATACAGTGGAATATTATTTGCTCTAAAAGGGAAGGAAGTTCTGATATGTGCTACAACATTATGCTAAGTGAAATAAGCCAGTCACAAAAAGATAAATATGGTATGATTCCGTTTATATGAAGTACTTAGAATAATCAAAGTCATAGACACAGAAAGTAAAACGGTGGTTGCCAGAGGCTAGGGTAGTGTGGGGAAAATTGGGAGTTATTGTTTAACAGGCAGTTTCGGTTTTACAAGATGAGAAGAGTTATGGAGATGGATGGTAGTGATAACTGTACATTACAAATATATCTAATAGTACTAGACTTGTACACTTAAAACGGGTAAGCTGCTAAATCTTATGTGTATATTACCACAATAAAAAAAAGAAAAAAGAAAAAAAATTCAGTGTATGCAAATAGTTGCAAAATGTTGAGTATGTCCATGATTGTTTTCAAAATCTCTGATGTTAACAGTCCTGTGTCCTGGGAGGTGGGCCTTTTGAGATGGCAAAGAATTCTTTGCTGAGAAAACTGCATTATTCAGATAGAAAACTCAATATACAAGGAAGACTCCTAAAACAGCTATACTATCAACTTCCTAAAAATCCTTAAAGAAAAATTCTCACAATTTCTGGCATTTTTAAACCCATGCTTGTAATTTAAAAATGTGAAAGTTTTCAAATGAGCACAACATTAATAAATCAGGTTCACTCTGATTCTTAGATTTTGTTCAGATGAAGGACTCACTTTGCTCTAAAAGAACAACACTTTAAGGGATTTGAGTGTGTAAGGGAGAGTTGAGGAGGGAATGTTAGGCTAAAACTAGAGCTAGCATGATAGGTAGCTGTCTCAACTTTACTTCACACACAAGGGATTTCTACTTGGATATCCAATATAAATAGCTGGAAATCTGAGGCTCTTGGCTAAAAAGAGGTACTGTCAAATGTTTCAAAATTAGTTAAGTTTCTTGTAAAAAAATGTTTTGTTTGAAAATTCAGTGTTCTTGATATTCTAAGAAGCAAGGATTTGGTAAGGAATAGGACTGCCCTTTTTTGGACCCTCTGAAATATTTTTTCTTTCCTAATTTGTTCTTATTAAACACAAACCATTCTATTTAAACAAAACTCACTGGAAACTGGTCCCAAGGGAGACATTCACAGACACAGTACACTGAGAAGTAGGGGTTCTGTGGAGGCCACTGCTAGGGGTGATGTGGTGGTGGAGGTGGATGTAGATAGGTGGGGATGGGATGAAGTTGGGGAGAAGCAGAGGTGTGTGGAGGTGGAGTGGAGGAGGGATGAAGTGAGGTGGTTGGGTTGGGAGGCAGAGGGAATAGAAGCTCTGGTTCAAGTCCCTATCCGACTGGCACAGCAGTGCTCTGATGTTTGGCATGAGCTGGACTTTTCAGATAAAACACCATCTAAGTTGTACTGCTTAAAGAAATTTGGAAATCACCATGTGACAACAAAACTAATTAGCTTGAAGAAAATATGAACACAATCTGAATCAAACTTAATCTTAGATACTGTGAATTAACTTAGTAACTAACTCATGTTTATTATCGTAGTTTCCTTAACTTTTTTTTTTTAAGTTCTCTTCTGATAGAAATGGTATCATGTAAAGACTTTGGGTAAGTGCAAATGATCTCTCCAACCTTCTTTTGTAAATGAATAAAACAATATAATTTTAAAAGGAGGAGCAAATGCCAAGATATATAATATCTGCGGTATCTGTGCAGCCTGGGTTTCAACTCATCTGAGCACCTCACAGCTGGTGCAGAACACTGTAACTGGGATGAGATATATGTTCAGTATAGGGACTTAGGGTGAGCACCTCTGAAAATTTAGAAGCTACAGACAATAAACTACAGGGAAGATAAATCTCATAGGGAGAGCTATGTAATGCTATTTAGATGCTTAGTAGACAATAAAAGAAAATGCCCTGATTTTAGGAATAAGGGACTGAACCAAGGGGTAGATTTCACAGCAAGTCTAAAGGCTGACTGGGGGCATTTGCGGTTGGCGTGGCTCACTACAAAATAGTCTCAGTTTGAGGAGAGGGAGTATCAATCCCTAAATACAACTTTACAGGAAGCCAAGGCATTTGGCACCCAGCTTATCTTTAACACTCTTAGTGAGTGCATTAGAGTGGCTCTGCTGCCAGGCTGCCAGTCCCTGCTCCAGTCTGACCTACAGCTCTGGGTCTATTTGAATTCTTCCAGGAAAATACCTATAGATACAGCCTGAGTGGCTAAAAATCTAGTCAGTAAGTGGGGGAAAAATGAGTCAAACCAGTTCTCTAATACCGACCTTAACTGTGGGTCCCAAACTTACAGTTTTTTAAAAAAAAGTAACCCAATATTAAAACCAATTTTCATTTCTTTACGTATTTTCTAATAAAAGCAAACTGTCAATTTGTGAAAAAAAAGAAAAAAGAAATGAGAATCTTTCTTCTCTCTATACATCTAACACAATGTGAAACTCATTTCCCAATTTGAAATGGGGAAAAAAAAGTTTTAATGATTTATCCAATTATTTGAGAGAGAGAGGATGTGCATGTGCACACACGTGAGTGGGGGGAGGGGCAGAGAGCAAGGGAGAGTGTTCCCAAGCAGATTCCTGCTGAGCTCAAGGCTTGATCCCAAGACCCTGAGATCACGATCTGAGCCAAAACCAAGAGTCAGCTGCTAAACTGACTGAGCCACACAGGTGCTCCCATAACCAAACTTTCTGTTAAGGAAAGAAGGAAATGTTAAATCTTAGCTTCCTTTCTGAAACTATACTCTTATCATGGAAAAGTGATTCCAGGGTTTTTTGTTTGTTTGTTTGTTTGTTTGTTTGTTTAGAAATACTGTAACATTTAAATATTGTGTTGGAGTAAAATACTTCAAAAGTGTCAATTTATGCCAACTCATTAAAGCACAAAACTCTTCATAATTTTGAAGAAACATAATATTTTAAATTTTCAATGGTATTACTGAATGAAACACAATTGCTTGAAGATAATAAACACAGAAAGAATAATTAGGACATTAGAGGTAAAGTAAAAAAAAAAAAACAACAACAACACTTGAATTAGGGAAATGCTCAATTTTTTTTTTCCCTTTCTGATTTTAAGGCAAACTGGTTAGGTAAGTATTCATTTCAGTGACAGAAACACAATAACATTTTTACTGAGAGTTTTGCATCAGAATTTTAAAAATCTATCAAGTGTCAAAATTCACTTTGTATTGTCTATACAAACTAATACAGCTTATATAAATATCAAGAAAATGGTTAAATCATGGTTAAGTATGCTCAAAAACTTCCCAGGTACTTATGTATTTTAATTATTGATAGAGTTATTTTAAATGTTTCCTATCTACTCATTCAAATTTACCTTTCAAAGATCTCTATAAATTAACAATGATTGGTTAATGGACATTAAATTACATTAATTTTTTGAAGACTAATTTAAATGTTAATTCAGATTCAACCCTGACCAGTAAACCTGAACTCCTAAAGTTTCTGGTGAATGGTTTAAGCCTCAGGCTTAGATTATCTATTTGTGTTTGCATGGTTTTCAGAAAATTAGTGTTAAATCTTAACTAATGGCTCATTTTTGAGGAAAAGAGAAAAGGACAGGCTGACAATGGATTGTAGATTAATTCAAATAATCTATGTTGATCTTTGGAACGCAACCGGGAGCACACCCATCTCAAGGCATGGGGCTCCCTGCTCAGTGGGAACCTGCTGTTCCCTCTCCCTCTGCCTGCTGCTCCCCCTGCCTGTGTACACTCTCTCTCTCTCTCAAATAAATAATTTAAATCTTTAAAAAACAACAACTCAGTCCTTTGGGATACCTGCATGGCTTCCCTATATTTCAGGTTACCATGGTGAGGGCAGATTATTAGCGTAGAAACTGCTTAAGGGGTATGGGAAGACAAGAACACCTCTCCACTCAGTCAAGGTCTAATCTGAGCACTGGTTAACACCTGAAACTTTACCAAAAGCCCCCTTTCAGAGTAATCTTAGGAGTTGATGGTCTTTTCCATGAAGAAGAATCTTAAATGTGAAGATTTTCCAGGTTCTGGGGCAGGTCATGCCTCCCGAACCCAGTAGGGGGCGTGCCACCCCTGGGAATCACAAGGTATTGGCTGGAACTAATCGGTTTAAGCAATGCACTTAGTGCCCTGATGGCTCCCCATTCAGAGGAACACGCAGGCCCAGAACAAATGTCTTGGACCACTGGACCTACATCATCATCATATGATCCAGTCACACAGCTCCCCTTAATGGCAGGACAATGAAGTCAGTCCTGGCAAATTTAGAAATTTGAATTATTATGCCAGGAATGACCTTTCATTCAGAAAGATAAATATAATTTGCTTGAATGCCTCTGATTTTATAATTTTTTATGATGAAGATTTTGTTCATCCAAGCCTTCTGTGCTGTAGATGCTGACAGATAAGGGTAAAGCAGTGCTTCTCAAACTAGATTAATATAATCTATCTCAAAATATATCTCAAAATATAATCTCAAAATATGATCTCAAAAGAAAACAATTCTGAAACTATGTTTAGATTTCATCAGTTTGAAACTTAAGAAATTAAAGTCTGAATCTGTGGAAATGGTTTTTAATTGCAAATGCTTTAAGAGTTTAAATTTGAAACTGGTTTTAAAATGTTTTTAGGTTATCATCAAAGTGAACATACAAAATTTCAAATTCTCAGAAACCCTGTAGATCCCTAACACTAACACTATATTTGGGAACCCTATTGGAGAAACACAATTTTATTAAAAGCCATTAAGTTAAAGACAGGCTGGAAATTTTAGAAAATCAGAGTATTATTATCTCTCTACTTGAAGAATTTTTCTTTTTTTGAGTTTTTGACTAAAGAGGACATATAAATGGTGTAGGTAGGTAGGACCAAGTGTGCTTATGAACTCAATTACAGAAGGAACCCCAAACTTGAAAAGACAAAAAGCCTTAGAGAACTGCTTGCTGTGTCATCTAATACATTCTGTGTTTCCTCCTCTTTGTGGTAGACATGCTGGGCTGACAGATAACTGGCCCAAGGAGCACGATCTTTCCGATGTCCTAGCAAGTAAGTTTGCCTGCTGCAGCCAAGAAGACAGTTCCCATAAAAATAAAAATAAGAGAGGACGCTAGTCTTGAGTATTGCAGGCAGCTTGTGTACATACTCTGCTTGTGACAGCTAGGGTAGTATTTCAGCTTTATGAACGTCTGTGATTACGAGGACAACACAGTCTCACTCAACATACGACCTATTTTAGTTCAGGATACAGGCAGGCTGCTGCAAAGTCAGCTTGGAACAGGCCTTCAGGGGTCCGTCAGTACACAGGCTGTCCGCTGGCCACAGCATGGAGGGTGGAGAATCTAGGTCAGGGTCACCATGGGTGAGTTTAATTTTTGTCACTCACAAGGGGTTGTAACAAGTATGGGGAAGGTAATAGTTACCTGTTCAAATGAATGGAGTCCGCTCTCTTTTCCTAACCTCACCATATCTTCCAAAATGGCTTTTTTCAGCTCCTGAATTGAACCATATAGGAAAAATTACAAGTCAAAAACACATTTCAAAATGGAAGTAGAGGAAACAGTGAGTTTTGAGCAAAGTACAACTGGTGGTTGTGCCAACATCCACCCCAACCCCCACTCCCCTCACTGGGGCTGACACTCCCTGGCAGCACACTGTCACCACCTCTCATTAGGTAAGTGTGTGCCAGGAATGGCCAAAGGAGTGACCATGAACAGGCTAAGGGACTATTTCACTTTTTGAAGTGGCTTTCTGGTCAGCCTAACACTAACACTATATTTGGGACTCTGGTTAGAGTCCCAGGGACCCTGTCACCCCCAGAGGAGCTAGGGTCCATGGATGCTGCTGAAAAATGAACCATGTGCCTGGAGAAGGTGATGTTGAGCCAGACTGCAGAGATCTGTTCCAAAGGAACCTACACCTGCCTGAAAAGTTTCAGGCAGATGTGAGTGGCTAAAGCTCTAAGTAGGAAGAATTGAGTTATTTTTTTCAATTCCATGACTATTTAAGTCCAGTATAGATAAAAGCCACCTCATATTTGGAAAGAGTGAGATCAATGTGTCAGAAGGCCTATACTCACACCTGACACTGCTGTTAACCAACTGGTGTCAGCCGTGTGGCCTTGGGTATGCCACCACCCTCTATGGACTCTATAGCAAGCTGTAGAACAGCAGGGCTGGACAAACTTTCTGTGATTCAATAGTTCATCAAACTTCCTAAGAAGATATCTGCATTCCTTCAACAACAATAACAAAAAGACAAATCTCTAGTTCAGGATTTCTACCATTATAAAATAACATTAGAAATTTCCCTACAGGTATGCCTGGGTGGCTTAGCGGTTGGATGTCTGCCTTCAGCTCAGGGTGTGATCCCAGGACCCTGGGATTCAGTTCTGTATCCGGGTCCCCATAGGGAACCTGCTTCTCCCTCTGCCTATGTCTCTGCCTCTCTCTGTGTGTCTCTCATGAATAAATAAAATCTTAAAAAGATATATTTCCCTACATGTTCAAGTTCCACTGCTTTACTGTGTCTCTGCCCTCCCATTACACAGTATCATAGGAAGTCCAGTAACCAAGGTACCTTATTCGCACAGAGCTCTGTGTATGAGCCTTCAATTCCTCTCTTCTGGGCCCATGTGGGCATGACCTCAGGGTCAGGCACAACAATACCCACCAAATAGGCCTGCAATCCCAACCAAAGGAAAACACAGTCAAGACAAAAGCTTTTAAAGTGGTTATTTGTGGTCCAGCATTAAAAATAATCTCCTGGTATTCTCAGACTCCATCCTTTTCTAAAAATAAGTATATGCTTATGTTATGAAACATTTCCATCAATATAGCATACATTCTTGACTGTTTTCTGATATATTTCCTCAACTTCATAAAAGAAAATTAATAAAGGGTAAGCTTAAGGAAGTAAAGAATCAGTAAAGTTTGGTTCTCATGTCAATCTTAAATGAGTAAACCTTTAAGACACTCAATGAACCCAAACACATATATTTCTCAAGGTTTCCCAGACCATTTTGAAATTGCATATTAAGATGGTCCCCATTCATGAAGAAGTCTATTTAAAAATCTTAAAGCATTTTTAAAAGCAAAATTTAATACGGGATGCGTACGTGGCTCAGCAGTTGAGTGTCTGCCTTCGGCTCAGGGTGTGATCCTGGGATCCGGGATCCCACACTGGGTTCCCTGTGGGGAGCCTGCTTCTCCCTCTGCCTGTGTCTCTGCCTCTCTGTGTCTCTCATGAATAAATAAATATATCTTTAAAAAAATCTAATAATATTTGCTTAATGAGTGCAATGACAGCACAGAATATATTCACAGTGATCTAGCTGACTTCAAGTCTTAATGATGTTGAAAGCAGAATAAATATAAATCCTCTCCAATAATTTCATCCTAAACTATGTTAACATATTAACTTAATATTACTAGTTTAACATATAATATATATATGTTAAGCTATGTTATCATCAGTACCATTACTTGGAATACTGTACCCATTTATCTGTAGAGTTTATTTAAATGTTTCAAAATCCAAATAGCAGAAACCCTGAATCTTGCTTTAGCATCTTACCTCAAATCCCTCTTGGTAATCGGTACAGCCTAAGTTAAAAGTAGTGAGAATGTTCATTATCACTACTTTAAGCAACTTATTTACCTAACTGCAATTTACCAAATTATAAGCATGTAAGATTTCTCCTTCTAAAGGCATTTTCCCTCATGATCTAATATGCAGAAGAATATCGGTATCTGAATGGAGATTCATTTTTACCACTACCATCAAATACCAAATACTCAGGAAATGATTCCCAAATAACTCTAGATTTTTCAGCAGGCCCAATATGTGCAGAAGGGCTGAAGCACAGGACACTCACCTTTAGGCTGTTCCCATGGACATAGACTTGTGCCACGGGCTCACTCCGTATGTAGATGTTTTCAATCTTCTCGGGCGCAATATATTCTCCCTGAGCGAGTTTAAATATGTGCTTTTTCCGATCGATAATTTTAAGAGTTCCTGCCTGTGGAGGGAGACAGCAGCTTCATGAAAAGACCCCTGCCCTGTCCCACTCGGCAAACCCCACCTGGATTTGTTCCTCTGCTGCAGAGGCTGTTCTTAGCCTCTGCATGGCCAGAGCGGGCCGCCCTGCACTGAGGTTGACAGCTCTCAAGATCTGCTGGATCTGGAATGCCCACTGTCATCTCTCCTTGGCGCTTACCTGGTCCCACAGCTGACACCCTCATGCCCAGAAACAGGGGTTCTCCTCCTCAGAAGTCCTGGTTCCCCTCTTACCCAGGCCCTTACTCCAGCTGTCCCTTTTCTCACCACCATCTTCAAATTTACTCTGTTAAACAATGCTGAGGCCTCTCTAGCCAGCTACTGCCTCCACTCCCAAAGAGTGGCCTCTCCATCCCCCAGCATACAGCACACCTTGGCAGAGGCCCCCAATGTTGTCCACCTCACAGACCAGATGGTATTAGGAGTCCTCACTGCTCCAGGACCTCTGGGGCAGGCAGGCCACCCCTTGGGCAGTGTGTGCTTGTATTCTTGGCCTCTAGAACCACCCCCACACACATCTCCCTGACTCCCTTCAAGTTTTTTTGAGTTTCTCAGGGGAACTGGTGTGTCTCCTTTGGCTCAACCCTTGAATGTTGCACTTTCTTCACCTCCACTGATAATGTTCCTTGAAATAGCCTCCATTTATTTCTTCAATGGTCACTTCCATGTCTGCCTAAGCTTCCAGCCAAACCTCTTCACTGAATTCCATATTCAGAACCTAACAGTCAGAATGCTTCAGAAACCAGACTGTTTGCCCTACAGGATGCAACAGGCCACTAAGGAAGCCCATCACAGGCCTCCTCACAACTGTCCCAGCCCCACAAGCCACAAACTTGGAGATGACCTTGCTGTTTTCTTCTCCTGGAACTTCTAGCAGTCAAGCTCATTGTCCTCAAACACAAAACCCTCCCACACCCACCGTCAAAACCACTTCCTGACCAGGCTTCTGCATACACTCTGTCTCTTCTCCATCTATGTGATTGGCCAAAGCAGAGCAAAGTCTCTAGAAAAGAAAAATGAATAGGCCCTGCTTTGTTCAAAACCCAGGCTGGACCTCAGGCACTTTCCCCACACTGGCTTCTTTTTGACCCTCATGGCACCCTCTGAGCTGGGTGTCATCACCTCCATTCCACAGAAGATGAAAAGGAGGATTAGAGCATCTGGTTAATTCCTAGAAAGCCACATACTAGAAGGCAGGGGAACCAGGACTTGAATTAGGTGTTTCTAGATCAGAAGTGTATATCTTTTCCTAATCAACCTAATACTATTTCAAAAAATTATCAATTAAAAAAAATGGATGCCTACAGATCACTTGCCTGCTATCTTAGGCTCTTAGTGTAAGCACAGCACTACATCTCCATAAGAATTAATTTACTTGCTTCTCCCAACATCCTGCAAGGTGGCTGGTTGCACTCAAGTTATCAGGATTCATTACCAGATTGAAGGTTCTATGGAACGTCAAGCTTTTTCAACTTGGAGGCCCTCCCTCTTTAAGAAAAATGAAGCACAGAGGCTTGGAAGGGGCCTACATCAGGGAGGGGCTCTGAGCTTGGGCTTCAGGGGACAATCTGCCTTCTGCCAGCCTGCAGGGCCCGCTGCCTCGCATGCCTCCTTCCTCCACACCTGGGGGCCTCAAGGGAGAACAGCCTACCTCACACCTCTTTCTCTCTACTCAGCATGTGCTATTAGTCCTGTCCTGACCACACTTCTCACTCTCTCCTCTCCCTTTGGAACATGACTCACATCCTAAGTCTCCTGTAGGTGCCTGTCCTCCTCTGCCTCTCCCCAGGCAAGCGTGGCCCTCCACTTATGCCCATCACATTGGACATCACATTGGTATCTCTTTCCTGAGCAGAGTCCCTGGTCCAGAGCATATACCAGGGATTCCTGCTACAGGAATGAGGGCTTCTCAAGGAGGGACACAGATTCAAGCAGGGGTGAACCAGCTCACCAGACCATAGGACCTCTGGAAGGTTCAGCATCATTCACATGCCTAATAAACTCTACATTTCACAACGGCCACCCTAAACCTTAGCAACTTCACAAAGACACAGGGAAGTTCCTGGGATGGGCTGCATCAGGCAAGGGGCTCTTGATTCCAGCAACAGAGCCATTTTCTGTTCACAGTTTTTATCTAAGCATATCCCATGTGCCAGGCATTGTGCCAAGCACTTTACAGGTATAACTCATTTATTCTTCCAAACAACCGTAGAGGTAATCAGTGTTATCATCCCCATTTTACAAGTGACAGAGTGAGGCACAGTAACACAGTCTGGTTAAAAGCTGGGAGCCACAGCCAAAGGATATCACATAGCCTTACTCTCTTACTCTACAAGAAAGTAAAAACGGAGCCCCAAAGAGGTATGAGGCTTTGGACAAGGACTCAAAGCAACTGCTGGCAGAGCCAAAGGAACTCAGACACCCTCCTAGCTGGCTTCAAGCTTTTCCCACTGCTCAATGCCAACTCTCAGTTAGGGGACAGTGTCTTTGGGTCCCTAGGCCCTGCCTTTCTCAGATCTCCCAGGGCTATGAACTTCCTGCACCCTGCACTCCACCCATTCGATTCCACAGCACTGACAGATCTCTATCGGAAAACAGGTCAGGTCGGGAGTGGGTCTCACACTCTAGCTCTGTCCCCGCCTAAAGATCTCTATCACCTTTATCAGAAGGATGGACAAGAACGCTTTGGGGACAAAATAAGGAAGAATCTCCCTATCCCTCTGCAGTTGTTCCTGAATGGCTAATTATCAGGGAAGATAGGGAGGAAAATTTTGCCTCAGAAGTGAGTCAGATTTTACACCCTCCCATCTCGAGAGTGTGTGGAGAGCCACAGCTGCAAACATACGTACCGGCAGCCACTTGCCAATGTCCCCAGTGTGAAGCCAGCCGTCGCTGTCCAGGGCTTCCTTTGTCCTGTCTGGATCTTTCAAGTAACCTTTGAACACATTTGGTCCTCTCACACATATCTGTAGGGACAAACACCAGGTTTTTGTCAGCCCATAGCATGAGGAATCTCACTCAACAGTAGGGCTGTCATGAGGTCTGTATAGGATAAGGTATCCTATCCCCCAGGAAGTTCACTGTGGAAACAGCAAGGATGGAGAAAGAGCACAGGAACAGCCACCAGCAGACTGAATGGTCTCCCACTTCCCTCAAATAGCAGCGTCTGTCTTCCATGTTTTCTCCCTGTCCTGCCCCTCTACCCCACCTCACCCTCCAGCCTCCTGCGTGTGCTGCTTTGTGACACTGGATGGGGTCTTCTCGGTTACTGACGGCTGGTTGATTCCACCAGGGATGCTCGAGCCCCCTGCTTCATGACAGGGCAGTCACTTGCCCATGTATTCTCATGGAGCGAACAGGTATAGGACAGTTCTATATCCCCCTTCTGGCCGGGTTGCAAATGGTCCCATTTTTGCTGAGACACAGGAAAGTTAACAGGCCACATCAGTTAGGGGAAAAAATGGATTTTTTAAATTTAAATTTTGGAAATTTCTTTTTTTTTTTAAAGATTTATTTATTTTAGAGAGCATGAGTGGGGGGAAGGGCAGACAGAGAGGGAGAGAGAATCTCAAGCAGACTCCCCATTGAGCACAGAGCCCAATTCAGGGCTCAATCTCAGGGCCCTGAGATCATAAACTGAGCCAAAATCAGGAGTTGGACACTTAACCGATAGAGCCACCCAGGTGCCGCTACAGAAGTTTGGGAATTTCAAATCTTGATTTAGACTAGCCCTGTTCAAACCCTGGGGGTCAGTTGCTTCATAAGCAAGAGAGGAAATTCTGAATTTAATGGAGTCAAATTAATCAGTAATTTAAAGTGACTTTACATGGAGGGTGAAAGGAAAACAATTCCATTTTCTTTTTTTGTTTGTTTGTTTTTTTGTTTTCTTTTACTCACTATATGTGGCATCCAGAGGCATAAATGGCTATGTTCCTAAATTTACCTCTCCCTCTCCTTTGCAGGTCCAATAGTTCAGTTCCTCAACATCGATGAGCTTGATATGATTGCAGGGCAGAGGTGCCCCTACATGCCCTAGAACACCAAAACAATATGGGATTTGTCAGTGTTCTGATCAATTTCAGCACTAAACTGTTCCAGGACATATGAAAATGGGGGATTACAGAAGGGGGGCAATATACCTTTAGATAGGCATTTGTCACAAGCAAGCACTGATGATTTAAAAAAAAGTTCTGGAGAAAAGACAGGCCAACCTCTACTGGGCCTTTGTTTTGCATCTGATTCTTTTAAAAGCTAAACAGGCACCCCTGGCCCAGCACCCTGCACAAAGTCTGCAGGAGCTGGGGGGAGGGGTTGGTTCATACCCACATCAATCACAAAATCAGGATTCTTTTTACAATAGAGTCCATATTAAATGCTTTTCCCCCTCTGTCAGACCCTTGATTTGGATCATAAAATACTGTCATCATTACTTTTCCGCCAGTCACCAGAATGTTGGCTAATGTGCATAGTAACCACCTAGAAATCTTGTTAAGATTTAGATTTCTGATGAGGCCTGAGAGTCTACATGTCTTACAGACACCCAGGAGATACTGATGCTTCTGGTCCACATACTATACTTAAGAGTAAAAAAGAAATAGAAGACAAGGATAAGATAACTCATCCCTGAAAAATATGACTTCATATATTCCTGCTCATATATAATCCAACTGCACAATTACATCTAAGTCATTTTATAGAAATTATGGTTGTTAGCACAATTCACTAGCGAGGTGGAAGATGGTTAAGTAGGTGCTGGCCAAGGTCCTGAAAGAAAAGTGAGCCATGCAGATGAAAACTGAGGTTGTGACACTGGTTTCTTTTTCAACAAGAGGCTGCCAACTTTTATAATATTGTACAAAGAAATCTATCCTCTCATATGCAACATATTTTGCAAGTTTGATGATAAGGATGACTTAAAAAGGCAAAATCTCAAAAATCTTACATAGGAAAATGAGGAAGATGACAATAAGAGGGAAGAAAGTACCCAGAAAGATGGGGATACGTATTGAGTGGTCAGTAAATATGATGGCAGCAGTAAGAAAAAAGTTACTGATCCAGGACTTCAGAAGATCATTTTTGTAGTAAATTTTTGAGAGACAGAGACATCAAAGAATCTATATACAAGAGAGGTTTAATTCAGCTAGAATTTGGAGAGATAAACCTCAGAGAAAAATGCTTCTGTCTTTGATGTGATCAAATATGATTCCAATTTGGAATCTACCTATCATGTTTCTGCTGACTGCCTCAAGGTGTTCTGAAAATAGTATTGCATTACTATGCATATTTCTTTTCCACATGCATCACCCTGAGTTTTCTAGTGTGTAGTTGAGCAAATTTGAGGTTGAAGAGTGGCCCCAGACTCACAGAGGAAGTTGGTATCCTGAAGGATTCTGCTCAGTGTTTTTTAGATTCTTCCAGTGCCTGGTCTAAATTTGGTGATGGACAATACAGGGGCTACATATTGCTTCCTCCTTGCCCTGGAAGATGAGTCTGTTCAGAATGAGGGCATGGAAAGGAGCTGTTCCTTTCTGAGGATGCTGTTGCCTTCTAGACATTAACATTATAGGAGACCCCAAAGAATCTCAGAAATGGCCCTTTAAGAAATAGTGCTCTGGTCACTATGAACTTGCCCTTCTTTCCTAAATCATATCCAATTCATGGCCTGCTCCCTTTATTCTAAAATAGGTTCCCATCTACAAAATCCAACATGCTGTTATTTACTGGTATTAAAAGCATTTTTCTACCTGGAATTATATACTGTGATCTATTGCTTCTTTTTTTATGACTTCTAGTTATCTATAAAAGAAGTGGGAAAATACTAAATATATTTGGAAAAGAATATGTACCAAAGAGAACAACACCCAGTATGCCATGACCCAGACATAACCACCATCAGTGTTTTTCTTTCTTTTCTGTCACTTTTTTCCTAAGTGCCCACGTAAGTTTGCTTTCTGTAAGGAAGTTTGAGATCAGCATGAGTCTTTCCCACATGATCTCTAGCCCATCCTACCTGAGGTCCAATCCCCAGGTGTGGTGAAGGTACATCCAGCCGTGCACTCAGTTTGGCCATAACCTTCATAAACCTTCAAACAAAAAACAAAACTACACTGTAAGTATAAGTGCTCCTACATCTGACTGGCTGCCCTTTGCAGCCAGCAAACCTCCCATGGAGCATGTGGCTGTTCCACGCTGGGGAGAGTGGTGGGGGTGGAGGGGGTGCGGGGAGGGAAGCCCCTCTAGGGGAAATTGAATGCAGACAACAGGTGTGGTTCCTTGGCTTGGAAGAAGGGCTATTTTTTTTTTTTTGCAGACACTTAGTAGAAAAGGTTATTTGGTTTGGGGGTGAAGATTTCTGACCTATTTTCAACTACTGACTTTATTTTTCATTTGGATAGCAGTATGAAAGACATGTATTTTAAAACTTACTATACGTTTCCCTTTGGCTCTGTAAAATATTCCTTTCTAGAGCCCCATGTGCTTGTAGGAATACACCATGTGTGAGAGTCTGCCTTTAGGAGTGGTCGGGCTATGTTGGTACAGAATAGGATGACAGTGAAAGGAGCACTGGCTTCTAAGGTATATAAACTTAAGCATGCACATTTATGAAACAGATACCCCTACTTTTCATAAAATATATGAGTCATAGCCCTGCGTATGCAGGAATTTAATAAATATTAATTGAAGGGATAAATGAAGGAATGAATATTTTAGAGATGACAAAACCTATTTAATCAAATAACAAAACACCAATGGAGTTCATCCCCCATCTTGACGGCTCCTTTTCTGGGTTGGGAGATATTCTGCAGGTTGGAGAATGCAGAGATGCTGGCTCAAGTGCAGTATGGGTTCTCTAGCACAATGATGATCCATATATAGTTTAACTACCCTTTTTCTCAGAGTGGGTACACTTGGACTTTGCAGAATGTCACAAGAGCATCTTGGCTTTCACTGACTCTGAGCCTTTTTCATCCTCAGAGGAGGGAGCTTTTGTCCCACTCAATTCCTGCCCCCAGGATCTTTCTCCAGTAGAGACTGTAATGGGCTCTGCCTTGACACACATCCCATTGCCCCTAGGGAAAGCCACATGGAGACTTAACCTGGCATCCTAGAGCAGCCCGGAGGAATCCCAGGACTGTCGGTGATGCAGGGGCTGCTCCGGTGACAATCATCCTCACGCATCCACCAAGACTGGCCTGTGGGAAGAGAAAAGAATCTGCCACAGTTTGTGCTGCTGGAGATGGCGTATAGCCCATGTAGGCCCTATCCAAGGTCAACATTCAACAGTTGGACTTTACCTGGCCATATGGTAGGGATAAAAGAGAAGGTCTGAGGCTGCATACCACATGAGCTGAAGGAATCTCATCTCCTTTCAAATGAATCAATCCAATCAGCTTTGCAACTTGACCTGCAATATGGTCAACTCCTCTGTGTCTTTGGAGGTAAGTACCATTAATCTGTGTACTATTCTATAACTTTCGCTTTCCCTTCTTTAAAGTACACAGCTCTTTCCTCACTCTCCCATCATTTGCAAGTAGCCAAAACAATTACTTAGGACAATTTCTTCCCACTTCCATTGTAATGGCACAGCCTTTTCTCATTTTTTTTTTCTTTTCTTTTTTTTTTATTGTTTTTAATTTATTTATGATAGTCACACACAGAGAGAGAGAGAGAGAGGCAGAGACACAGGCAGAGGGAGAAGCAGGCTCCATGCACCAGGAGCCCAATGTGGGATTCGATCCCGGGTCTCCAGGATCGTGCCCTGGGCCAAAGGCAGGCGCTAAACCGCTGCGCCACCCAGGGATCCCGCCTTTTCTCATTTTTAAATCAATACCATGCTCTACTCTATTTACTATGCACTGCAGAGGACAACGGATTCTTTAAACACTTTGTTTCTGTAAGTTGAGCCAAGAGAGTTTAAATATTAATTGTCTTAGCTAAAAATAGAGTAGTAAGAAAAAAATGAGTAATGCTACTAATTAGCTACAAATTCCTTGGGTATTTGTAGAGCCTGAAAACTTATATGGGGATACAGCAGTGAGTAATTCATGATTGGCCCAGTCCAGGAGGGGTTGAAGGAATAGGAAATAGGAAAGGAAAGGAAGATTCTTGGACACCTGGGTAGAACCTAGTGCTGTTGGAAAGCCAGCATAGCCAAGGCTACAGCGAGGGGCAAGAGAACCTTCAGGCCATAGGAATACCTGATGGACCTGGCCACCAAAGGGCAAAGTTGCCTGTGGAGGCCAGGGGGCCTACTTTCCAGGAGTCCTTCTTGCTGGTTGCCTTTTGGCAAATATCACACACATCCAAATAATAAAAAGGAGTCCTTTAATACTTCAATGGTAGCTTAAGCTTTGATTTCATGAGCAAATGAGTTATTTTATAAGATTACAGGCCACTGGAATAAGCCTCCTAAATTCTTCCTTAAGACCACCTGGGTGTCACTTGTTCATTTTCTTACCTGAATCTTATTAAAGAAGAGTTCATCCCATATACTATCATTCCTGATGATTCCACTCCGGACCTCAGCCTGCTTACGTTTTGCTGCAAACTCCAGGAGCCAGCGCTTTAGTCGTGTGTCTGCCTGGCTAAAGATCTGAGGAACAGAAGTAGGAAGCAGCTGTCAGGCCTGTGTGTACTACCTTTAGACAGACACTCCTCGTCCACCTAACCCATGAAGAAGGCAAGCCTGACCAACAGAGAAGCCATGCTCCATTTTGCCTCTGCGGGAGGTCAGTGGGTATGCGACACCCAGCTAAAGGTTAATCAGCATCTGGTCACATTGTGGGGATAGACATTCCTGAAGAAAAATCTCCTTAAATAAGGTTTTAGAGAATTGGAAGAAAACAGGAGAAGGAAGGTGAGAGTGAAGGAAGAGAAAAGGCAAATTCTAGGACCTCATGCCCCAGGAAGCATGGAAAGCCTGCCTGGGGCTCCAGATCCTGTCCAGACAAACAGATGCACAGCAGCTTAGTCTGGCCAGAGACTCCCTATAGGGTTTACCTTGTCATACATCCGGTTCAGCAATCGAGGGACCACAGGGAAGATAGTGGGGCACAGAGCCTTCATGTCATCTGAGAGGAGACGGATGTCTCCCTGGAAGAAGCCGACACGTCCCCCATGGCAGTAGACAACAGACTGGAGGGAGAGAACAGGAAGAGAGAAGTCCCTCAGGGTAGTCACTCCTGGTTGTAGTCCAAAGCTCTGCCCTACATGGAGGGCACCCATGACCCCCTAACCCAGCTCTGGCTGCTGCCATGAGACACTCAAGAATACCATCTGAGATGCTCTCCCTTCCCATTAAGACCCACTCGGCATGGGGGTGAAGTAGCAAGAGACAGAGGGGAATCCTGAGTCTTTGGAAGATGCAGAGCAGCAAGGCTAAGTGGAGCTTACTCCCTCACACTCAATTCCCAAGCCCTGGGCAAGGACTTCCCTGGGAACTCAGGTCTTTCAGCTGTACCGCACCCTATCGATGGGTCCACTCCAGGTCTGTGGATTTCCCTCAGGGATACCTGGAAGGCTGTACAGTGCCCATAAACAGTGTACTGTCAGACACTGTTTATGTTGGCTTTGGGTGTTACTTGATGGAGGGCCAAAGGGGGGCTGGGCTGATTCTTAGTGGGTTTAGGAATATGCCAGGGGCTGAAAACATGCTCTTTTCTTTAATGTTCACAGCAACTCTACGAGTGAGGCAGCATTTATATCTCCATTTCACAGGCGAGGAATGCAAAACTCAGAGAGGTAAAGGGACTTGCCCAGAGTCACAAAACTAGCTCATAGTAATGAACTATGGCATTCTAATCCAGCTCTGAAAAGCTGGAAAGCATGCCCTAATATACCAGCTCTCCCCCAAGTGAGACGGGAGAGGCTTAGAAGACACGGCTCATTCACAGGCTGGTCCCTTGAGTGACACATGCGTGGAAAATTCTTTGTTCCCACAACCTTATGTGGACCACCCCCAACCCCATCTCCACCTCCCACAAGGCCAGTCTCAGGGCCAATCATAATGCCAGTCCCATCGCCGGAGTGAGGGGTCATGACAGTTGGATCCCCCAACGTCACTGTCTTGTTTTCCTCTCCAGGAGTTCATGAGTTTTGGAAATTATGGTATATAAGTGTCTTGGCCATCATACTGCACAGAGTGTGAATAGTAAATCCTCTCTGAGCAGAGGCCATCTGCTGGGGCCTCTGTCAGCTGAGGCATATCCACAGGTAAGACAAGGCAGGCCTGGGGTCTTCCCTGGAGTCATACCAGAAGGGACAGGTCCGGTGGCCAAGGTCCCCTGATCCCTGTGGTACCTTCTGAGGACAGGGCAGTTTAGTTCTACTTCATGGCACCAGTGACAAGTGACACCCTGCTAGGGTCCTGGGTTCTGGGCACAGATTGTGCCTCCCTGGAGCCGGGCCTTACCTGCACCATTCGCTCAAACATGTGTGCTAAAGGCAAATAGGAAATGTGCACATCCGCACAAGTGGGAGCCCACTGACTCTGTAAGAAAACAGAAGGAGCCCAGGCAAGGCCCGATCAGTCAGGTGGGCGTCTTACCTGGATTACTCTCTCAAACATGTGAGCCAGAGGCAGGAAGGAGATGAGCACATCGTCCTGTCTCGGAAAGATCACTTTCTGCAGGTGACGGGCATGGGAGACAGAAAGGAAAGAAACACTGACAGGAAGACGACAAGAGAGTCATAAAACAATACAGAGAAAATGGTCCTAGAGGGGCCAACAGGAAGAGGGGGAGGGGGGCAAGGGGGGTGGAGGGAAGGGGGCAGAGAGAGGGGCAAGATGAAAGAGAGAGAAAAAGTGTGTGAGAGAGAGAGAGAGAGAGAGGTATATGAAAGACGCAGGAAGAAAAGAGGGAGAGAGAGACAGGGCAGCGTAGGAGGCGGAGTGTTAGGGCGCAGCCAGTAGGTCTAGGTTATCTGCAGAAGCAAAAAGCCCAGTGAAGCACACATAAACCAGCAGAGCCCAGCTCCGCAGGGAAGTCTCCTCGGGGGGCCAGGCCCCACTTCGCCATCTTCCTGGGCCACCTGGGCAGGGAGTTTGAGGGTCTCGGCTCGTTGGCACTTTCTGGTCCTTGTTCCAGAAAAGGGACCCAGGGAACCCTAGGTCTACACCAGTTGTGGCTGGGGTATGAGCCCCAGACAAACAGATGGCAGAGCCAGGCCTCACAAGCCATGGCCTGGGTACAGGGCCTGTGGGGGAGGCTCAGAGGAAGGCCTGCTGTGCCCCCCAGCCCACTATACACAGAAGGGACTGACCTCAGGGACAGAGGCTGCTCTGACCAGGGGGATGTGCACAAGGCCAGCACTCAGGGGCTCTGCATTATGGGACTTCCCTGCCCCGACCCCTTCACAGAGCCTTCGTCCTCCTGGGCTGGTTTTTGAACGAGCCTGGAGGACAAGCCCCAGGAACCTGGCTTATGGCTCCTGACTAGGTTCAGCCCCAACAGTCTCTCAGAATCTTTTACCAGAATCTACCAGTACTCGGGGGCATATACTCCATAATGCCATCAGGCATGAATGTGGAGGGTGATCTTTCTCCACAGCGGAGAAAAAGCCTAACTTACATGAAAAGGAACATTCCGTTCTCCTGAAGGAAACTTGCAGGACTTATGGATACTCACCACTTGAGGAAAAATGTCCTTCCTTCTTAGCCGGTTATAAAATGCTAACATGCTTTTGTCAGGCTAAGATATCAAGGGTTTTTTGTTTGTTTGTTTTTACTTTAGATTTACCTTTTTAAGTACAGTCTTACAAATTAGCAGTTGCCGTTGTTTCTCAGACTAGTAGTCCTTAAACACAAAATGACTGAATTAAAGCCTGGCCTATTTGAAAAACAAGTTATTAAGGATCACTTTCTAAATAAAGGTATACATAAAACCACAGAAAGCTCACTTTTTTGCAGTTAAAAATGAAAAATACGTTCATATGTTTCTCTTTCTGGGATCTTAGCACTCTTAAAACTCAAATTGGCTATTTATGAGGTATGGATCATTTCAGAGTTTGGGGGGGTTAAAGTGCTGCTCTAATGACAACAGAAACTCCTGCCTGGGAAAGGCAGCTCAGATTACATCGGGGAGGGGGATAAAAAGAAAACAAATAAAAAGCCTCTGAGGCTTGAGAGTATCCTCAAGAGACACCTGCTTTAGTGAGTCTACTTTATTCACCTCTGTCACTTTCAGAAAGCCTGAGAAATCAGCCACCACGTTCCCATGGGTAAGCATCGCACCTTTTGGGTTCCCTGAAAAGAGAAAACAAAAAGGCAAATTAATTGGAAGCTCAAGGGCCACTCCTTGAGAAGACTGTCCAAGTTGACAGTCCCACTCCGTACTGCCCATCCAAGCCTCTGGCCTTCGTCTGCAGCCACTTTAGAGTCTTAGACAATGAATGCTGTGTCAGAGACGTTCATCCTATAGACCCTCAAAGCCCACCTTGAGGTCCCAGCAGCTTAGGACCAGAAGACAGGTGACAGTCACACAGCCAGGCTGTCCCAAGGCTTGACAGGCTGGCTACTTGTGGCCTGTGCCTTCCCCTCTTCTGCCTCTTGGGGAAGCACAGGCTCTCAGCTCCTAGTCTCCTCAGATACTGAGTACCCTGTGCTGCTTTCTGGGCTGAGTGGGTCTAGTCCCCAGAATCCAGCAGCCATCTGTGCTGTGCTGGCAGAGGACTTCCTTGCTGCACGCAGCACCAGGAAAGGCCCTAGGCTCAGGCCAGGCTAGAGGAGCAGAGCACAGGGGCAGCCCCTCCTGCCAGCTCATCGGCAAAGACAGGACACGGATATTCTCACTTTGTCTTGATAAGACCTTTCACTACTGCTTGTAGTAACCTCAAGTCTGCTAGAATGACTCAGAAGACAGAGGCTAGATGGGGACCCAGGACACAGTGGATTGGGAGGGAGGCCAGCTAGTCACCATTTCACGTCAGTGTGGACACAACATGTGCTGCTGCTGGACACAACTAACTGGCTTCAACTCCTGGCCTTGCCTGTCACTGCCAGCATAGCACAGGGAAGCCATCTGTCCTCTCTGTTCACTTACCTGTAAAATAAGGACAATGCCTACCTCATTGGCTTTCAGAAGGTCTAAGGATATAATCCATGTGCAAAAGATGTTAAATTAGAAGATTCGACTGAGACAGCAGATAAAACATTTGTGAAACTCCAAACGTGAGGGGCCAGGCCATGAGCAGAATTTACCCAGTATATATTAAATACACTAGTATGTTAACTTTGCAATCCTTACCCAGAAAGAGGTGATAAAAGGTCTAAGTGAACAGAGATAAAGAGAGTATTGTAGTACATGCTACCACGTTGTTCACTTTAAAATGTTTAATTTTATGCCAGGTGAATTTTAGTTCAATGAAGAAGGAGGAGGAGGAGGAGGAGAGGGAAAAGAAGGAGGAAAAGAAGAAGAGGGAGAAGGAGGAAGAGGAGGAGAGGGAGGAGTTGAGGAAGGGGGGGAAGGGAGGGGAGGGGGAAAGGAAGAGGAGGAGAGATGGGGAGAAGTGGATTTGTGAGAAGAATTTCTTCGGAAAGAGCTACACAGTTCTAGACCCTGTCAAAGTGGGGAGGAATGAGGGATCTTCTTTCGGGGCCCAAAACCCAAGCTAACTCAAAGTTTGATCTGTTTCCTGCAGCTAAGGGTCCCAGTGAGAAAGGTGAAAACTGTACCTACAAATAAATAATAAATCCAAGGTACTGGATATGGAGTGTGCAGAGGGAATATCAGTCTGAGAGGGTGGTGGTGGGAATGGTGGATTAAAAGAGAGAAAACCATGAGATTCCTAACTCTGGGAAACAAAGGGCTGCAGAAGGGGAGTGGGTTGGAGGGATGGGGTAACTGAGTGAGGAAGGCACACAATGAGATGAGCATTGGGTGCTGTACTTTGCGTTGGCAAACTGAATTTAAATAAAATTTAACAGGAAGAAAAAAAGGCGTCTTGTCCACAGGTCAGCGTCTCCCTGACTCGGGGAAGCAGCTGGGAATACCACAGGCAGAAGCTGAAGGGGAGGAGGGAGCAGATAATCAAGAGAACTCCTGTAAGTGGCCATCTCTTGGTTTCATCTTTCCCACTTCCTTTTTCTCCCTCCCCACTTCCACCTGGTGGGAGTGGACCAAAAGCCTCAGAGCTGGAGGAGGAGAAACAGCAGAGGGAGAGGGGACAGGCAGCCTGCCCCACCCCGCCCCGCCTGCAGCCAGCCCTAGCTGGGGCCGAAGAAATGGCAGCAAAGTGGACCCACTTGTGCTTTGGACCTGCAGTTCTGAGATCAGGCTGTCTGTGACTTAGGGACGCCCCCCCCCCAAACACACAGCCCGCTCCACCCCTAGAGGGGGAATTGACCTGGCAGTGATCAGAAAAGGTAAGTGAGGTGCCTGTTTTCATTCCGGGGCAGAAAAATTCTGTCAGATGCAGGGGCATCAGGACGGGCCCATCTCGGTCTGACCCAGGTATGTAATGGGCGGGGGTTTTAACAAGTGCTCTGGCGCACACAGCCATACTGCAAAATGCACGGAGGATTTTGGGGACACAGAGGGTTACAGGGTTTGAATAGGTAGCTGTTAAAATATCCTTCTTCTTTTAATGAAGAAGATCCATGGGATCCATTGCACCTTTGCTGGTCATCCTTTCATCCCAGCATCCTTCCTCAAACCCAAGCCCATATTAAGAAATGTCCCTGAACGATCCCTCGTGTATAAGTCCCACAGAGTCTCAGGGCTCATGAACTATCCTGAGAGTATCACCTGGAGATTTTTACCTCTGGATTCTCAAGTTCTGGAAACTTCTAAGGAATACCTCCAAAATGCTAGGTATGAAATCAGAGCTCCCACAAAATATGGTCCAATGCTATAGAGCTTTAGATCTGCTAAGCTGGCTGACTTGCTCATGTCTAATACAACCTCAGAGTGGATGGCTGAGAACCTCAAGAGAAAGTTGTCTTCATTAATAAAAATTGTCTGGAGCCTCCATTCAGTTCACTCCACAACACATATAAGGGTAGCAGTCACTCAGGTCTGCTTGGACAAATCTTTTTCCTCTCCAAAATGATGAAAAAAGTTTATACCTTTTAGAAACAAACCTTTAGCTCCATCTGTGCCTTTAAAGTTGCTCAGTAGGGGGGGGTAGTAGCTCTTTTTCTGCCCCCAGGATGAAAACACAGGCACCTCACGCCTTTTCTGGTCACCACCAGGTGAGTTTCACGGGGGTCATAAGTCACAGACACCCTGAACTCAGAACTGCAGTTGTAGGTCGAAAGTGCAAATTGGTCCACTTTGCTATGTCCCCAGCTAGGTCTGGCTGCAGGCCAGGCAGTCTGCCTGTCCCTTCTCGCTCTGCTGTTTTTTTGTCCTCCTCCAGCTTTCTTACATGTATGAGTGAGGTTTTATAAACTTCCAATGAGTTAGAATTTTAAAATGTTCCCAGAAATGTTCAAATGATTTCCTCAAGTCAGCCCTTGATGCAGTCCCAAAGGATGAAGGAGAAGCACATGTGGACAACAAATCCTGGGAGAAGATGCAAGGTCTGAGGTGGGGGGTAAGTAAGCCTTTGGAAAGTTCTGCTTGCTTCTCTGATTCCAGGACAAGTGCAAGCTTCTAGCAGTATTTCTTTCAAATGTGATATGGAAAAATTTCCAAGCTCCTCATATGGAGGAACAGGTAAGCATTTCTCACTAGACCCATGGCAAACTTAAAGAACCAATGTTTGCTTTGGCTTTCTCCTCTTCTGGTGCAACATGGGCTGGAGGTGCAGCTGCCTGGGCCCCAACATCTCAGCAGCATGAGGCCTACTACCTTCTACTCATAGGCTGGCCATCCTCCCATTTGTCCTCCCTCCAGCTGCTGAAAGGAAAAAAACCTCTTCGTTTCAGATTCTGCAACTGTCATTTGGGCTTTAGCCAACATTCCTGGGCTGGCCATCCATGGCTGATGTGCAGAAAGGCATTTCACTGGCTGAAGGTCTACCCTGGATGGACACTGGCTCCAAGTGAGAGCAGTTATGGGGGTGAAGCTAAGCTCAAGGTTTCTCCTACAGGGGTGGGTGGGAGTGGAGCTGGGAGCAGTGCCGGGCCCTCTGGCTGGAGGTTCCTCTGGCTGCTTGTTTCCACTTTCACACAAAGATGGGTTACAAAAGACGCCAGTGACAGAAATGCTCTGGGAGCTTTCTAAGGCAGAGTATTCATCTCCCTGCTAGAGGGTCCCAAATTCTTCTTTTAGGATTGAGTCTTACTTTCATCAACCCCACATCCACCATTAAAAAAAAATTTTTTAAACAATCAGACTTGAGAGCTGGTAGGAATACAAATAATATCTCTAATAGCAGCCAGTTACTGAACACCCACGAATGTGGGCACTGTGCTAGGTGGGCATCTCATGCATGGCAGCTCAGTTATTTCTTAAAATAGCCCATGCTACAGATATCAGCTAGCTTCATCTAATATCCAAGGAAGTGTGGGCTTAAGAGAGGTCAAGAAATTCTCCTAAAGCTGCACAGCAGGAATACTGAGATTATGTCAGTATGATGCATATGGTCATATATGTCCTGAACTGAATGGTGTAAAGCAAACACGCCAAGGAGAACATTTTCCCAAGATCCCACCTCTGAGCAGCCACAGACATAAGGCTGATGGGTATCTACATACTCAGCTAATGGACTGCAGATGGCTGAGTTTTGGTGGGTGTCCCCAATCCACAGAGACGAGACGCCTCCTCCTATACTTCCTCCCCTTCTTCTCCAGACAGGACACGTCTCTTTCCTAGTGGTAGCCTAGGAAGCCTTCTCTCTCCTCTAATCTAAACCAAAGCTTTGTAGGACACCTGGGTGGCTCAGAGGTTGAGCGTCTGCCTTCAGCTCAGGTCGTGACATGGGGTCCTGGGATCGAGTCCCACATCAGGCTCCTTGCAGGGAGTCTGTTTCTCCCTCTACCTGTGTCTCTGCCTCTCACTCTGTGTCTCTCATGAATAAATAAATAAAATCTTAAAAAATAAATAAATAAACCAAAGCTTTGGGGGCTCGGCTCCACTGAACAGCACCTCCCTTTCTTCTGTCTACAGTGGCTTTTTCTCGATGCCACAGAACACTTTCAGGGGTTTCCAGGAAAATAACATGAGCCTCATCCCCTCCAAGCCTCTGTCAGCTCCACTCTTGCTCTGTTGTTTCTTCAGAGCTAATCTGTTTTTTACTTAAACTGTCTCTTACAGCCTAACATACATATAATAAAGTGCCTGAGTGTCAGCATGTCTTTTGGTGACATGGCCACCAAACTGAAGGAATTGTCCACACCTGTTGAAATCACAACCTCACCTCCCATTCACTGCTCATTCCACTGCATCAGCCTCTGCATCCAGCCTCCACTCTATGATTAGCCTTTGCCAAGAGCACCAACAACATCCTATGGGCAACAGCTTAGCCACTGGACAATGCTGACAGATTCTATTCTGCTCTAGCATCTCCAGCTGCCTCCATTTGAAACTCCTGCCCCTATCACTCCTCCCCTGCCAGTGTTTCCAGATCCTGTCCCCAGACTACCAGTCCCTCAGTCAGCCCTCTCAAAGCAACATTTTCTTTCTTGCAGCCAATCCTCTGCATATGCTGTTTCCCCTGAGAGTGCCCTTTCTTCTATTCTCCTCCAGCTACCACTCTTTCAAGACTCTGCTCAGATGGACTTCCTCTGAGAATCCTTTCTGTTTTGCTCTTCCGACCTCTTGGTGGCCCAGTGCTCCATGCACCCTGGGATGCAGACCCTCAAGACAGTGACCAAATTTTACTGAACTGCTTGGTGATGTGAGCTGTGAGCTCAAGAAAACAGGGCTCTGACTTATCCATCCCTGTGACCTCAGCCCCCAGCACTAGGTCTGATGCATAGTGGATGCTCCATAAATAAGCTGAGTCAATCTATATAAATTAGAAAAAGAATGCTAAAAACATAGATTGAGACCACTGTATTTTCTTCTCTGGGAAGACAGAGTACATATACTCATAGGACAGGTCTTAATTATCATTCCTGAGGCCAAATTTCCTAAACTGGACTATGTTATACCCACAAGTTGTCTTTTTTGGGATGAGGGGGTGTCAGACTCCAGTCCAGCTAAAAGTCATTTTATGAATTTGGAATAACGAATCATATAACCATCCAGTAGCCATCCCTGAGTATAGACAAACCCCAAGCTCTCACCTCCTCCAGGACCTTGTTGGCCTGACTATAGGCTCCAAAGCACTGGCTTATTCTAGGAATTTCCACAGATGTTTCCATCACATACCAACAAAAAAATCTTCCCAGAATGATTCCACCAGAATCCTGAACCAAATATCAGGTTTAGATCATATTTTCCTCACTGAAAGAACAGTGTGGCTCTTGATGAAGCTGGGAGCCAGGACACTCAGTATGGAAAGGAAGCTGTATGCAGGCCGTGATGCCGAGGACATGCAGGGCTGATGTGCTTGACAACAGGATGGCTACCAGAAGCACAGCTCAGGCTAATGCCAGGGAAATCCAAGTACAGCCGGGCAGGGTGATAAGAGGTACACTACATCCTCCAGTTCTGCCCTGGCACCAGCAACACCTCTAGAATGGAAAGCTCGGGCACTAAATCACCACTCATTGGTCAGGTTCTGTACGTCCCACAACTTCCACCACACAGAGCTTGGGCAGGATGGCTTAGCTTCCAATTGTGATTTCATGGTCTGAAAAAGCACTAGACAAGAGGCCTGCCCTCTCCAGCTGGGTGACAGCACATTTCTGCACTGTGAAGTTCTTTTCCAGATATGGGGGCAACATCAAGTGACTCGTTAGAAGCCTAGGGGAGCGCTCCAAGGGCACAGGTCCAAAGCTAAAGGCCACAGTAGTAACCTGTTCCCCAGCCTTGGAGAGACAGGTCACCAAAGTTTTACATCATGAAACTCATGACAAAAACCAATGTAAACCTGAAGGGAATTTCTGAATTCCAGGTTGAATCTAGATGTCAGCTCCTGGGGAGCAAGAGCTATGCTATTTCTTTTCTGACAAAAATTAGCAATGTGGGGGGAAACCCTCAAACCCACTTAGTTAATGGCAAAAATCCTTCTTGATCCAATAAGGTCATGTTTATCATGATCCGTCCTCATGGAGAGTCCTGCTTGTGGGGCTGGTCAGGATCTGCCAAATGACGAAGAGGCTAAGTCTGCAGGAAGCATGGGAAGCCCTGGTTTGCTGCAAGCCCCACCAAGAGCTAACATCAAGGCAGGCCAGTCCTCAGTCTGGAAAAAGAAGGCTGGAGATTCCTTGACCATTTAGGGAAAAGACAAGCAACTTTCCAAGTCAGTAGATGAGATGGAGCATTAGCATGGGAAGAGCACTGGGCTGGGCGTTGTGGGACTAGGGCACAAATCCCCTACCATCACCTACTAGTGGCATCCACACAGGACCAGCCCCCACATCTGCATGCCTCACAGGTGGTGCTGAGGCCCTAGCAGCTCAGTGACTGGGTGAGCAGGGCACTGCAGGCTGTGAAGTGCCATGGCCCTGACTATGTTCCTTGTGTGCTTCTTGCCCCCCAGTCTGCCCCAGGCAGCCTGCCTTGGCTGTCCCTGCAAACATCACCATGTATACTCTCTGTCAGCACCAGGCACGGGGTGGTGTTATTTCTGCTTATCCCTGTCCTGACAGTCATGTCCATGGCAAACCAGCCCCATGCTGCAGAGCTTTGGCACCGCCTTTTCACACATCATCCCCTCTCCTATTCAGCACTTTTAACCACCCTCATTACAAGGCGAGGAGCTGGGCAGAGTGGGTGGCAGCGAGGTTAAGTGACTGGCTTGTAGCCGCCCAGCCAGTGGTGGAAGTGGGACTTTGAGGCTCTCGGACACCAAATCCCACATCTGTTCCCCAGTTCCTGACACAAAGGCCAGGCCGAGGCAGGAAGTGGAGGGGTGAGAGCTGCTTCTCAGAGGGGAGTGATGGGACTCAGCTACCCAGCCCTTCTGTGGCTCCAGCGCCGGGGGATGGCATCCCCACCTTGTACCTCCCGGTCCACACTGTCCATCCATGTCCAGCCACCTGTACTGCCTCCTGCTGAACACTGGGGGCAGCAGGAGGGGCCCGCCATCTGTAGCCAAGCACAGGACAAGGCTCAGCCCAGGCCATGGAGTGCACCAGAGACCCCTGCATCTGCCCCACCAAGGCTGTGGGGAAAAGGCTGCAGGTGGCCCTGGCTGATGATCTGGGTGCCTGTGCTCACCTGTTGTGCCGCTTGTAAAACACACAATGGAGAGGTCGCTGGGCTTCGGGGGCTGCAGAGTTGAGAAGAAGTGTGCGTTAAATAGACCCAGTATGGCCAGCCAGGGCCCAAGAGCCCTGGGCCCCTCAACTAGCCCCACTGGCCATGTGTAGGTATGGGGGTCTGTGTGGGTACATGCGCACACCCCTGTGTGCTGCGGGCTGGCAAGTCCCCAGGAAAGGGGGAAAGAGGCTGAAGAGACCTACTGGACGCCTGGACATCCATCTGTCCCACTAACCTCTTACCTGGTTCTGCTGCTTCCTCAACTTGAATCTGAGCTGAATTCTAGATGGGATCAGGCTGTAGTGGCCACATTCAGGCCTCTAAAAGAGACCACACCTTTCTAGTGGATGTGATCTGGTTCCACCCTTCCTTCCCACTTTCTTCCAAATGTCTGGGGTTAGGCTTGGGAGGAGAACACATGGCCCAAGAACTGAGCTTCCCACTGTGTCACCAAGACTGCTCTGGGTCAGGCCCTTGCCCCTGGCACTGGGCACACAGTCCTGGGGTCACTGGGAGGAACCTATCGTGTCTGCTTATATGCAGAGGAGGTGACATGAGCTGAGAATGAGGGACAGGCCAGATCTCTCCAGATAAATGGAGGGTGGGCTCTGGGAGAGGAACTAGCCTGGCCATTGGCAGAGGTCAAAGAAGCAAAAGCATGCCAAGGAGTCGGAGAATAGTGCTCTAAGGCCTTGTATGGAGGAGGTGGGTACATCCCAGGGCTACCCGTGAAGGGCCGGCCTACGTAGGACAAAGCTCAGGGACAGGTAAGAAGAGTGGGAAGAGCTGAGCTGGAGGCGAGAAGCCTTGTAAGCAAGCTTAAAACCCCCACAGGGCCCTCCCAGGGCCAGTGACTGTCACTGGTGACTTAAGCCCAGGCAGTATCACTTTGGGGTGACACACAGAAAAATTCACAGAGCAGAGATGAACAAAGACAGCAGACATCAAAAGGCCACTCAGCCCCAGAGTTCATTTCTGGTTGTGTTGCTGCTTCTGCTCACCCCATCCTGACAGAGTTCACTACCTTCAAAGAAAAAAAAGAAGCCTTCCCAAAGAAGCCTTCCTAGAGAACCTAGACTGGCCAGGATTGGCTCCCTTTTTTCTCACTCCTAAATGTCGGACTCTTGTTGCAGGCCCCTTTCTAGACAACTCCCCATACCTCCCCCCCCCACCCCCAGAAGTCCTGGTACATTTCCCAAGCTGCTCACAGTGGCTGCTTATTAACACAAGGGGGCTGCTCTGACCTCCTATCAAGCCCCTGGCAGGGAGTCTATGAGGATAAGCCCTGCTCACCATCTTGCTCAAGAAAGACCCACTGGCAGATGAGCTTACCACAGGAGCATGATGATTCTGTTGGCCACATTCCTGGAAGAGAAAAATCCTATTTTTAAATGCTCAAAAGCTCTTATCAATCAACACAAGCAAAAAACCTAAAAAATAAAAATAAACTCAGCATACTATGCCCTGCCCTTGTACCCAGCCTAGAGTTCAGGATTCCCTATTCAGACATAGCCCATGTGGAGAAACCACCTGAGTGGTCTCCTCAAATACACATCCAGGCCTAGGCCATCCTGCACATTACAGCCAAGGTGCTCAAGGCCCAGGGCAAGGCTAGTCACTGTGCACATGCATAGTTGGGGAGACAGCTTGAGGTGCCCACCTGGACAGAGTGGCTGGGTGACCTGGACTTCTAGATAAATGGTCAGGGCTAGAGGGGGCAGATGGGAGTTGCCACTGTATATGTGGCCCCAAAAGCCATGAAAGGGTACAAGTGTACAGGCATTACAAGCATAGTTAGAAACGTACAGGCATGCAGGAGGACAAGTGAAGAGCCCAGGGGCCTACATACAGTAAGGTATGGTTGGGGTCAACTGCTACTGAGCAGAGTGTGGGTTCTGGGAGGCCAGGATGGCCTGTGTCACTCCAGCAGGCAAGCTGCCATCAAACCCACACCTCCAGAGAGGTCACACACAGAAAAACTGGTTCTGCTGGCCACTGGGAGTCTCAGACACATTGGAAGAACCTCTCAAAGACTCTGGGACCTCATGTCTATAGTCCTCAGGTTCAGACAGGCTGATGGTTAGATGGAAAAAAAGGAAGCCCCAGACACGACATAACTCTGGGGCAGGCTGGTACCATCACCCACGTGTTGGAGCTGTGTCATTAGCTGGGCCAACAAACTGAGCCTGTGGCCGAGAGGATGCCTATGGGCACCAACTCTACCACCCTCTGCCAGCCCTTGTGAAGCCTGCTCTGTTTTGACCCTGAAGTACTCTGATGGCCTAAGACATCCACCCCAGGGCATGAGAGGGGCAGATAACCAGCAGCTCTGGCTCACTGGCCCAAGTAGCTGTGGCCCAGTAAATAGCCCAGGAGCAGATCCTCACCTCCACAGCTTGCATGGACTTAATGATCACCCCGCACTCCTGCCCTCTTTCTTTCAGAGCTTCCTCGAACGGTTCCATGATGATGATGAGCTTGAGCCCTGGAGTCTCCTTCCTCTCCACATGTTCTAGCAGAAGCACAGCCTTCTGAGGTTTATCCACCACCACGGTGCTGATGTCAGCTGAAGGGACCATCAGGGAAAGTCAGGCTGTGACTGTGGGTACATGTGCCAGGCAACAGAACTATGGACTGTGTGTGCCAAAGCTTGTGTATAAAAATGCATAAGAGAGGCCATGTGGGCCATATAGAGTGCTGTATAGAAAGGAAAGAACAGGGAACTTGGGAGAAACCAAGGGCAAAAGACCAGGGAATTTCCTAGAGCAGATTCCAAGCATTCCTTTGCTCCAGGATCGGGCTCCGTAATCTCAGATCTGCTTGAGATATTTGCTGCACCCCCACCTCAGGCAACTGCCCCCAGCTATACTAAGCCTCAGAGACTTGGAAGCCTATGTGGGGGCTGGTAGCCCCTTCATAGTAGCCAGGCCCTGTGTAAGGTGTCTTTCTGGGAAGTCCAACCAGGGAAAGCTACCTCAAGGGCCAAAGTGGAGAACGTTCTTTGAGGATGGAAGTGAAGTACTTACTAGTGTCAGACAATTAGTATAACCTAATGGGGGGAGGGGAGGGGATTCTAGGGGCTGGCTGCCAGTGGCAAGAGGGGGCAGTGGTGGCTCACCTGTGCTGATGATGTAGCGGATAGCACCAGGGCCCAGGGTGTCATAGAGTGGGACCACCACCATAGAATACGTGTAGCAGGCAAGCTCTGCAATGATCCACTGTGGAGACACACAGGTCTGGGGTTGGGAGAGCACAGAGCAGATAGGAGGGCTATACTGCCCTTATGCCCAGGCAACCAGGGTACTTGTTCTGGGTCCTACTGAGAAGGTTCTGTTCTGGCCCTCTCTGTGTGGCAAGGAATCCATGAGGCTAACTAGTTGTGCCTGCTTACCCACAACCTTTGGATCATGCATATCCCCAAGGAATTCTAGGACTCCAAACAGCCCAAGTGTATATAATAGGCTTGCATGGCCTTCTGCCCTGGGTCATTCTTCCCCCATGGCTCAGAACACAGCTTTTTGTGGGACTGGGTGGTATGGATGGAGCTTGGCTGGGATTTCCACTCCTGATTAGGGGCAAAGCCAAGCGAATGAGGGGTGGCATGGACTAACTAGATCCATTTTCCCTCTTATCCCAGGCCCTACAAACAGTGGGAGCAGGGCTGTTGTATGATATTCAATCCCCCTACCTCTACTGATACCTCCAAAACTTTAAGGCAGATGCTTACCTCTGGCCGATTTTGTGCAAAAACGCCAATAAACTGATCCGTACACGGTTTACAATTGTGTTGGAGAAGTCCAGACCCTAGAAATTCAGCCCTGTCGGCCACCTGCACACAGACATGAGGAAGTGATAGAAAGCAAGGACTTTTGGCAGGGGAGGGAGATCCCCAGGTGTGGATTCCTACAGGTCTGAGACCTCCCCAAGTCCCTGCCCAGGTCTGCTGGAAGCCCTATGAGGTTGCTGCCGGGAGTCTGGCAAAGAGGCCAGGCAAAGAAAAAATGACCCTCTGAGACCTCAGGGGGCCCTTGGGGGCTTGTACCCACAAGCCCCCAAGGGCCAGATCTACATGAGTCGACAGGGTGGGGTCTGTCCTCCATCACTCACCTCCTGGTAGGACAGCCACTGATAAGGTTGTTTGGGCTTCCTGAAGCCTAGACAGGGTCCATTCCCTGCAGAGAGATAAGCAGGCCTTGTACCAGGGAGGATGGTAGGGTGGGGTGTCACCTGTACCTGCTCATCAGACTCCTGAATGGGCATCCCATGCTGTGGGGTAGCCCATGAGTCAAGTGAACTGCCCCTTAGCTGCCTGTCTAACCTGCAGAAGCCCAAGAAGGCCTAAAGTACACAAGCATGACACATACTCAGGAATTAGGGAGGCCCAGAAATATGGGATGACACATTACCAGTTCCCACCATGACCTGTGTGATGCAGCCCCAAGAGGACACAGAGACCTGGCCATGAGGCAGAAGCAGAAAATTGTCTCTCTGGAACCATTTTCTTTTGCCCCATACCCTGTCTCACCCAGACATCTTAGAGGCTCAGGTTCTGAATCATGCCAACCAGTGGCCTGACAATTTGAGATTTATCAGGGGCTGCCCACAGGAGATATAAAGTATGGGCTGAGAGACAGCTTAAGGCCAGGCAGTCTGAAGTTCTAGAACAAAGCTGAGGTCAGCCCTTTGGCCACATAATGCAGCTATTTATCTGATGGGGTGAGAGAATGGCTTTTCTCCTCTGATCCTGGGACCACTCACCTGCCAGGCCCCTGGTACCTTGTTTGCCCACCACTACCTTTGCACCCGATCACTCCCTGCCACAGTGCCTCCACATCCCCAAGTCCCTCTCACCTGAGATGCTAAGCCCACGGCGGAACACCTGGTACATGGTTCTGGCATCATCATAGTAGTGGGTGAGCAATTGAGGGCCATCCCCGATCACAGATCGCCGGGCCCCACCACTGTCCTACGAGCCAAGCACAGGCCAGGGAAGCTGGCTGAGGTAGGCAGAGGCATCAGGAGAGGGCACCAGGATGCATCAGGCTGCACATAGCTTGGATGCACACCAGGGCCACATGGCTGGGGCTGTGACATGCTCTGTATGCATTCATACACAGCCTATACATAACACCTGGACTGTACACACACAACCTCTACACATGTTCACATACAGCCAGCTTGCCTACACTAGGCCTGTATGGACCCACACTCAAACACAGTTGGCTCACACACACATCCCAGTACACTGATCTCCCATATAGGCACACAGTACCTCAACACCAGGTTAGCACACATAAAATGTACAGAATTTTAGTTACTGTTCATATACACCTCTGGTTCACTCATTCAATGGAATGGGGAGTGTTGGCTACAGTCAGGCTACCCTCTGGCATCAGGATCAGCCTGCCAAGGTGGCTTTCATCTCATTTGCTGCTGCTGCTGCTGTGCCCCTAGGTTAAGAATCATTTGGATGCCAACCATCATTCACATAATAGCGTGAATTAGTGTGTGTACTGGCTGAAGATACCTGTCTAGGCACGCTCTTGCCCATGCCACTTGATCCTTCCATAGCACAAATTGGCACTGTGTCTCTATACTACTAAAAACCCAAAATAAATCCATGCTGCCCTTCTCCAGGGTCCTGGCCCATGGACCTTTGTCCTTATTAGCCTCTTCAAGTGAGTTATAATTATAAGTTTACCAAAACAGTCTAGTACTTTCTCTGTGTCATCTTACAAAATCCCTACCACAACCTTAGGAAATGGGTGCTCTTTTTATTACCCACCTGGCAGTTGAGAACAACTGAGGCTCAGAGAGTTAAGAAACTCCAAGGACCATATAACTGATAAGAGGCATGGCCAGCCCTTCGGGGCTGCTGGTCACCAAAGGCCATTCTGGAAACCACTCTGCTAGCCCATGGGTATCCCTTCTGCCATCTAGATACCCCATGTGAATCACCATTTCCCAAAGCCACCAGGTACAATTTCACATACCCCCACCTTTGCACACATCATTACTGGAAAAGTGCCCTGAAGATGCTCATCCTATCTAGACCTGCATCCTCTCCTACCAGTCAAAAGTCTGGTATGCTCATGGTTGCCAAGATGCACCATCAATAACAAAAAAACAGGATGCCGAACTGTGTGTGCAGCATGACAGCATTTAGAAAGAGGGGCAAGGACACCTGGGTAGCTCAGGGGGTTAAACATCTGACTCTTGATTTGGGCTCAGGTTGTGATCTTGTGAGATCGAGCCCTCCTAAAGGGCTCCATGCTCAGCGGGGAGTATGCTCGAGAGTCTCTCTCCCCATGCCTCTGCCTTGCACCCCCCAAAGAAATACATAAAATCTTAAAAAAAAAGAAGAAGAAAGGGGGGGCAGATACTATCCATTTGCTCATGGACGGTTCTCTAGAATGGAAAACTTGCAGGCAAGGGGAAGAAGGTAGAAGCTTTTCAGTCTGTGACCTTTTATTCTTCTGAAGCGTGCATATATTCAAAATGAATAAAGTTTAAGAAAAAGACAATTTTTAAATTTCATAAGCTTAAGAAAAAAAAGAAATCTCACTAGTCCTTCTAGAGTTAGCCTGGGATACCCTTGTCCAGGCTGGGCCACAGCACCTCTTCTCCTAGGTTACCCTCCCTGTAAGTCCATGTGCTCTGGGAAGACGGGGCCATGGGGTAGGCTCAGCTCTGAGTCCCAGCTGTAGACCAAGGCTGGGCACAGGATGAGCACAGAGTGGGCACAGGGAGACCAAGAGAGGAGTTACCTGGCAGCCCCCTGAGAACCTTAGGTTTTCTATAGAGGAACCAATGATGTAAGGCTTCCCACCCAAGAAGTTGGCAAACTAGAGGTCTGGTGTAAGGCCATGGTCAGGCTCTGCCCAGGGCTCAGTTCCTAGGAAAGGCAGAGGAGCATCTTGTAGGAGACCCTGTTCAAGACCCCTGGTGGCGGTGGTGGTGGTGGGGGGGGGGTGCTTACTGCTAGCTGCCAGGGGAAAACGAGTTCTCTGCACCATTTGAGGTCAAATCAGCTACAAGTTTGGCTTCTACCTTCAAGATGCCTCTGTCCACTACGTCCCACAGCCCTGCTGCTTCCACACTGCTCACCTCCACTTCCTCTGATTGCATCAGGAGGTTGCATGGTGGTTGTAAGGCCTTTGGCCGGTGAGTGAACCAGTAGGCGAGGATGGCGGCCAGTGCACCCACACTCACGAGGGTAGTGGCTGAGAGGCTGCGGAAAAATTGGCCCAAGTCACCCAGCTCGGGCAGCCGCAGCAACCTCAAGATCTCCTGTGTTTGCATTTTCTCCAGAAGTGAGAGGATGAACTCTGTAGGAAACAAGAGGCAGGTGAGAGAGAAGAGCTGATGGCAGACTAGGGAGGAGTCCCTCCCCTGTTGTTCCATCTGTCTTGGATCACAAGCGACACTGTGACCTTGGCCAAGCCCTGGCCAAATACACTGTTGGGCAGGCCCTGGGCTAGTTGGGGTGTACCATCTCCTGGTGCAACACAGCATATCCCAGAAGCTGGCCTCCTAGAAGGGCCTTTCCAGGTGACAGGCCAGAGCCCTTAGGAGTCACATTTGACAGGCAGACATCCAACCAGTTTTCCTGAGACCCACAGGCTCAGGCCCCAAGCCATGACTGACAGATGCTTCCGTATCTTGCAGAGGTCAGCATGTGCTCTGACAGCTCTGTACGTAAAGCCTCCTGAGCCCCAGGGTCGGGGTGCTCTGCCTCTCCTGTGTGGACATACCATTTGGCTTATCTTTGCTCCCAGAGTATGAAGAGCACAGTGACCAGAATGAGTGGGGTGAAGGGGTGCCTGGTCCCCCCACTCCATCTCAAAGCTCCTGGCCCCAGGCTCCAACCATGAGGGAGACAGAGAAGGGAAGGAGAGTGGAGCCCCTAAGCCATCCTGACAGACACCTCTGGCCCTCGTGACATGAGGGCGGTGATCTATCTGGCAAGGGTCCAGTGAGTGATACAGCAGGGGTCCCCCAGGTCCACATCCTGATCTACCACAGGCTCTCCTTAAAGAAAAGTTGGAGCCAAAGTTTTGCCAGGGCCAGAGGTGATGCTGGGGCCAACTTTCTGAGGGAACAGCAGGGTTACCAACAGCAACGGGAGTGAGGTCAAATACAGCTCCCTGGTCCCAGATTGCTGACCGCTGTGCACTGTAGCTCCACACTGCCACTGACCAAGTACCAAGAAGCACGGGTGGCCCCATCATGAACTGGGCCCTAAGCTGTCTTCCCTGTGAACCTGTCTGCTAATGTCCCAAACAAACAGAAGCAGCATAAGGAGCACGTGTTAAACTGATGGGAAGGGAAAGGAACCAAAGAGCAGAGTGCTGTGTGTACTCAGAGTGCCATGCTTGCCTACCACAGCCCGAGTGGACACAGTGAGCCTACGAGGAGACAGAGTGGATGCCCTGGGGTGGGCAGGGGAAGCATTTCTGTAGGAAGCACTAGTGACTAACTTTGGTTCAGAGAGTAGGTCCCAGGGGCTACCACGTCCTCCCGATGGCCCTAAGTGAAACAGTGTTAGCAGGGCAGACAGGGCCAGCTGGGCTCAGGGGTCTGTACTTCTCCCAAGACTGACCAGGCATTGGATGATTTATCCTCACTACGGCTTCCTCAGAGTCACTCCCCACTAGGATCTGAGTTTACCAGCGCCACATAACATCTCCAGGTCTGCCAGCCTGATGAGGGCTGGGTAGACTCCCAGCTGCCCTGCACTATCTACAGCTGCTCTCCTTACTGGCCTTCTACCTTTGGAAGCATGGTTGTGGTTTCCCTTCTTGGAAAACAGTGAGAATACCAACAGCAGCCACTCTACAGCCACAGGAGATGAACCAAGCAGCAATTGCCTGACCTCTGAGAGAGGAGACATCTACTGAAATTCTGACAATAATATTTGTACTAAACTGTAATAGCACCACCCCAGAGATGAGGTCAGTGATGTGCAAAGTCATTGCAGAGAAAACAGGCAAATATTGGTTCAAATTCTTTCTTTACCTATAAACTACACAAGGTTGCACATAACCCATCTCTCTGGACCTCTCCTTGTCTATCTTTAGAGTGGGGATAGTATCACTCAGCCATGTACTCATACTGTATCTGGCTAGCACACAGGCATGCCACGATTAAACAGACAGCTAAGAGGTGCTGTTAGTCCGGGGAGGCTGCTCAGTCCAGGCAAGTCTAAGCACCAGGGAAAGGTGGTCCCTGGGGAGTGGCAAAACTTGCTGTCTGAATCCTGGTAACACTCATGAACCACCCATGGACTCTGGGTGCTCCCTGGGGAGCAGAGAAAGTAAGCCCCTAGCCAGCCTGATTATTTTCACTGAGTTCCTAAGCTGGAGACCCAGTTTTACTGGCAGCCTCCTTGAGCTAGATCAGTTTTGAGGCCATCCCATAGGAACAAATCACTCCTGGCATACCGATCACATTAAGGTACCAGCAGAGAAGAGGCCCAACTATGGACCCCAGTGAATTCACCAATGAAAACCACTCTGGGGAAGACCCCCAGCAGGCCACCAGCTAGCTTCCTTGGGACATTTATTTCCCTCAGCCGCAGATACGGAGACCAAGTCACCGCCGTGTCTATCAGGTAAATGACTTTGTATACACATAATAGAAAATCCAGATATACTCATCAGTCTTTGGGGTGGGCTCCTGATGTTTCCTCTAATGGGCTTAACTGAGTCAATGGGCTGAGAAGCCTCTGACAAGCCTAAGAGCTCGGCTATGTGGTCCCAAAAATTTTAGAGAGAACCCTGGAAAGATAGGTCACTACCAGCAGTCCCTAGCCCTAAGCAGTTGCTCCTGGGTGCTACCCTGCAGCGGAACATGGCCATTTGCAGCCATTGCTGCAGTGCTGGGTTTTTCACAGAGCACAGCCCAGAAGGGTCAAGCCATCCATCCACCTACCCAAACCCCATTCACTGGGCAAACCCTCACATGGTCGCTGCTCTCGTCTGGCCCAGGGCTGGCCCCTGGGATAAGCCAGATGAGGGTCTGCCCTCAGTCCCATGAAAAAGACACATGAAGGAGGGGGCAGTGCTGTGCTGTGCGGTCTGGGCTGTGATCAAGCATGGGGAGCCGAAGAAGGTACCTGACTCAGATATGGGGAGTCAGGACAGGCTGCTGGCAGGGAGTCATACTGATGCTGAGACAGAAGACAAAGAGGAAAGGAGTGTTCTGAGCACAGGGAAGAATCACACAAAGGCTAGAGCTGAGAGAGAGAGAGAGCAGGGAGCACTTCACCAGCTGAATATTCCACTCAGGAAATTAAGTCCGAGCCCAGGAAATATTGTACAAAGGTCAGTGCCACAAGTCTGAGAGGCTGGCCTACTAGGTACATGAGCTCTCAGAAGTCACCAAAGCATCATAGTGCCCAGGAGAGGCAAGAACAGAACTGGTCTGTCTCAACTTCCTCAATTCCTGGTGTCTGGGAAGCCCTTGCCTAAGGTGGAAACACACAGACTCCACTGAGGAAGGTACCTGCCAGTCACAGGTACACTGGGGGCAAGTCGGAGAGCAGAATCCAGACCCCAGACTGCAGCCTCCCAAACCACTACCTCACCTACTACCTACCACCACCCCACCCCTGCCGACACTGGGCTGTCCACCAGAGCCCATGATGTAGCAACAGGCCTGTCACTTGTTCTTCCCCATGTACATCCTAGGGGTAGGCTCCCTCTCACCAACTTCTCCTGGCTGGCTCCTTCCCTCCAGAAAGCCCACTTGTCTGGCTGGCTCATTCTCTCCAGAAAGGGCTTGACTATTCTTCCCCTCAGGTTGGGCCTGCACCTCTGCCTAGTGGGCAGCAACCAAAGGAATCAGTAGTATGCTGCATCACGCCTCTATCTTGCCAGTCTTCTCAGACATAGTCAGGGCTGCCTGCATATACCCCGAGGTTCCCTTCAGACCTGGGAGCCACTGCAGGGCAGAGCTACAAACTCAGGTCTTCTGAGGACATGGGCCTGAGAGCCAACCGAGGCCACCAAACCCTTGGCAAGGGGCAAAGTAGAGCCTAGGCCTGGGAGTCTGGTCTCATTTCATTATTTCCCAGGGCCTTGGCCTACTTTGACCTTCACTCCCTCTCTGTTGAACTAGGGTGAGGCTCAGGGGTCCCTGAGGTGCCAGCAATAGCTGCCTCCTCCTAAGCCCCAGGAGGCTCTCCTGGTTGCAGTGGCATGGGACATGGGTGGGGGTGGGGTGGGCAGTGCCCAAGGGGATCAGTGGCACCCTGTTGCCAAGTGAGCTGCAGTGTTTATAAATATCCACCTCGAAGGAGGATGCCGCCCTCAGCCGAACTAGTCTCTCCTCTGGCATATCCCTTGCCTTTTTCTCCTCCCGCACAGAACAGTTCAGAATACCACCTGGTGGTACAGGCTAGGAGCCTGGGGTTCCCCCACCATACTATGTCTTCCACTGAGTCAGGGCACACAGGGAAGGTAGTTGATGAGAGGCAGAGCTGTCAGAGCATAAGAAGGGAGAGAATGGGAGGAAAGAGACCCTGGCGGGAAGCACACTGGCACCACGGTAGCAGGGTGGCAGAGGTAGAGCCCCAGAGCACAGGCCTGGAGCTTGGCTCCAAGAACACTCTGCTGACCCAGCCTCCTAACCCCAGCACCTTAGACCTTCACAACCTAGCTAGATGGCTCTGCAAGGGCCACCTCCTAAATATCTCTCAAAGGTAACTATTCCTCTTCACCCCCACAGCTCCCAGCCTGGTCCAGCCACCACCAGGTGCAGTCCAATCTCCCACACCCGCCTCCTCACAGGCATCTCTGCACTAACTGGTGCTTACGCTGATACCAAGGTTATTTTCCTGGCACACAGACATGACCATGTCATGCAGCTACACAAAGACCTTATCTAGCTCCGTACTATCGTAGGACAAAAGTCCAACTCATCCTGCTGGTACCAGAAGACTCCACGACCCTCAGATCCTTACCGTCATTTAAAATCACCCAGGTTCCTTGTATATCAGCCTGGAGCAGGGTGGGGCTTCTTGCAGTGAGGTTCTGAGTCTCTGAAAATCTCTGAGGAGTTCAGAAATGGTAGGCAGGTGCAAGGCAAGCCACCAGATCATTGAAGACCATCCTCAACTCCCAATGATAAGCTTCAAAAAGAAAATCACCACCTCTCCCAGGGACCAGGGTCCCCAGCAAAGAAGCTAGGGAGAGGGCCCAAAGGTGAGTTCTGGTGCTGCATTGACCTGGTGCCAATCTTGACTCAGACTCTTGATAGCCGTATGACCCTGGACAAGTCACTTTACCCCTCTGGGCCTCTCCTCCAAGAAGCTCATGGACAGAGA